ACACATTCCTGCGGAGGGAGCTGGTAGGAACGTCGGGTTACTCGGTCAATGGCCAGGGTCAACGGCGGCGTGGTGTATTCCGCAAATATGGCCGACTGTGAGGGCGGGCACAAGCCGGCGTGAGTAGGTTAAACGTTGAGTTTTATAAGGGCACCACGGGGTGACCAGCCCCTCCCCCACCCCCAGCCCCACCCCTCCCACCCCCCCACCCAGCCCCACCCCTCCCACCCCCCACCCAGCCCCACCCCTCCCACCCCCCACCCAGCCCCACCCCTCCCATCCCCCACCCAGCCCCACCCCTCCCACCCCCCACCCAGCCCCACCCTCCCCACCCAGCCCCTCCCCACACAGCCCCACCTCTCCCGTTTTTGGATTCACGACGGACGGACACAATAATCCCCTGTGGGCTGGTGTAACCAGGAGGTTCCTACCAGTGTTAGTATGTGTGTATGTGTATGGATGCATGTTCGCCGAGGTGCTGACAATACCTTGTCGCAACAGTCTGTTTGACAAAGATTGCACGAGTCTAATTTGTTTGCAGTATGTGGATATTTAAATGTGTCGTCTTTGCTATGAGTGCGGTTGGCTACGTACTGTGCGAAAAAAGTTCAACATACATGTTAGTGTGCACGCATGAAAAGTGTTGGTACTCTACCTATACGCTGTCGTGTAAATGTATGCACAGCAATACCCCGATGTAAGTCGTTTCGTGTGGGTTGTTGACACGGTATGGAGGAAGCCTGCCTTGCGCACTGTGGGAGTCAGCTGGATGAGAATGGGCACAGTTTAGTGGGGGACAAGAAACCGAATCAGCTTTTAATAAATGATGACGCCCAGCACGCCAGAGGTAGACCTGCTATTCTTAGTAACAGCGACCCTCTCTGTATGCAATTACAGTCAGAATCGGAATATTCATGCTGGAGGAATCCGATAAGCTACAGAGCTCTTTTTAAATCCTTTATATTAAGTTCGCTTGCTTGCTTATGACCGTGCAAATCTTTCGGTCGTTTTTTAACCCACTTCCCGTGATCCAATCGAGCTGACATTTTCCACACAGACTCGTTGTGCGTGATAATTAATGTTCGTGAAATTTTTTCCCAAAATTTTACACTTTTTAGGACAAAAATATATTTAATTAACAATTGCTTAATGGTGCAATGCAATCATCTGACCCATAGGTGGCAGCCATCTCAAGCCAGAGGACGAGAGGACTCTAGCCGCCACGCATATAAAGGATTTATAGTGAAAAACTTTGTTTTTACGGGTTATACTTATTCACATGTCCAAAGTAGGATAGTGAAAATACGGGGCGCGGTGCTCAAGATAACAGATTAAAAAAATGTCTTCGGCGAAATACCAAATGTATCGGGCAGACAAATCTGATTAGAACTTGGAGAAGAAACAGTTTTGCTGGCTGGCAGGGGCGCGAACGTTCAAGTGCGCCATTGACTTCAACCCCCCCCACCACCACCTTTTGTATTCCCAAGCAAATGCATGGGCAGTTCCTAAGCTTAATTCAAAGAATTGTCCTCTTGAATTCAGAAAACATTATTGGAACATCTTCTTGGTTCTTTCGGTAATGTCACGTAGAAGGAAAATAATAAAATAATAACATAATTCTCACGACGTTTCGGCCACAACGCAAGCAGCCGTCTTCTGTCTTCTCGACAGACCTGTTCTCCACCTGAAGACGGCTGCTTGCGTTGTGGCCGAAACGTCGTGAGAATTATTTTATTGTTTTATTTTTATTATTTTATTATTTTCCTTCTACGTGACTTTACCGAAAGAACCAAGCAGATGCATCCCTGCAGTCACGAAAGCTTTAAATCGAAAATTATTGGAACAGCTTTGGGGGGAGGGGAGAGACGATGATGATGGGAGAAGGGAAGTTTCAAAGTGAAGCAGTGGAAAGGGTAAGAAGGAAAAGCAAGTGTCGTTGCATTGCAGTGCGCGGCGAGTTTGGTGTCTGTTGTGACCTGCGGCGTTGCCGTGAACACAGAATAAATAAATAAACTCGTTTCCACTGGAGGAATCCGATGAGCTGCAAAGCGCTATTCCTTTCACAGATGTCCGGTAGGCCGAGACGAATCAGCCCGGGTTACTCAACGCGGGTGGGCGAAATGAAAGCGTGAAGCTCACAGCAACAGTCGCCACGGTGGTGGCAGCAGCAACAGTAGCAGCGATAGAAGAGAGACAGTGAGGAGGTGGACTGAATACGCGACGGTGGACGAGCGTAGCGCTGACTCGGGAGAGCCTCAAGGTGCTGCTCTCGTTTGAGCGTCTTTTAAAATCCTTTATATTAAGTTCACTTGCTTGCTTGCTTACGACCGTGCAAATATTTCGGTCGTTTTTTAACCCACTTCCCGTGATCCAATCGAGCTGACATTTTCCACACAGACTCGTTGTGCGTGACAATTAATGTTCGTGAATTTTTTTCCCCAAAATTTTACACTTTTTAGGACAAAAATATTAGATTTAATTACCAATTGCTTAATGGTGCAATGCAATCATCTGACCCATAGGTGGCAGCCATCTCAAGCCAGAGGACGAGAGGACTCTCGCCGCCACGCATATAAAGGATTTATAGTGAAAAACATTGTTTTTACGGGTTATACTTGTTATATTTTTTAGAGTGTTTGGTGTTGGGGGGGGGCGCTGTTGTTGCCCGCCACACCACTGAGCTCATCTTCAGTCGACAAAGTCTACGTAGCACGGCAGATGAAGGCTGCCATCACCTCTGTGCTACAACAACAACTGGGACGCTGTGCGGGTAGAAGAGAATCTCGCAGTCGCATCAGAAGGCAGAACAGCGTGGTATTATGGCATTGTCGTGAGTGATGCACCACTGTTATGCAATTGACACAAAAAACCAGGGACCTTTAGTAATGTCGACATGTTTAACACGTAGGCTTTCGCGACTAATTTCATCCATTATATAGGTTTTTTTTTTTGGGGGGGGGGGGTTAGATCGTGTCAATATAAATGGATAACCATTGTAATTCATACACATTCATTAACCCCCCCCCCCTTCGCACGTGAAGGGCTCACAGGAGACGCCATCACACCTACCCCTCTATTTAAGGAACGAAACAAGAGGATATCTGATCATTGGTTTTTTACCCTTCTATCTGGCAACAAAACTGACACCTTATTACAAGGAGTCATGTTTGCATAGACCGCAATATCTGCAGTCATAATACAAACAAAAACATAACTCTGATAATGTATGCACTGTCCTTGAAGTTGATTGGTCCACATCCGAGACAGCTTTCCTTAGAGCCTAGTCTCACATGGGTTGGACCAGATGACGCCATTATCAGAGTTATGTCTTTTGTTTGTATTATGACTGCAGATATTGCGGTCTATGCAAACATGACTCCTTGTAAAAAGGTGTCAGTTTTGTTGCCAGATAGAAGGGTAAAAAAAACAATTAGATATTTACTGGCAAATGAGGTTCCCATAGTGAAGAGGATATCTCCACAACTCTGGCTGTCGCCTGATGAAGCTAGTTGTAATTACTGGCGAAACGTCGTACTCGGATTGTAAATGTTGTGGATTTGCTCTCCAAAACACCGGTGGTGCTGTACTAGTGACGAATTGGCCACGTTCTGTTGACGTGACAACCTCTTACTAACTTGGCTGTGCCGGGTGGTGGCGGGTTTAACGACACATACCTACGCGATCTAACCCCCCCCCCCCCCCTATTATGAATGTCCACCAGCTTTCCCAAGGATTACGATCGTGGGAAAAAAACCAGGGCAGCTGGCGGCAATCGTGTCGTCTCGCAGCAGTCAATTCACTGACCATACTTCACCACGCTGGGCAGTGGCGGCTTGGTGGTGGTGTGGCAGCGCTATGAACCCGGCGGCCCGAGTTCAATTTCTGCTCACGCCTAACACCGGTGACGATTATCTGAACCGGTCCTGGGCCTCCCCGAGGTCGACTCGGCCTCAAATGAGTACGCTGGTGCGTAAAAAACATCGCCACTGGGGAGACAAAGGGGGCCAGGCTTGGTGTTGGCCACCCATCCCCTCGTGTGCCGTGCCGGCCTTCGCAGGTGCTCGCTTAACAGCACTTTCCTCAACAGTCTATTGCAGGCTATACGGGGATCTTTGTCTTTGTATAGATGTGTGGTTGAGTATTGATGTGTGTGTATGTCTGCTGTGTTGTTTATGGATGTGTTGTGTATGGATGTGTATGTATGGGACTGTTGTTGTGTATGTATGTGCGTGCGTGGGTTTGAGTGTTGTGCAGCAATTTGAGGGCATGGAATTCCCACCGCATGGTCTGATACTCGCAAACAGCACTTGTCCCAGCAGTCTGATAAGGCTATACGGGGGGTCTTTGTATTTAGGGGGTTGTGCAGTACCAAGGATTCGAGTGCCCTCTGCTGCACATCACACTTGGGTATTATGCACCGGTGGTCACTCCATCCTGGCCCAACGAATACATTGTAAGGTCCGAGTCATCACACGCGAAAGCGCTTGCCACAGATGAACCACAAAACCTTTCAGATGTCGTCAAGGAGCATAAATCCACCAGCACACGAACTCCGGTCACCGCTCACAGCAGCGGCTTTTGGCACAGCCATGGACAACAAAGACGGCGGTCACCGCACCGCGCGCTTCCAGATGCGCTTCTGCGGCCGTCTGGAACGCTCTTCCGATATTCGGAAGCCACTGGAGCTATGCACTCTAAAACGGAAAACTAATTTATTTAGAACCGACATTTGTTTAGTTTGTTCTTACCCTGCACCTCCGACCAGTGCGGTTTGCTCCTGTGCGGTGCGGAAGAAGTTCAACGTACGTACATCCGAACCCTGTCCAGGCAAAAAAAAACCCGGCTTAGCTTTCGAGACGCGATGAACTCGAGTGCACGCCGGTTGACGTGGGGCAGCAGACGTTTGTTTTTGTTTGTTTTGCGCCAGAGCCCCCCGCGATCAGACTCACAGCGGGGAGAGGATAACCCAGAATGGTGAAATATAAACAATAACAATAACGCAATCTCTCCCGTTTTTATTTTGGTGTCACTCAAACGCCCTCCTCCCGGATGCAAAGTTGCAGCCCTGCTACCACGCACGGAGGCCACTCGTCCAGCAGCTGGATCGCCGTGCCTCTGACACTGCTGGCAGGAGGCGCCTCCATGCGACAGCCGCTTTAGGATGACGGTATGCGGCCTGCTCTTCTACAATGGCAGAGGCGGCAAGGGAGACCAGCACTTTGCCCACACCGCATGCGATCTGCCCGATCGACGAAGCCGTGTGGCTGCAACCCACCTCGCACTGCTGGCCGGAACGGGGCGAGGGTTGGGGGCGGTGATTTCAGAACATGCCCCACTGTTTCGATTTACAGCTTTCGTGACTGCAGGGATTCATCTTCTTGGTTCTTTCGGTAAAGTCAAGTAGAAGGGAAATAATAATAAAAAATTAACCCGTAAAAACAAAGTTTTTCACTATAAATCCTTTATATGCGTGCGAGAGTCCTCTCGTCCTCTGGCTTGAGATGGCTGCCACCTATGGGTCAGATGATTGTCTGCCACCATTAAGCAATTGGTAATTAAATATAATTTATTTTTTCCTAAAAAGTGTAAAATTTAGGAAATTTTTTTTCACGAAAATACATTGTCACGCACAACGAGTCTGTGTGCAAAATGTCAGCTCGATTGGATCACGGGAAGTGGGTTAAAAAACGACCGAAAGATTTGCACGGTCGTAAGCGTGCAAGCAAGCAAGTGAACTTAATATAAAGGATTTAAAAATAAAATAAAATCATTCTCACGACGTTTTGGCCACAACGCAAGCAGCCGTCCTCCAACCCAGCTTAAATATACGCTGCCAAGCCTGGTGGTGTTCATTCAGACGCTGTCTTTCCGACAGATCTGTTCTTCACCTGAGGACGGCCGCTTGCGTTGTGGTCGAAACATCGTGAGAATGATTTTATTTTTATTATTTATTATTTCCCTTCTACGTGACTTTACCGAAAGAACCAAGAAGATGCCCCACTGTGTCAGCTGCCGCCCGTGTCAGAGTACTGCAAGAGTACTGCAGTGGATTATACTGCAATGCCATCTGCCGTCCCACCAACACCTGCTTTTGGTGCATGCTGGTCATGACATTTTTCAGCACTGCCCAGGTATCCCCAGCTTGCTCAGCTTACGAGATCAGATGAAACTGGGCGCACTTCGGGTTATATGGGTCATGTCACCCTCGTGTTTGCGTTTGTGTTAATATATGGAATTGCATGCTTGGAATTACGCTGGCTACTACTTTTATCCACTTGCACATCAGAGCCGGGCCAGTGTCGGAGTCGCGGTTTTCCACTGGCAATGTCATTACCGAGCCAGACAGGGTAATTTTGCGTGACGTCAGTCGGTATTGTGAGGACGCTGTCACTGTATTATCTACGTGCATCGTTGAATCGTTCGTTGAGCGTGACATCCAGGGCACGGCTCGGCACTGCTTCTGCAGTCGGAAACGAGCCTGGCGCCTCCTGAGCCACGCCAGGGCCGGCATGGCACGGCCCTGGCTCGGTTCGGTAGTGGAAAAACAACCTGGCGCTTCCTGACCCGCGCCGGGCTGGGCTGGCTCGACACAGCCCTGGCTCGGTTCGGTTGTGTGGTGGAAGAACAACCTGGTGCCTCTGAGCCACGCAGGCCTGGCAACGGCACGGCCCCGGTGGGGTTCGGTTGTGCAGTGGAAAAGAGGTATGCGAGCAAGGAACACACAGATCATGGAACAACAGCAAATGACCTTTTTGGATGCCTATAATTCCTAAATACTGGTCTGCGAAAATGGGACAAAGCAATAAAATGAAGACGAAAATAAGACGTTATCTACACGCACGCCGAGCGCTTAACTACAGAGTTCCGTCATTACGAAATTTACAAAACGTAATATTCACGGTTTTTCGTATGAAAGACAGGTAAACGTTCGTTCGTTGCGACAATCGAAAGTAAAATACTGACCCTCTCACAAGTCGGAGAATAAAAGTACAAACTTAAAACTGATTTTCAGTACGAGCAAAATATTTCCCGTACGTACGAGATGAACCAAGCAATCCGGGAAATGATGACAAAGCAAAACGTCTGCTAAACAAGATAAACACTAAAACAACCTTTGCTCAATCAAAATTCCGAACCATCTGCCCGAAAACTGAGAAAAGCCGCGTGGCCACACCGATTAGGTTATTGCGCGGTCGTGCTGCTGCTGCGTCGTTCAACACCGCGTTCCGACGACGTTTTCGCTCCCACGTGCTGGACTGGCAGCAGTCGCTGACGAAAGCTACCCGACACGTGCAGCGAAACGTCGCCTCGACCGCCAGACGCGCGCATGCGACGCGAAGACACGACCAGGAGAGTGTAAAGCGGTTTGCGGCGTGTCGTCTGAAAGCGCAACCATTCCCTCGCGTTGGCACAAAGGTCCACACCAGAGGTCGCAAACGGGTTTTGATTCCTTACCCGTACCCGGCCGCACCAGGGTCGCAAACGGGTACCCGTATCCGGCCGGGTACGGGTAGGGTACGGGTATCGGGTACCCGATTGCGACCTCTGGGATGAAGCCATGTTGCAGGCGCGGGTGGGTTGATTCTAGGAACTTGAATTGTGAGAAGAGACAAGACGTTGGGAAATGAGTGACAAATAGTTACTCACCAGTGACTCACGGCCTACCCATACCCAGCCACACCAGGGTCGCAAACGGGTACCCGTACCTGGCCGGGTACGGGTAGCCGGGTATCGGGTAGGGTATCGGGTACTCGGTTGCGACCTCTGGTCCGCACAGACGCAAGGTCACGGGAGTGCCACCACTCGCAACACTGCCTTGTAACAACGGAGGCATTATTTCTGCTGTGCCCTTGTCAATCAACTGCTGGATGAAGGCCGCCCTGCTCCGTGTCGTACGTGTAAGGGGGGACGGGGGGGAGCAGGGGGTCGTTTGACTACTTCACCACACGCTGGTCGACGCAGGTTTGAAAAGGCGGGGCTGGATGGGCCACAGCAGCCCCGCTTCAGATTTCGCTCGTCACTGATGTTAGCCGTGGCCGGGAATGGAACTGGGTTCGATGGGGGTTTGATGGCGCGTTGCGTCAATCGCTGCGCCACCACTCCACCCGCAAGCGAGTTGCTGGGCCCGTGCGTGTTTAGCGCGAGGCCGAGAGCGACGGACACCTGGACGGTCGACGGTTGGCTGTGTGGTTGGCTGTGTGGTTGGCTACGTACGGCGCGAAAGAGGGTGACCCTACGCAACAAATGAAACCAAATGGACATGCGCGGTCTGGACATTTTTTTTGGTGGGCCCAAATAACAAAAATGCGGAGAAAAAAAATGCGTCCAAAGCTACAACCATAAACCTGTTGTCATTATTACTGCTCTGACACTGCTTTAACCAGGAAAGACTCGCAGTGTCTCAAGACTCTTTTTTTTGTCTGGAGGGTCCTGCCAAGTTTGTCGGAGTAGGGGCGGGGGCGGATGTGGTGAAGATATAAGTCCCAGATGAGCGTCACGGTGGCGAGATGTTAACTCCCTTGCCCGTATACAGGAGGTTGTGGGTTTCATCCCGACCCTGACACCTGCATATTTGTAATTTGCACCTTCTCTCCGTGGTCGCGTGGATTTTTCTCCGCGTCCTCCCGTTTTCCCCTCCACATTTAGAAACATGCCTTTTCGAGTATTTGGTTGCCATGAATTTCAAAATGACGTCACTTCTTTGGCGCTATCATTTGTGGGCAGGTTGCGTCTGATAAAAAGAGCTACACAACTCAGTGGGCCTTACCTGGGGTAGTTTTTGGCCAATATCAGTTACATTGTTTTTTCTTTACGGTTGTAAGCCAAGAGAATGATCATTAGGATGTGCATCAAACCGGTGATTGGTGTCCGTTCATAATTTCTGCAAAATGTCGTCAGTAATCAATGTTACAAGGAAGTAGTCAATGATTACTGCGGTGATGTTTCACGAGCATTCATTTATCTGAACGTAAGACACAGCACAGGACGCAGTGGAGGGCACCCTTCGGATTGTCTGCCGGTTACAGTTGGAAGATACACGGCGATCCATTTACAGACATCCCACCGATTTCCGATGGCCCTGTCAAAAGCTTTGTAAAAATAAAAAAATAAACCACAGACCCGTTGTGTAGGATAGAGCGCGTCCGGAGCATGTTAACCGATTTACATATAGCAGGTGCTTTGAGGTTGGTGGGAGGAAATGTATAGGCTCTGAATTACAATGTTATTTTCTCCCTATTATTTGAGTGGGGCATCTATAAATGGATCACCATGTATTTACCAACTTTGTGTGTGTGTCAGTGATTCCCCGGCAGCACGACAAGGCCGGTGAGCCGAGTTCGATACCTGGCCACGGCTAACATCAGTGGTAAGTGTTAGATCGACTCAACCTTAAATGAGATCCTGGCACAGTGCGCAATAAACGTAAGCACAGGAGAGACAAAGGCGGCCGGGATGTGGTTCAGCCCGCATCACCCCCTCGTGTACCGTGCAAGATTCTAAATGTGTGCACGCTGACGGCACTCGCCCCAAGTCTGTATGGCTACAAGAGGGATTTCTAGATTTGAAGCTTTCGTGACTGCAAGGATTCATACTCTTAGGTTTTTTCGGTAAAGTCACGTAGGTAAAAAAGAAATAATATTAAATAAAAATAACAATAGAAATAAAATAAGTATTATTATAATTATTAAAATTGTATTTCTATTATTTTTATGATTTATTTTTACCTACGTGACTTTACCGAAAAAACCTAAGAGTACAAGAGGGATCTTTGTTCTAAGTGTGCGTGTTTGCGAGTGTTGTAGACGTCTATCCAGACACCTAGCGAGTGGTGGTACCGTGTGTGCGTGTGTGCGTGCACCTAGCACGGCACAATCGCCGCGGTGACGTCACCGCCCCTTCGTGGCGAACGGCGGTTGTTGTTGTCGTGCGTACATCTTTACACCGCACAGGCCGAACAGCCTGCACTGCGCACTGCTTCGCCACCTCAGGGTTAGAGGCGGATGCCACCGGCTTCCTGGTCTGCTTACTTCTCCTTGACGAAGGCAAAGGCCAAGTAGAGGCCTGGAGAGACAAGACACAGGGAGCGAGCCGTGAGAAGTGAGCGTTACGGTTCCTCTGGGAGGTCACTCACGACCAGAGGTCGCAAACGGGTTTTGATTCCTTACCCGTACCCGGCCGCACCAGGGTCGCAAACGGCTATCCGTACCCGGGTACGGGTAGCCGTTCCCTACCCGAAATGAGTGACAAACGGTTACTCACCAGTGACTCACGGCCTACCCGTACCCGGCCGCACCAGGGTCGCAAATGGGTACCCGTACCCGGCCGGGTACGGGTAGCCGGGTATCGGGTAGGGTACGGGTATCGGGTACCCGGTTGCGACCTCTGCTCACGACCCGGAGACCATCATCCTCATCCGGGCCTTCATCGCAACACGACTCATCGGCCGCAACTCTCTCGCCCCCCCCACAGCATCCCCATCTTCCCCACATCGCTCCTCTTCCCTCACCTCCCCATATTCCTCATCTCCTCAATATACCCCATCTTCCAATTCCAGAAAATCAAAAATGTCGCGACCAGAATTCTCCTCTACAATGTCCCGATCCCTCCACTGGTTTCTAATCCAATCCCAGATCCATTTCACGATCGCACTCACGGTCCTCAAGACACTCCATTGACTCCCTCCTGCCCACCTCTCTCCTATCACTCGACTCCCCTCCACGCACTCTCCTACCTCTCCCGCTTCATCTCACTCTACTCCCCTCCACGCACTCTCCTGCCTCTCCCCTCTCATCTCACTCCACTCCCCTCCACGCACTCTCCTACCTCTCCCCTCTCATCTCGCTCTACTCCCCTCCACACACTCTCCTACTTCTCCCCTCTCATCTCACTCTACTCCGCTCCACGTACTCTCCTACCTCTCCCCTCTCATCTCACTCTACTCCCCTCCACGCTCTCTCCTGCCTCTCCCCTCTCATCTCACTCTACTCCCCTCCACGCACTCTTCTACCTCTCCCCCTTCATCTCACTCTACTCTCCTCCACGCACTCTCCTGCCTCTCCCCTCTCATCTCACTCTACTCTCCTCCACACACTCTCCTACCTCTCCACTCTCATCTCACTCTACTCTCCTCCAAGCACTCTCCTGCCTCTCCCCTCTCATCTCACTCTACTCTCCTCCACACACTCTCCTACCTCTCCACTCTCATCTCACTCTACTCTCCTCCACGCACTCTCCTGCCTCTCCCCTCTCATCTCACTCCACTCCCCTCCACGCACTCTCCTACCTCTCCCCTCTCATCTCGCTCTACTCCCCTCCACACACTCTCCTACTTCTCCCCTCTCATCTCACTCTACTCCGCTCCACGTACTCTCCTACCTCTCCCCTCTCATCTCACTCTACTCCCCTCCACGCTCTCTCCTGCCTCTCCCCTCTCATCTCACTCTACTCCCCTCCACACATTCTCCTACTTCTCCCCTCTCATCTCGCTCTACTCCCCTCCACACACTCTCCTACTTCTCCCCTCTCATCTCACTCTACTCCGCTCCACGTACTCTCCTACCTCTCCCCTCTCATCTCACTCTACTCCCCTCCACGCTCTCTCCTGCCTCTCCCCTCTCATCTCACTCTACTCCCCTCCACGCACTCTTCTACCTCTCACCTCACTCTACTCTCCTCTTCGCAGTCTCCTGCCTCTCCTCTCTCATCTCACTCCACTCTCCTCCAGGCACCGAGGCTGGGGACTGTGTCTGGGTGTCTGGGTGCGAGTCACTCACTTGTGGCTTCCCATTCCGACTTGGTCATCGTTCCCTACGTGACGGGAGATGTGGAGAGACAGAACGCAAACAACACTATGAGATCTCTTTTACCAGTGGCAAAATATAATAGTAGGTTTTTACCCTTTTAACTGGTACAAAACTGACACCTTTATTCAAGGCATCATGTTTGCAATGACCACAACACAAGTAGTCAAAAAAGCAAACAAAAAGAAGCAACTCTGATAAGGATGATAATATGCACTGTCCTTGAAGTTGATTGGCCCACACCCGAGACGGCTTTCTTTAGAGCCTAGTCCCCATTGGTGTAGGGCCAGATGACACCAGAAGGCGTACAACTCAAACACAGTGCAATATCAGAGTATTGAGAGCTCGGGGTAAGCATTTACACTATGAGATCTCTTTTACCAGTGGCAAAATATAATAGTAGGTTTTTACCCTTTTAACTGGTACAAAACTGACACCTTTATTCAAGGCATCATGTTTGCAATGACCACAACACAAGTAGTCAAAAAAGCAAACAAAAAGAAGCAACTCTGATAAGGATGATAATATGCACTGTCCTTGAAGTTGATTGGCCCACACCCGAGACGGCTTTCTTTAGAGCCTAGTCCCCATTGGTGTAGGGCCAGATGACACCAGAAGGCGTACAACTCAAACACAGTGCAATATCAGAGTATTGAGAGCTCGGGGTAAGCATTTACACTATGAGATCTCTTTTACCAGTGGCAAAATATAATAGTAGGTTTTTACCCTTTTAACTGGTACAAAACTGACACCTTTATTCAAGGCATCATGTTTGCAATGACCACAACACAAGTAGTCAAAAAAGCAAACAAAAAGAAGCAACTCTGATAAGGATGATAATATGCACTGTCCTTGAAGTTGATTGGCCCACACCCGAGACGGCTTTCTTTAGAGCCTAGTCCCCATTGGTGTAGGGCCAGATGACACCAGAAGGCGTACAACTCAAACACAGTGCAATATCAGAGTATTGAGAGCTCGGGGTAAGCATTTACACTATGAGATCTCTTTTACCAGTGGCAAAATATAATAGTAGGTTTTTACCCTTTTAACTGGTACAAAACTGACACCTTTATTCAAGGCATCATGTTTGCAATGACCACAACACAAGTAGTCAAAAAAGCAAACAAAAAGAAGCAACTCTGATAAGGATGATAATATGCACTGTCCTTGAAGTTGATTGGCCCACACCCGAGACGGCTTTCTTTAGAGCCTAGTCCCCATTGGTGTAGGGCCAGATGACACCAGAAGGCGTACAACTCAAACACAGTGCAATATCAGAGTATTGAGAGCTCGGGGTAAGCATTTACACTATGAGATCTCTTTTACCAGTGGCAAAATATAATAGTAGGTTTTTACCCTTTTAACTGGTACAAAACTGACACCTTTATTCAAGGCATCATGTTTGCAATGACCACAACACAAGTAGTCAAAAAAGCAAACAATGGGGACTAGGCTCTAAAGAAAGCCGTCTCGGGTGTGGGCCAATCAACTTCAAGGACAGTGCATATTATCATCCTTATCAGAGTTGCTTCTTTTTGTTTGCTTTTTTGACTACTTGTGTTGTGGTCATTGCAAACATGATGCCTTGAATAAAGGTGTCAGTTTTGTACCAGTTAAAAGGGTAAAAACCTACTATTATATTTTGCCACTGGTAAAAGAGATCTCATAGTGTAAATGCTTACCCCGAGCTCTCAATACTCTGATATTGCACTGTGTTTGAGTTGTACGCCTTCTGGTGTCATCTGGCCCTACACCAATGGGGACTAGGCTCTAAAGAAAGCCGTCTCGGGTGTGGGCCAATCAACTTCAAGGACAGTGCATATTATCATCCTTATCAGAGTTGCTTCTTTTTGTTTGCTTTTTTGACTACTTGTGTTGTGGTCATTGCAAACATGATGCCTTGAATAAAGGTGTCAGTTTTGTACCAGTTAAAAGGGTAAAAACCTACTATTATATTTTGCCACTGGTAAAAGAGATCTCATAGTGTAAATGCTTACCCCGAGCTCTCAATACTCTGATATTGCACTGTGTTTGAGTTGTACGCCTTCTGGTGTCATCTGGCCCTACACCAATGGGGACTAGGCTCTAAAGAAAGCCGTCTCGGGTGTGGGCCAATCAACTTCAAGGACAGTGCATATTATCATCCTTATCAGAGTTGCTTCTTTTTGTTTGCTTTTTTGACTACTTGTGTTGTGGTCATTGCAAACATGATGCCTTGAATAAAGGTGTCAGTTTTGTACCAGTTAAAAGGGTAAAAACCTACTATTATATTTTGCCACTGGTAAAAGAGATCTCATAGTGTAAATGCTTACCCCGAGCTCTCAATACTCTGATATTGCACTGTGTTTGAGTTGTACGCCTTCTGGTGTCATCTGGCCCTACACCAATGGGGACTAGGCTCTAAAGAAAGCCGTCTCGGGTGTGGGCCAATCAACTTCAAGGACAGTGCATATTATCATCCTTATCAGAGTTGCTTCTTTTTGTTTGCTTTTTTGACTACTTGTGTTGTGGTCATTGCAAACATGATGCCTTGAATAAAGGTGTCAGTTTTGTACCAGTTAAAAGGGTAAAAACCTACTATTATATTTTGCCACTGGTAAAAGAGATCTCATAGTGTAAATGCTTACCCCGAGCTCTCAATACTCTGATATTGCACTGTGTTTGAGTTGTACGCCTTCTGGTGTCATCTGGCCCTACACCAATGGGGACTAGGCTCTAAAGAAAGCCGTCTCGGGTGTGGGCCAATCAACTTCAAGGACAGTGCATATTATCATCCTTATCAGAGTTGCTTCTTTTTGTTTGCTTTTTTGACTACTTGTGTTGTGGTCATTGCAAACATGATGCCTTGAATAAAGGTGTCAGTTTTGTACCAGTTAAAAGGGTAAAAACCTACTATTATATTTTGCCACTGGTAAAAGAGATCTCATAGTGTAAATGCTTACCCCGAGCTCTCAATACTCTGATATTGCACTGTGTTTGAGTTGTACGCCTTCTGGTGTCATCTGGCCCTACACCAATGGGGACTAGGCTCTAAAGAAAGCCGTCTCGGGTGTGGGCCAATCAACTTCAAGGACAGTGCATATTATCATCCTTATCAGAGTTGCTTCTTTTTGTTTGCTTTTTTGACTACTTGTGTTGTGGTCATTGCAAACATGATGCCTTGAATAAAGGTGTCAGTTTTGTACCAGTTAAAAGGGTAAAAACCTACTATTATATTTTGCCACTGGTAAAAGAGATCTCATAGTGTAAATGCTTACCCCGAGCTCTCAATACTCTGATATTGCACTGTGTTTGAGTTGTACGCCTTCTGGTGTCATCTGGCCCTACACCAATGGGGACTAGGCTCTAAAGAAAGCCGTCTCGGGTGTGGGCCAATCAACTTCAAGGACAGTGCATATTATCATCCTTATCAGAGTTGCTTCTTTTTGTTTGCTTTTTTGACTACTTGTGTTGTGGTCATTGCAAACATGATGCCTTGAATAAAGGTGTCAGTTTTGTACCAGTTAAAAGGGTAAAAACCTACTATTATATTTTGCCACTGGTAAAAGAGATCTCATAGTGTAAATGCTTACCCCGAGCTCTCAATACTCTGATATTGCACTGTGTTTGAGTTGTACGCCTTCTGGTGTCATCTGGCCCTACACCAATGGGGACTAGGCTCTAAAGAAAGCCGTCTCGGGTGTGGGCCAATCAACTTCAAGGACAGTGCATATTATCATCCTTATCAGAGTTGCTTCTTTTTGTTTGCTTTTTTGACTACTTGTGTTGTGGTCATTGCAAACATGATGCCTTGAATAAAGGTGTCAGTTTTGTACCAGTTAAAAGGGTAAAAACCTACTATTATATTTTGCCACTGGTAAAAGAGATCTCATAGTGTAAATGCTTACCCCGAGCTCTCAATACTCTGATATTGCACTGTGTTTGAGTTGTACGCCTTCTGGTGTCATCTGGCCCTACACCAATGGGGACTAGGCTCTAAAGAAAGCCGTCTCGGGTGTGGGCCAATCAACTTCAAGGACAGTGCATATTATCATCCTTATCAGAGTTGCTTCTTTTTGTTTGCTTTTTTGACTACTTGTGTTGTGGTCATTGCAAACATGATGCCTTGAATAAAGGTGTCAGTTTTGTACCAGTTAAAAGGGTAAAAACCTACTATTATATTTTGCCACTGGTAAAAGAGATCTCATAGTGTAAATGCTTACCCCGAGCTCTCAATACTCTGATATTGCACTGTGTTTGAGTTGTACGCCTTCTGGTGTCATCTGGCCCTACACCAATGGGGACTAGGCTCTAAAGAAAGCCGTCTCGGGTGTGGGCCAATCAACTTCAAGGACAGTGCATATTATCATCCTTATCAGAGTTGCTTCTTTTTGTTTGCTTTTTTGACTACTTGTGTTGTGGTCATTGCAAACATGATGCCTTGAATAAAGGTGTCAGTTTTGTACCAGTTAAAAGGGTAAAAACCTACTATTATATTTTGCCACTGGTAAAAGAGATCTCATAGTGTAAATGCTTACCCCGAGCTCTCAATACTCTGATATTGCACTGTGTTTGAGTTGTACGCCTTCTGGTGTCATCTGGCCCTACACCAATGGGGACTAGGCTCTAAAGAAAGCCGTCTCGGGTGTGGGCCAATCAACTTCAAGGACAGTGCATATTATCATCCTTATCAGAGTTGCTTCTTTTTGTTTGCTTTTTTGACTACTTGTGTTGTGGTCATTGCAAACATGATGCCTTGAATAAAGGTGTCAGTTTTGTACCAGTTAAAAGGGTAAAAACCTACTATTATATTTTGCCACTGGTAAAAGAGATCTCATAGTGTAAATGCTTACCCCGAGCTCTCAATACTCTGATATTGCACTGTGTTTGAGTTGTACGCCTTCTGGTGTCATCTGGCCCTACACCAATGGGGACTAGGCTCTAAAGAAAGCCGTCTCGGGTGTGGGCCAATCAACTTCAAGGACAGTGCATATTATCATCCTTATCAGAGTTGCTTCTTTTTGTTTGCTTTTTTGACTACTTGTGTTGTGGTCATTGCAAACATGATGCCTTGAATAAAGGTGTCAGTTTTGTACCAGTTAAAAGGGTAAAAACCTACTATTATATTTTGCCACTGGTAAAAGAGATCTCATAGTGTAAATGCTTACCCCGAGCTCTCAATACTCTGATATTGCACTGTGTTTGAGTTGTACGCCTTCTGGTGTCATCTGGCCCTACACCAATGGGGACTAGGCTCTAAAGAAAGCCGTCTCGGGTGTGGGCCAATCAACTTCAAGGACAGTGCATATTATCATCCTTATCAGAGTTGCTTCTTTTTGTTTGCTTTTTTGACTACTTGTGTTGTGGTCATTGCAAACATGATGCCTTGAATAAAGGTGTCAGTTTTGTACCAGTTAAAAGGGTAAAAACCTACTATTATATTTTGCCACTGGTAAAAGAGATCTCATAGTGTAAATGCTTACCCCGAGCTCTCAATACTCTGATATTGCACTGTGTTTGAGTTGTACGCCTTCTGGTGTCATCTGGCCCTACACCAATGGGGACTAGGCTCTAAAGAAAGCCGTCTCGGGTGTGGGCCAATCAACTTCAAGGACAGTGCATATTATCATCCTTATCAGAGTTGCTTCTTTTTGTTTGCTTTTTTGACTACTTGTGTTGTGGTCATTGCAAACATGATGCCTTGAATAAAGGTGTCAGTTTTGTACCAGTTAAAAGGGTAAAAACCTACTATTATATTTTGCCACTGGTAAAAGAGATCTCATAGTGTAAATGCTTACCCCGAGCTCTCAATACTCTGATATTGCACTGTGTTTGAGTTGTACGCCTTCTGGTGTCATCTGGCCCTACACCAATGGGGACTAGGCTCTAAAGAAAGCCGTCTCGGGTGTGGGCCAATCAACTTCAAGGACAGTGCATATTATCATCCTTATCAGAGTTGCTTCTTTTTGTTTGCTTTTTTGACTACTTGTGTTGTGGTCATTGCAAACATGATGCCTTGAATAAAGGTGTCAGTTTTGTACCAGTTAAAAGGGTAAAAACCTACTATTATATTTTGCCACTGGTAAAAGAGATCTCATAGTGTAAATGCTTACCCCGAGCTCTCAATACTCTGATATTGCACTGTGTTTGAGTTGTACGCCTTCTGGTGTCATCTGGCCCTACACCAATGGGGACTAGGCTCTAAAGAAAGCCGTCTCGGGTGTGGGCCAATCAACTTCAAGGACAGTGCATATTATCATCCTTATCAGAGTTGCTTCTTTTTGTTTGCTTTTTTGACTACTTGTGTTGTGGTCATTGCAAACATGATGCCTTGAATAAAGGTGTCAGTTTTGTACCAGTTAAAAACGCAAACAACCTTCGGCGTGAATACACAAAACGCGCATGACGCCAATCAAATGTTCATATTGCCAAGCACAGATGCGTTTCGTTTTTTTTATCGATTTGTTTGTTTAATGGGGCCCCCCCCGTGGAAAACGAGTCGCGAGACTCGGCGAGGACTTTTCCCGCGTACACATTCGGAGCGGCAAATAACGTCAACTTGAAGCGCGCCGCACGGTACCCGCTCGCAGAGACAGAGAGGCCGACTCGGAGGCGCCAGGAGGAGGAACCACGGACGAGCGGGGAAGGAACAGTGAGCCAGCGCCAAATTCTCCTGCAAGCTCTACGGTCCTCTATATAGTAATGTGTTTTAACTTGAGAAGAAACCAGAGCACCCGGAAAACGAATTTCTTTATAACTGCTTTTTGTGTTTAGTTTGTTTTCCTTCCCCCGCACCTCCGATTAACACAGTTGGCTACGTACGGCGCGAAAGAAATTCAACCCACGTGGATGAGGTGGCCACAAATACGGAACAGGTAGAAATCCACATTTTCGCTTTTACCGCCCTCTCCTGGCGATCCACGATACAACTCCTCTCCTTTCACCGCATTTGTGCGACGATCTGCCAACCCCTCTCGCTGCTGCCTCCATCGTCGTCGGCTTACAGGCGGAGTGCAGCGCAGCCACCGCACATAAGCTAGCGGTACGTGGGCGCGCGCGTCTGTGCTCGTGTGTGCGGATCCCAGGTTGAGCTCATTACCACGTTGCCGTGGGGCTGGTTGCTCTCCTGCAGGCTGGTTTTCACGTGCTCGTAGTCCTCAAGGTTGCCGCTCACCAGACTTGAGCCTGGCCCTGGTGGGTACGCCTGCCACAAAGACAAAGATCCCCGTGTAGCCTTTAATATACTGTTGGGGCAAGTGCTGTCAGCAAGCAGCTATTAAGGCCGGCACGGCACACAAGCGGGTGGGTGGCCAACATCACGCCCGGGCTGCCGTTGTCTCCATAGTGGCGATGTTTACACACCGCACCAGGTACTCATTTGAGGCTGAATCGACCACCAAAGACAAAGATCCCCTGTATAGCCTTTAACATACTGTTGGGGCAAGTGCTGTCAGCAAGCAGCTATTAAGGCCGGCACGGCACACAAGCGGGTGGGTGGCCAACATCACGCCCGGGCTGCCTTTGTCTCCTTAGTGGCGATGTTTACACATCGCACCAGGTGCTCATTTGAGGCTGAGTCGACCTAGGGGAGGCCCAGGACAGGTTCAAATAATCGTCACCGGTGGTGGCCGTGAGCGGGAATCGAACCAGGGTCGCCGGATTCGTAGCACATCGCGCTAACCGCACACATGTACACACACTCGCCCCAGTGTCACAAACAAACACATCACTCTCCACCGCACACAAAGATCCCCTGTATAGCCTCAACAGACTGTAGGGGCAAGTGCTGCTAGCGAGAACCTATAAAAGCCAGAATGACACAAAGCCAAAGATCCCCCGTATAACCTTAAATACTGTTGGGGCAAGTGTTGTTAGCGAGCACCTATGAAGGCCGGAACGGCACACACACACACACACACGTTTCCTCATCGTGATTTTAACATGATTTTTAACGTGATTTTAACATTTCAACATGTTTCTACCTCCATCGCCTGCATTCTCTCCATCAGTATCCTGTGCTCCTTCTCCTGGCTCTTTTGCCGGAAGTATTCGGCGAACGTCTTGTTCATCAGCAGCTTCATGCCGTGCTTCTTGGCCATCCTACAAAACCGTCGGGCGACACGGGAGGGGCGACTCGGGAGTTACAGGGAAAGCACGACGCATGCGAGGAAGAAAAACCACGCACACGCACGGATTCTGAAAGGCTTCCCAACAAGCGTTTGTCCCCGGCAGTATTTAATTAGCGATTAGGATGTATATTTCAACTTGTAACTTCTGCGCCGTCGTTGTCACACAGAATTCACTCTTCGGAAAGAGGGAGGACGACTCGGAGAGGCTGACTCGGACAGAGGACGACTCAGTAGGCGCCAGGGGGAACCACCACAGGCGAGCGGGAAGGCAGTAGCAGCAGCCGGTGCCCAATTTCGTCCCCCTCAAGCTCTGCGGTCCTCTATATATCGTGGTGTTATCGGACAATTCAATTAATGAGTGTTTACATGTGGGAGGAAACCGGAGCATCGGGAGAAAATCCACTTTTGTGAGGGGGCAACGCTCGATCCCCATACACATGGGGCAGATGGAATCCACATTTTGGCTGTACCATGATTTCCTGGAGAGCCAGGGTACAGCACGGGAAGGGAGTTTCGCAACAATGGTGCGGCGATTCACCAACCCTCGCAGCTGCTGCTGCCTCCACAGCGCTGGATTACAGGCAGCCACGTGAGGCAGCGTAGACACTACGGCCACCCGGCTGCGTCACGTTTCAAGCCGCACAAAGACGTCACTTGGCGCGTTACGTCGTGCGTGTGTGTGCGAGCGAGTGTGTGTGTTTGTGTGCGAGCGTGTGTGTTTGTGTGCGCGAGTGTCTGTGCGAGCGAGTGAGGGTGTGCAGGTGAGCGTTAGTGCGTGTTTGTGTGCGCGCTAGTGTGTACGAGTGCGAGTGCATGTGTATACGTGTGTGCATGCATATGAGCGTGTGAATGTGTGCAAGCGAGCGTGAGTGCGTGTTTGTGTGCGCGCTAGTGTATGTGTACGAGTGCTTGCGAGTGTGTGTGTGCGAGCGAGCGTGAAGCGTGTGTTTGTGTGCGTGAGTGTGTATGTGCGTGTGCACGCGCGTGTGCGCGCTAGTGTGTGTACGAGTGCTTGCGAGTGCGTGTGTGCGTGTGTGCGAGTGCTTATGTGCTTGCGAGTGTGTGTGTGCGCGCGTATGCGTGCGTGGCGCGTGTGTAAGTGCGAGTGCTTATGTGCTTGCGAGTGTGTGTGTGCGTATATGTGTGTGTGTGCGCGCGTATGCGTGCGTGGCGCGTGTGTAAGTGCGAGTGCTTATGTGCTTGCGAGTGTGTGCGTGTGTGCGTGCGTGCGCGTGCGCGACGGACTCCTGCAGGAGAGGGAAGTAGACGAGGAACTCGGGGCAGTCCACGACGCCCTCCAGGTGGAAGTCGTACTTGCACCCGAAGAGGGGGAACGAGGTCTTGTCGGGGAAGCGGACCGAGTACACCTCGTTACCGAATGACAGCCCCTCCGCCTTCATCAGACGCTTCCTACAAAACGACAGAGAAGATCCCCACTCACCCCCGCCGTGCAGCATTTAACAAACTGTTGGGGCAAGCGCCGTTAGAGCGAGGAGCGCCTACGGTGAAGGAGCGAGCACAACGGGTGGTGGTGCGGCCGGCATCTCTCCCGATCGCCTTTGCCTCCCCCGATGCCGATGTGAACGCACCGCAACCCGGTACCCATTTACGGCCGAGTAGACCTAGGGGAGACCCAGAAATTGCTTTGATATCGCTCGAAATCATAGCTGCCGGCTTCGTTGCACCGGTGCGTGCATCGCTGCGCGACCGTTCCACACCTACACGCGCGCACGCACAAGCGTTCAAGCCGCAGAGTCCCATGAGCCCAGACCGGACGTCCGCACCGCCTGTGCTGGCATAACTACAGCGGTTCCAATTTTCCGATTAAGCCAATAACAGTGGGGTCTGTGATAACCGCTTGAAATGAGTGGGGTGATCAAATGTTGCACGCGTATTGGCCGTGCAAAATAAATCGGAAGTACCACAGTTTTACCATAGCAGGTGGTGCCCAAGGTGGCTAGGAGATGTTAACTACCTCGCCTGGTATGCAGGAGGTCGTGGGTTAGATCCCGACCCTGACGCCTGCTGTATATTTGGAGTTTGCGTGTCTCTCTCCCCGTGGCCGCGTGGATTTTTCTCCGGTTTTTCCCTCGACATGTGATATTCCGCTTGAGCACGTGATACTCCGCTCCGTCGAGCTATCATTTGTGGCCAGGCCGCCTCTGAAAAAAAGAGCTATGTAGCTCGGCGGGTCTTGCCTGCTAAAATAAAATAACAACAGTTTAGTTTTAGTTTAACCGAGCGATAACGGCGACGGCAATGATGACCTAACACCGCTCACACGAGTTCCCGGGCATCCGGCGTCGTCCCGAAGAAGATGCCTCCCGGTTTCAGACGCTCGCAGGCGTTGCGCAGCATCGTGTCTGCCTGCGCTTGGCTCTCCATCGAGTAGTGGTACACGAACTGGCAGCTCACGAGGTCGAAGGTGCGTGAGCGGTCCTCAAAGCGGTCCGACAGGAGCTCCTGTGGTAGCGTGGTGGGGGAGGTGCGGGAGGTGCGGGGGGAGGTGGGGGGGTGGTGGTGGGGGAGGTGGGAGGTGGTGCCCATCATCACGATTGCCGCCACCACCCACCATCATCATCATCACCGTCCAGGATCAATCCGTTGCAAGACGGAGGTGTCCCCAGGCCCCCCCGCTTTAACGATTTTTCTTCTCGTCAGAAAGACCCCAACAGTAACGACCAAAACTCGTACACATACACTACGTGTACACTAGACACAAGCTACACGTACGCTACACACAAGCTACACGTACACTACACACACACTACACTACACACGCTACACTACACACACGCTACACTACAAGTCCACACCTTGCTGCAGTCGGCAGCGATGAACTCGGCGGAGAAGATGGGGCCTCCTCCGCCGCGTCCCCGCATGTCGTTGTACCGCTGCCGGCACTGATCCACTGACGTCGCAGCGATGTCTGCACCCACGCAGAGACACCGAGACCCACAATCACCACCCACGAGTTTCAATAGACACAGAGACACAGACACCCACAATCATCACCCACGAGTTTCAATAGACACAGAGACACCCACAATCATCACCCACGTGTTTCAATAGACAGAGAGACCGAGACCCACAATCACCACCAACGAGTTTCAATAGACACAGAGACACAGACACCCACAATCATCACCCACGTGTTTCAATAGACACAGAGATACAGACACCCACAATCATCACCCACGAGTTTCAATAGACACAGAGACACAGACACCCACAATCATCACCCACGAGTTTCAATAGACAGAGACACAGACACCCACAATCACCACCCACGAGTTTCAATAGACACAGAGACACCGAGACCCACGATCACCACCCACGAGTTTCAATAGACACAGACACCCACAATCATCACCCACGAGTTTCAATAGACACAGAGACACCGAGACCCACGATCACCACCCACGAGTTTCAATAGACACAGAGACCCACAATCGTCACCCACGAGTTTAAATAGACACAGAGACCCACAATCATCACCCACGAGTTTCAATAGACACAGAGACACCGAGACCCACGATCACCACCCACGAGTTTCAATAGACACAGAGACACCCGAGACCCACAATCATCAACCACGTGATGTAATAGACACAGAGACACAGACACCCACAATCATCAACCACGTGATGTAATAGACACAGAGACACAGACACCCACAATCATCACCCACGCATCTCTCCTATCTGCAGCGCCCACACGTATCAGCAGACAATCTCGCTCTGGATATCTCAACAGGCAACTCTCTCTCTCTCTCCTCCCTCCTCCTTTCTTGCGTGTCCACACCAAACGGAGCGGGAGATCACTCCACGGACTCTTCCGCTCCGACGGCTTTCCCCGGCCTTCCCTCCTCGCCGACGAAGCGTGAAACCCGTTGCGCGCGCGCACGCACGCACGCTCACCTGCGCAGACGAGGTGGCCGATGGAGGCACGACGCCACTTGAGCATGTCCCCTCCCTTGCCGCAGCCGAGGTCGAGAACGGACAGCGCCCCGCCGCGCCCGTCCGCCCGCACCTTCTGCACAAACTCGTCTGCACGCAGACATCGCAATACGTACATATGGGGACACCTCTACCTACGAACGTTCAACTTGTGAACATTTCAGAGATACGAACAAACCTGGTCCGTACGTCCAGTCACCTGTGCGGCGGTGGTGGCATCTACATCTATCAAACATGAAGAACCAGTGGCATCTACATCTGCAGAACATGAAGAACCAGTGGCATCTACATCTGCAGAACGTGAAGAACCAGTGGCATCTACATCTACAAAAAGTGAAGAACCAGTGGCATCTACATCTACAGAACATGAGGAACCGTTGGCATCTACATCTGCAGAACATGAAGAACCAGTGGCATCTACATCTGCAGAACGTGAAGAACCAAATTTTCTTGCTGTGGATTTCACACCTGATGATGATTGCGATCGAAACGTCGTGAGAATTTTTATTGTTTGATATTTTATTACTTTATTATTTCCCTTCTACGTGACTTTACCGAAAGAACCAAGAATATCATGAGAGGTTTTTGCCAGAAAGATGTGTCCACTACTCGGGCGTATTGGCACGAGACAGAGCAAAGTGGAAACAAATGACGAAATGTGCAGTGTTGAGTGCGCGGGCGCGCGCGCGTGCTTAATAGTGTGTGGGAGTGTGCGAGGTGGGGTGGGGTTTAGAGCGAGCAGCGTGCTTCACGGCGTACTGGGAGTGTGGCGTGCGGCATAGCGTGGTGCGTAGTGCGTGTGGTGCTGCGAGTATTGTGCGCAAGCCTCACTGATGAGCACGCTCTTGAGCCAATTGTTGAAGTTGCGCATGTAGAGGATGCGGCTGTGGCTCCGCGCATCTCGCCCCACCTCCTGGAGCTGATTGTAGTGAGTGGCGACTACGCTGCCAAGCCCCGGTCCACGCTGCCCACACACACACACAAAGGTAAAGATCTCCCGCGTAGTCATTCAGACTTGTTGGTGGTGCAAGTGCTGTTAGCAAGCGATAATACAACAAAAATACTTGTTTACCCGGGAAACTACACAAAGCTTCACATGGGAAGGTTTTTGTAGTGCCCACAGAAAACCACCCACACACGCACTTAAAAGCTCCACACAGATCGATTTACGAATCCACAGTTTTACTCCCATTTTCCTTGCTGCCCCCGCACCTCCGATTAGCACGGCTGGCTACGTACGGCGCGAAAGAGGTTCAACGTACGTACGTACGAACTTTCAGCCTAAGTTTCGATTTAAAGCTTTCGTGACTGCAGGGATTCATCTTCTTGGTTCTTTCGGTAAAGTCACGTAGAAAGAATTTCATAAAATAATAAAAATAAAACATAATAAAATAATTCTCACGACGTTTCAGCCACAACGCAAGGTCTGTCAAGGAGACAGAATATCCTTGACAGACCTGTTCTTCACCTGAAGACGGCTACTTGCGTTGTGGCCGAAACGTCGTGAGAATTATTTTATTATGTTTTATTTTTATTATTTTATGAAATTCTTTCTACGTGACTTTACCGAAAGAACCAAGAAGATTTCAGCCTAAGCTTACAACACCCAGGCAGTTCCCTGTCCCAGTACTAAACAATTATAATAACACATTTATCCGAAAAAATCCACACTGAGTGAAAGGACTGTTATTCACAGGAGGGTCCCGCATTGGATGTTTTTTTATGAAAAAAAAATTCTCAGACACTTAAACGAGGGCTTGCACACACGTGGGAGAAAACCGGAGCACCTGGAGATAACCCACGCTCGCGTGCGAGGGGGCAACGCTCTATCCCCGTACAGATGGAACAAATGGAATGCAAATATTTTGCCGTACCGCCTTCTCCTGACGGGCCAGGTTACGGGCACCTTCTCGGCGGCTACAGGAAGGGAGTTTCGCGACATCTTTGCGCGATCCGCCAACCCTCGCTCTGTCGAGAGTGCTGGATTACTGACTGTGTGCGCTTGGCTAAGTCAAGACCGGCGCGGCGTAGGAGGAATCGTTTTTGTCATCGCCACGCTCGCTCGGCTGCCTAATTCTCCCCAGTGATGATGTTTATACACCGCAACAGGTACTCACTCATTTAAGGCAGAGTCTACCTAAACTAAAAACTAAACTATTTCTTATTTGACCACCTAAGTCCCATCTTCTTGGTTCTTTCGGTAAAGTCACGAATGGAAATAATAAAATAATAAGAATAAAACATTATAAAATAAGCGTCAGACGCTGTCTTTCTGACAGACCTGTTCTTCACCTGAGGACGGCTGCTTGCGTTGTGGCCGAAACGTCGTGAGAATTATTTTATTATGTTTTCTTTTTATTATTTTATTATTTCCATTCTACGTGACTTTACCGAAAGAACCAAGAAGATGAATCCCTGCAGTCACGAAAGCTTTAAATCGACACCTAAGTCCCACTTCGTTGAGCTATCATTTGTGGCCGGGTCGCTTCTGAAAGAGCCAAATAGCTTGCCTGGTAAAATAAAAAAAGTTTGTTCATGGTTTTTAGATGACCAGATTAGTCGGATCACGGCCCAGCGAGAATGAGGAGATACCTTAGCAGCAGTGGCGCCATCCTCCTCGTCTGAATCTCGAGCATTCCTCTTCACTCCACCGGCAACTGCCTCCTGCCTTGGACCGACTTCTGCTTACGCAACACACAGCAATCACACCGCACACACACACGCACACGAAGTACAGCTTCATTACGTTGAGGGCAACTCATCATTATCACCATCAGAGCCACGATCGATCCACTGCTGAATGAAGGCCTCCGCAAGCCACCACCGCCACCTTTCACGACCCTGGCGATGAGTCAAATCCTTACAAAACCCGCACATGGACCGATGTCATCGCTCCATCTCCCCTTGGGTGGCCGCGTCCTTTTCGGAAGCGTTCCAATCCGTTTGGGTGCCGTCACCCCTTCGTGCCTCCTTGCCGACGGGTTCCGACCAAGCCCGTTCGCCTTCAACCCGACGTCTTCCTTCATTAAATCTGACATTAAAACAAGCATTACCCCGTAGGGCTTTCGCGACCAATATCATACATAATACAGGTTGTTTTGGGTTGCATCGTCATCACATCTACCCCTCTATTTAAGGAAGGAAGAAAGCAGATGGTGGTGATGAGAGAGGGTGGTGGTGGTGATGAGTGGGTGGTGATGATGATGAGAGGGTGGTGATGGTGGTGATGAGAGGGTGGTGATGGTGATGAGAAGGTGGTGGTGGTGATGATGAGAGGGTGGTGGTGGTGATGATGAGAGGGTGGTGATGGTGATGATGAGAGGGTGGTGATGGTGATGAGAGGGTGGTGATGATGAGAGGGTGGTGGTGGTGAGAGGGTGGTGGTGATGAGAGGGTGGTGGTGGTGATGGTGATGATGAGAGGGTGGTGGTGATGAGAGGGTGGTGATGTTGATGAGAGGGTGGTGGTGATGAGAGGGTGGTGATGGTGATGAAAGTGTCGTGGTGGTGATGAGAGGATGGTGGTGGTGATGGTGGTCATGATGATGATGAGAGGGTGGTGGTGATGTTGATGAGAGGGTGGTGGTGGTGATGAGAGGGTGGTGATGGTGATGAAAGTGTGGTGGTGGTGATGAGAAGATGGTGGTGATGAGAGTGTGGTGGTGGTGGTGATGATGAGAGGATGGTGGTGGTGATGAGAGGATGGTGGTGGTGATGAGAGGATGGTGGTGGTGATGAGAGGATGGTGGTGGTAGTAACAATGAGGGGAGAAGAGGGAAGGAAAGAAGGAGCGAGTGAAGTTGAGCTGCACGGAAGAAGCGGCATCTGTTTTCACGAGTCGGGATGCCCGAATACAAGTCACGGGATGTACAGAAGGCTTGAGTTGATCTACATCAGTGATTCATAACCTTTACTGCAGCTTCTTGGTTCTTTCGGTAAAGACACGTAGAAGGGAAATAATACAAATAAAACATAATAACATACAATTCTCACGTTTCGGCCACAACGCAAGCAGCCGTCCTACAGACCTGTTCTTCACCTGAGGACGGCTGCTTGCGTTGTGGCCGAAACGTCGTGAGAATTTAATTGTTTTATTATTTTATTATTTCCCCTCTAAGTGACTTTACCGAAAGAACCAAGAAGATGAACCCCTGCAGTCACGAAAGCTTTAAATCGAAACTTGCGCCCCTTTGGTTCTTAAGCCTCCAAATTTGTTTTACAATATCAATAAACACATCGGGTTTGATGCAAAAAAGTAGTTGTATTTTGCGTGCCCCGTGCTTGTTTTTATTTTATTTAGAGCCCCTTAATAACATTTGCTACAGGCCCCGTGCGAGCTTAGTCCGGCACTGCGTGAGCACCCCACGGCGACCCACAGATGTGTCTGCACGACGAGCAAAGCATTCTAGATTTGAAGCTTTCGTGACTGCAATGATTCATAATCTTAGGTTTTTTCGGTAAAGTCACGTAGGTAAAAAAATCAAAATTAATAAAAATAAAATAAAGATCACGACGTTTCGGAAACGTCGTGATCTTTATTTTTTATTATTATTTATTTTTTATCAATTTTGATGTTTTACCTACGTGACTTTACCGAAAAAACCTAAGATTATGAGCAAATCATTCACAATCCACTGCTGGATGACCGCGAGTAGGAAGGGGGGTGGTGGGTTTGCTTCTAACCACGAACCTCACCGCTGCTGGTCAGTGCAAAGCGGTGGTGTGGGGTGTGGAGGGGAGTGAATCGACCGACGCGAGAGAGCATAGAGAGTAGAGTACAACAGCGGCATTGCTGCGCCCGCACTGGCAGCAGCAGCAGTGAGTGACTACGACGACGACGACGCCGGCTATCATCCCGAGTCTCGGAACCACAGCGGCGGCTTTTGGAGTTTCCGAGGCCCGACGGCGAGCTGTCGAAGCAGAAAAGAGGTGACGGGCGAGGGAGGAGGAGGAAGAGGAGGAGAAGGAGGAGGAGGAAGAGGAGGAGGATTTCATTCACCCGCTCGCGACGCGTTCACTCCGCTGTCCGCCATGAGCGATGACCCCTCCAGTGATGGGGGAGGAGGTGGTGGGTGGGTGGGTGGAGGTGGAGCACGCGAGAATCACTTCCGGGGTTATTCCCGCCTATTTTTACCGGAACACGTGGGCTGGGGGGGAGGGGCTACGACGGAACACGTGGGGCGGTAACACCGGAACACGTGGTTTTTACTGCTACACCGGAACACGTGGTTTTTACTGCTACACTGGAACACGTGGTTTTTACTGCTACACAGGAACACGTGGTTTTTACTGCTACACTGGAACACGTGGTTTTTACTGCTACACTGGAACACGTGGTTTTTACTGCTACACTGGAACACGTGGTTTTTACTGCTACACCAGACCACGTGGTTCGGCTACACAGGAACACGTGGTAACGGCCACACCAGACCACGTGGTTCGGCTACGCAGCAACACGTGGTTTTTACTGCTACACCGGAACACGTGGTTTGGCTACACCAGACCACGTGGTTCGGCTACACAGGAACACGTGGTTTTTCAGTCACACCGCAACACGTGGTAACGGCCACACCAGACCACGTGGTTCGGCTACGCAGGAACACGTGGTTTTTCAGACACACCGGAACACGTGGAGACGGCCACACCGTAACACGTGGTTTGTGGAATCGGTTGTGTAAAAACAAATCGATGTTTGCGATTCAGTTTCAGGTCAGTTTATTTTGAAGTACCCCGTAAGCCAAGAAGCTCTTAAATCGGGTTTCATCAACACAAGCAACACCACAGAAAAACGCAACGCATTCATTAACCCCCCCCCCCCCCTTCGCACGTAAAGAGCTCACAAGTGACTTCATCACATCTACACCTCTATTTAAGGAACGAAACAGGAGGATTTCTCTACAAATCTGGCTGTCGCCTGATGAAGCTAGTTGTTATTACTGGCAATACGTCGTACTCAGGTTGTAAATGTTGTGGGTGTGCTCTCCAACACACCGGTGTGCTGTGCTAGTAAGGAATTGGCACGTTCTGTTTACGTGACAAACCCCTTACCTTGTTGGCTGTGTCGGGTGGTGGCGGGTTTAACGACAGATTTATATTTACGCAATCTAACTATAAAAACTATATGATGAACGCAACGAGTCACTAAACAATAGCGGATGAGAAATAAAAAAAAGTTAACAAATCATAATCGCAATATCCATTATTTTTATACTCTTTGGTTCTTTCGGTAAATTTCGATTTAAAGCTTTCGTGACTGCAGGGATTCATCTTCTTGGTTCTTTCGGTAAAGTCACGTAGAAGGGAAGTAATAAAATAATAAAAATAAAACATAATAAAATAATTCTCACGACGTTTCGGCCACAACACAAGCAGCCGTCCTCAGGTGAAGACTAGGTATAAAATAAATTAAATCACGACGTTTCGGGCGCAACACAAGCGTCCGTCACGCACAGCAAGAAACAATTGCTGTGGTTGTCTCACCTGATGAAGTTCGCTTGTGTTGCGCCCGAAACGTCGTGATTTAATTTGTTTAATTTTATACCTACGTGACTTTACCGAAAGAACCAAAGAATATGGATCCCTGCAGTCACGAAAACTTCAAACCTAGATCAATTCTTTTTGTTTCAAGAAAAATTAAGTTCAACATAGATTCTCATCAAATACCACGCTGTATATCTACAGAATGCGAAGTAAAATCTGCCGTCGTAATTATAATTCAGATACAGCCTCAAACACGATGGGCGTTATTCGATTGGGCAAGTCGCTGCTTATCGAGAAATGTCTTCACGTGACTCGTTCGTCCACTAGAGGTCGCCTCACCCGCGATGTTTAAAAAAAAATTAAACAAAGTTTTTCACTCTAAATCCTTTATATGCGTGGCGGCTAGAGTCCTCTCGTCCTCTGGCTTGAGATGGCTGCCACCTATGTGTCAGATGATTGTCTGCCAGCATTAAGCAATTGGTAATTAAATATATATATTTTCCCCTAAACAGTGTAAAATTTTGAAAAAAAATTTTCACGAAAATTAATTGTCACGCACAACGAGTCTGTGTGCAAAATGTCAGCTCGATTGGATCACGGGAAGTGGGTTAAAAAACGACCGAAAGATTTGCACGGTCGTAAGCAAGCAAGCACGCAAGCAAGCAAGCATGCGAACTTAATATAAAGGATTTGAAAACTCGATTCTTGTCGGAGGATGAATAATTTACGATCACGTAGCGTACAACATACCGTGTCAAGCCACGCGGTTTACTCCGTATTCTTGTGCAGGGAAATTGAGTTTTCAGGTCCATACGGCGGCTGGCAGTTTCAATGCGGGCAACAACAAAACAACGTCTATTTGTGTGTTCTCCCTTGTGATGGCACTTTGTAGGATGAACGTTGAGATTTATGAGGGCACGGGGTGACCAGTAAGGTCTGAATTGGTCTGTAATAAGGTAGGGCACTGATAAGGGGTTGACAGGTATGGAGACCCACAGAGATACACGGAGACCCACAGAGATACACAGAGATGTATAGCTGTCAACCCATATGGCTTACCCCATATTCTTGTCCAGGGGAAATTTAGTTTTCAGGTCCATACAGCGGACAGCCGTTTCAATACGGGCAAATAAATAACTAAAAATGCTGTATATTTGTTTGTGTTTCTCCCTTGTGATGGCACTTTGTAGGATGAACGTTGAGATTTATGAGGGCACGGGGTGACCAATAAGGTCTGAATTGGTCTGTAATACGTTAGGGCACTGATAAGGAGTTGACAGGTATGTTACAAGCCCTTGGCTATTGCACCAGTATCGTGCGGCGTCGTCCGTAAAAACCCTCTTCACCCGTCGCACTGATACCAGTGTGGGAGTTAATCGGCGACTGACATCGTCAGGCACGATCAATCCACTGCTGGATGGAAACCTTCTCCAAGCCATCTCTCACCACTCTGTGATAATCCGTCGGTGTAAAGTTCTATGAATCTTAGTGAACAAAAAGACAACTCTATACGGCTGCAATGTCCTTTAACGGCCGCTACTGCCGACGATCTTGGGCCGTGACTGTCCTTGCCAACAGAGCTCCCTGGCTCAATGTGGTGGGGGGGGGGGGCGGCTTAACTACCAGCTGATGAAATGATACAATCTTCAGTCCGACCGCACTTGATCACCAACCGTTCGCGACGCGTGGGGTCCATTTGCAATGCAATTGAAATGGACAGCGCCCTGGTGCTGATTCTGTCTCCGCCTCCAGCCAGCGGTTTGCTGTTGCGAGAGCCGGTGTTGGCGTGACGCACAGCGAGAGAAGGGATGACGCAAACCGAGCCGGCGCTCATGAATAAAGTAATCCCCAATCGAGGCAGTCTCGAAGCCGGAACCGCCCACATATACAGAGTGGGGGGGGGGGGAGTAACACATTACCCACCAGACCCAACCCAAGGCTGTCGCCTCCAAAGCCTCACCAATACGTCCCGCTCTCTCTCTCTCTCCCTCGCTGCGCTCCCAATATAATAGTGAGACAACAACAACAATAATAATAACAATTAAATACAGAGAGGTATTCATAGGCGACGTTGCCGCCACGCTTGTCTGCACACACTCCGTGTGCGTGTGGTGTGTGGCGAGCTCGAGCTTGTGCTGCACGGGGGACATGCAAGCGGGGTCTACGAAGTGCGCGTGTAACGCAGCGGCGTTCGCATTCCCGCTCGCGTGTTCATCGTACAAGAGTTGGTTGCGTAACAGCGTGCGCGCGCGGCACGGCGTGTTGATTGCTGCGTCCGTAGCGTTGCGAGCGGCGGTGATTGACTGAATTATCCGAAGAGATTGGGAGTAGGAGATCACATTGCTCGGCGGACGGACGGACGCACTGGCGGACGCACGGACGGACAGAGAGAATTGAGTCATCGTTGGTGCTCGGGGGAGAAATTTGCGTGCGGCGAGAGTTCATTGAGACGGACAGATGCTGCGATCAACCATCGCGACAGCGAGCCACTAGAGAAGATACTGTACGAGGAACGTGTTTCGGAAGGAGTTTGTCGATGTCATGAAGACAAGAGGCGATATTGGATGAGCGACATTGGGTGATCGTCGAGGGCTCCTGTCGAGAACACAAGTCGAGGATCAGCAGTAGCATCAGCGCAAGGCGAGCGGAGTGACGTCGGGACGTCGTCACGAGGTAACATTACGATCAGTTCATCATTTAAGGATTCATCAGATCATCAGCAGCAGCAGCATCATCACAAGACTAATTGAGTGACATCACGACATCGTTAGTTAGACGTAAGTTGAGTCGCTTTATCGAGCCAGTGAGCGAGTAGGTTGCTCCTCCACCCCTCCCGTCTCAATCTACACGCGGGGAGTGACCTCCTCCCCTCCTCCCCCACCTCCTTGCGCGCGCCAGAAGTAAAAGAAAAAATCGCCTGCAGCCTCCTCAACGTCGCCGCAGATCGTCGCAGAACCTCAAATCGCGCACCCGCTGCCCCGCAAACTCCCCCAGCTATGGACGGCGACGGCGGCCCGGCGGCGAGAAAGCGTTCGACGAAGTCCGCGGGAGGTGACGGAGCTCCGGCCATGACGACGACGGAGACGGCGTCGCCTGAGCGAGGGGTCGGCGAGGGCCGCGGAGTGACCCTCAAGCAGGAGATCGGCCTCGTGAGCGCGTGCGGCATCATCGTGGGTGCGTGGGCCTCTGCGTCACGTGACCTCCATTGTTCCCAGCCTCGTGCGCAATCATCGCCACCGTCGCCATCTTGGTCTGACGTCATCGTCACCATGGCAACATTGCCATTGTGACGTCGTCATCGTCATCGTCATCATTATCGTCGTCATCATCATCCTCATAGTCATCATCATCGTCGCCATCGTCGTCATCATCGTCGTTATTATCGTCATCGGTACTCATGCAGCTGCGTTGGAAGTGGTGCACGAATCTAAATACATTCGTCAATAACATTGTGTGTGACCTGAAAAGAAAAAGTATATAACAGTCGACGTTTCAGGCAATGGCCCTTCTTCATAAAGTACGTAAAATGTTTTTATTTTAATTGAAGGCGGTTTTGTTGATGAATATTTTAAGTTGTTTTGTCATCGTCATCATTAGCAGCAGCAGCAGATGTAGCAATATCATCAGAAGCATAAATAAATCCGTTAGATGCAGAAGAATCATCATCATCAGCAGCAAAGTGTCATCAACAGCATGATTATCGTCATAGTTGCCATCAGCAGAATATCATCATCAGCAGCAGCAGAAGCAGCATTATTAGTAGAAGCAAAATAATCATCAGCAGCAGAATCATCATCAGCACCATAATCATCAATATGGGCAGGAGCAGCAGAAGCATCATCAGCAAAATCATTATCATCATCAGCAGCAGCAGCGGAAGCATCAACATGGTCAGCAGCAGAATCACGAGTAGCAGAATCATCAGCAGGAGCATCAGCAGAATCATCAGTAGAATCATCAGCAGAACCATCAGCAGAATCATCAGCAGGATCATCAGCAGAATCATCAGCAGAATCATCAGCAGAATCATCAGCAGGAGCATCAGCAGAATCATCAGGAGAATCATCAGCAGGAGCATCAGCAGAATCATCAGCAGAATCATCAGCAAGATCATCAGCAGAATCATCAGCAGAATCATCAGCAGGAGCATCAGCAGAATCATCAGCAGGATCATCAGCAGAATCATCAGCAGAATAATCATCAGAATAATCAGCAGGATCATCAGCAGAATCATCAGCAGGATCATCAGCAGAATCATCAGCAGAATCATCATCAGAATCATCAGCAGGATCATCAGCAGAATCATCAGCAGGATCATCAGCAGAATCATCAGCAGAATCATCATCAGAATCATCAGCAGGATCATCAGCAGAATCATCAGCAAGATCATCAGCAGAATCATCAGCAGAATCATCATCAGAATCATCAGCAGGATCATCAGCAGAATCATCAGCAAGATCATCAGCAGAATCATCAGCAGAATCATCATCAGAATCATCAGCAAAATCATCAGCAGAATCATCATCAGAATCATCAGCAGAATCATCAGTAGAATCATCAGGAGCAGCATCAGCAGGAGCATCAGCAGGAGCATCATCATCGCTGCCGACACGTTCTGTCTATTGCTGCTGTTCACGCCGTTATGTAAACCACCACCGCGTGTTCATTGCCACAGTGTAGCAGGTTATTGAATCATCGTCAGCACGCGGTACTTTTACCGAACATCATAGAAAAAAATGGGACCTTTTTGCCATTATCAAAGCATGAAAAAATTATAATCGGTTTTAACCTTTTTGGCAATAACAGGAGTTGTGCTAACATGTTCAAACACCGAATAGAAACCTTTTTCAAGTGATCAAGTACTGCATCAACCACACATAGTGCTTGTGGCGGACATGCAAACACAACGTGCTCTGGTAATGTTTGTTTGCATGTTCACCGCAAGGACTGTGTGTGGTTAATGCAGAGACTTGATTCCTTGCGAAAGGTTCCTGTTTGATGTTTGAACATCTTAGGTAGGGGCCATCCATTTAGTAGGTACGCAAAAAATATGTCAAAACTTGACCCCCCCCCTCCCTGTACGCACGCGGACTTTTTACACCCCCCACCTTAACGCACCCCCCCCCCCCGAATCCTATAGAACGGCCGATATTTAATCCACGCAAAAACGATCAAGGGTTAATCATATTAACGTGTTTAAGCAAACAGATAGTCCACCGCCGGACTATCTAACTCATTTGAAGGCCAATATAGACGAATTATTATCGAGGCATCACCCCCCCCCCCCGTTTCCTATGCGTACGCACATTGTAATAGACCCCCCCAAACGCAAGCGTACGCATTTAGGTTAACCCCCCCTCCCCCTCCATGCGTACCTACTAAATGGATGGCCCCTTAACAGCCGTTGCATTGCCAGCAAGGGTCAAACCTATTCTTATACTTTGATACTTGCAAGAAAGGTCCCACGATGTGTCTGCTCGCCACGAGCTATAAACGCCCTGATAGTGCATTGCCCTTGTGCTGTTCGCCTTTTGGCGTTCTCTGGATGGTGGCGGCACTTGGGGCGTCGCGAAGGAGTAGCGGGATGGATGGGAAGGGAGTTGAGGAAGCGAGGGGAGCGATGAGATCGTGGGGGGATAGAGAAGAGGTGAGGTTACCCGCCGCCTGGCTCACTCACCCCCCCCTCCCCCTTGACGTCGTTGGCAAGAGTGGGGCCATTGTAGCACTCGTCACACACAGAGCGCTCGCCGCAAGCGAGCCACACCGGCACCTGGTCGCTTGATTTCGTCAAGGAGAATTGACCAGCAGAGACCCAACTCCGGCGGTCATTTCAGTTTCATATCAGTTTCATTTATTCGGTATAACCCCGTGAGCCACGCGGCCCTTGACTTGGCGCGGCCGTCGAACAAATGCGGCGTCGCGAGCGCTTTCAGACGCGCTCCTGCGGCCGTCTGGAACGTTCTTCCTTACGATATGAGGAAGCCACTGGGAGCTGTGCCGCTTGTAAATCGTCGTCGTCTAGATTGACAACGCTCGTTTCTTCAAAACTGCTTTTTGTGTTTGGTTTGTTGTCCTTCACCCGCTACCTCCGACTTGCACGGTTAGCTACGTACGGTGCGAAAGAAGTTCAACATACATGAAGGCCGGCACGGTATACGAGGGGGTGGATTGCCAGCACCACGCCCGGCCGCCTTTGTCTCTCTAATGGCGATGTTTACACGCCACACCAGGTACTCATTTGAGGCTGAATAGACCTAGTGGAGGCCTGGACAGTTTCAATTAATCGTCACCGGTGTTGGCCGTGAGCGGGAATAGAACTCGGGTCGCCGGGTTCGTAGTGCAGCGTAGCGCTAACCGCTACACTACAGTGCCGGATTATCCCAGTAGCAAAAGTAGCTACACATGCTATTGGCCCCGCACTTTCAAGGGCCCCGCGCTAAATGCTTTCAAGCTAGATTTGAAGCTTTCGTGACTGCAAGGATTCATATTCTTAGGTTTTTTCGGTGAAGTCACGTAGGTAAAAAATTAAAATTAATAAAAGTTAAATAAAAATAAAATAAAAATCACGACGTTTCGGAGGCAACACAAGCTTCCGTCTTCAGGTGGAACCGTCACAGCACGCTTGCTACAGCAAATGTTGCCTCTTTTCAAACTATCAATTCCGGTCCAGTGATTCTTCACTTGCTCTATTAGTATAGTAATATACCACCTTCAACTTTTATGAACAACTCGGTGTTTAAGGTTAGCGATTTGTCATATTATCTGGCTGTATAGCGAATGAAAACATACAATTACTTTACTATGCAAGTCAAACATTTGTGTTTTAATATTTACGTGTTTTTTTCAAATTTAGGGCCCCTTTATAACATTTGCTACAGGCCCCGCACTCGCCTTATCCGGCACTGCTACCCTACCACCCTAATCACAATCATTCCGTTCCCAAACTATCCCGTTTCCATACTCTTTGGTTCTTTCGGTAAATCACGACGTTTCGGGCGCAACACAAGCGTCCGTCATCAGGTGGGAAAGCATCGTGGTCTGCTGCTGAGACAGACTGTTTTAAAAGGTTTGAAATGGGTGTAGCCCTTGGGCCCTTGGGCTACACCTGATGACGGACGCTTGTGTTGCGCCCGAAACGTCGTGATTTATTTTATCTTATACCTACGCGACTTTACCGAAACAACCAAAGAGTATGGATTCCTGCAGTCACGAAAGCTTCAAATCAAGATTATCCCATTTCCATCATTCAATCACCGACCGCCGACGGTTGCCAACTCTGAGCGACAAAAAAGAAACCCCGGGACGCATCGTAGAAACAAAAAGGAAATACCTGACGAAGTAAGACGACAAAAAACGGGGAATCTCAAAAGCCCTAGGAAGTATCTTCTTAGTTCTTTCGGTAAAGTCACGTAGAATGGAAATAATAAAATAATAAAAATAAAACATAATAAAATAATTCTCACGACGTTTCGGCCACAACGCAAGCAGCCGTCCTCGGGTGAAGACCAGGTCTGTCGGGGAGACAGCGTCTGAATGAAGGAAGCATTACATATGCCCTAGGACAGCAGTTACAGTCCGTTCTCGCACACCGCGAATTGGATATATAACGCGATGAATGTATTAGAGGGACCACACTTTTTATAACGCGGATGCGAATTGGATGTAACGCGATCGAGTGAACGGAACGACGTCGCAGCACGAGTTAGAAATTTGCGGCTGTGACGGCTGCCTCGGCGTTGCTGGATGCTTCTAGATGCGAGCCACACGCAACATCGTAGGCATCTCGCGTGTCACCGCTGACTGTGCTTTACTCTCCGTGTTATACATTATTGATGATAACGCGATGTTTACAAAAACGCGGCGTTCTTTAGCCTCAGCGGTGTGACCTGTCCCTTAGGAACACCGCGTTGTAGGAGAACAGACATCGGACGGTTCCGGGAAAAGCCAGGACGGGTGGCAACCATAACACACACCATCATCATTTAATTCCCATAATTACCATTATTTGACAACGTGTCTGCCAATGGCCACCGTGCCACTTTGTGTCAGAGTCGAAAGGTTCAATCCCCACGAAAATCCGCCCTGCAATTAGCAAATGGGATGTTTACACGGCGCATGTCATTCGAGGGTTTAAAATTAGCCTCGGCGATGACCTAGATTCGGCTTCATCGACGCAAATTCACGGAATTAAAAACCCCCCACGTTTAATGGGGTGGCTAGGGTGGTTCAGAGTGATGGGCCGGCACTGCTGAGCTAAATTCCTGGTTTCAGCCACCCGTTATTAAACTGGGTCCTCCAGTGGTGATGAGTTGGTTGTCTCAGAGACTCACACAGAGACCCAGACTCACACAAAGAGCCATAGTCTCACACACAGAGACCCAGACTCACACAGAGAGCCAAAGACTGACACAGAGACCCATAGACTCACACAGAGACCCAAACTCACACAGAGAGCCATAGACTCACACAGAGACACAGACTCACACAGAGATCCACAGACTCACACAGAGAGCCAAAGACTCACACAGAGAGCCAAAGACTCACACAGAGAGCCATAGACTCACACAGAGACACAGACTCACACAGAGAGCCATAGACTCACACAGAGAGCCACAGACTCACACAGAGATCCACAGACTCACACAGAGAGCCAAAGACTCACACAGAGAGACAAAGACTCACACAGAGAGCCATAGACTCACACAGAGACACAGACTCACACAGAGAGCCATAGACTCACACAGAGAGCCACAGACTAACACAGAGAGCCACAGACTCACACAGAGAGCCACAGACTCACACAGAGAGCCACAGACTCACAGAGAGCCACATACTCAGACAGAGAGCCAGAAACTCACACAGAGAGCCACAGACTCACACAGAGAGCCATAGACTCACACAGAGAGCCACAGACTCACACAGAGAGCCATAGACTCACACAGAGAGCAACATACTCACACAGAGAGTCATAGACTCACACAAAGACCCAGACTCGCACAGAGAGCCATAGACTCAGACAGAGCGCCAGAAACTCACACAGAGAGCCACAAACTCACACAGAGAGTCATAGACCCACACAGAGAGACATTGACTAACTCAGAGATCCAGACTCACACAGAGAGCCACAAACTCACACAGAGAGTCATAGATCCACACAGAGAGACATTTACTAACTCAGAGATCCAGACTCACACAAAGAGCTATAAACTCACACAGAGAGCCACAGACTGGCATAGGGACCCAGGGACTCTGCGCCTATGTAAGTGCAGGCTCTAAGACCTCCCCCTCCTTCTCCCTGGGCCCCGCAGGTAACATCATCGGCTCGGGGATCTTCGTGTCGCCCAAGGGGGTGATGGAGAACGCCGGCTCGGTGGGGCTGGCTCTGGTCGTTTGGATCGTCACCGGCGTCATCACCGCCATCGGCGCGCTCTGCTACGCCGAGCTGGGGGTCACCATCCCCAAGTCCGGCGGAGACTACAGCTACGTCACCGATATATTCGGCAGCCTGGCTGGGTGAGTGGGTCAGTGGGTGGGTGGGAGGATGGATGGATGGACAGGTGGGTGGACGGGTGAGTCAGTGGGTGATTGAGTGAGTTGGTGGATGGGTGAGTCAATGGGTGGTTGAGTGAGTGGGTGGGAGGATGGATGAACGGGTGAGTGGGTGGTTGAGTGAGTGGGTGGGTAGGAGGGAGGATAGATGAACGGGTGAGTGGGTGGTTGAGTGAGTGGTTGGGAGGATGGATGAACGGGTGAGTGGGTGGGTGAGTCAATAGGTGGTTGAGTAGGTCGGTGGTTGGGTGGACGGGTAAGTCAATGGCTGGGTGAATGAGTGGGTGGATGGACGGTTGAGTCAATTGGTGATTGAGTGAGTGGGTGGGAGGGTGAACAGGTGAGTGAGTTAATGAGTGGTTGAGTGAGTGGGTGGAAAGGAGGAAGAATGGATGAGCGGGTTGAGCGGGTGGGTGAGTTCATGCGTCGTTGAGTGAGTTGGCGGGTGGGTGAGTTCATGCGTCGTTGAGTGAGTTGGTGGGTGGGTGGATGGGTGAATGGGTAAGTGAGTGGGTGGTTGAATGAGTGAGTAAGTGGGTTGGGTGGGTGGATGGGTGAGTGAGTGGGGTGGGTGGGTGATTGGGTGAGCGAGTGGGGTGGATGGGTGGGTGGGGATGGTGAATGGGTGAGTGAGTGGGGATGGTGAATGGGTGAGTGAGTGGGGTGGGTGAATGGGTGGATGGGTGAGTGGGTGGATGGGTGGGTAAATGGGTGGGTGGGTGAGTGAATGGGTGGGTGAGTGAATGGGTGGCTGGGTGAGTGAATGGGTGGGTGGGTGAATGGTGAGCGAGTGGGGTGGGCGAATGGGTGAGTGGGGTGGGTGAGTGAATGGGGTGATTGGGTGAGCGAGTGGGGTGGGTGAATCAAGACCGAGAGATGTGCGGACGGCACGGGGAGGTTCACGCTGCGACGGGCGGGCCAGGACGCAGCTGATATCCGATGACGGCGGCGGCGGCATCGCGAGAAGAGCCCCGCGGCAATCATCGTGGGATGACGCGCGCGCTCTCAACGCCTCCGCCGATTGCAATCATGCCGGCTGTGTCTCGTTCACACGCGCACGCACACAAGACAAAGATCCCCCGTGTAGCCTTAACAGGCTGTTGGGGCAAGTGCTGTTAGCGAGCACTTATGAAGGCCCCAGTGGCGATGTTTACACACCGCACCAGGCACTCATTTGTGGCGGAGTCGACCTAGGGGAGGACCAGTTCAGATAATAGTCACTGGTTTTGTCCGTGAGCGTGAATCTAACTCGGGTTGTCAGTTTCGTAGCGCAGCGCACTAACCGCTTCGCTACGACTCCCCGCCACGCACACACGCACACGCAGACTTACACATGCGCGCACACAATAACAACAACAACCGCCATTCGCCACTAAGTGGCGGTGACGTCACCACGACGCTTGTGCCAGGCCATGTGCACCTTGAGGCCACGTGAAGTGTCGAACGCCCGCTGGCAGGAGGTCACGGGGCAGACCCAGGTGCCAGGAATACAGCACCCAACTATAGGATCGCAGAGCTTTGGAGGGGCTTGCGAGGGTGCTTTGCCCGCGCGCCTCTGTGGCGACGATCACCCTCTTCATCGATGCACAGGCACAGTCCCAGGAATAATTAACGAGCGAATTAACATCGACCGCTAATTAATCTCTCTCCTCCTCCTCCCCCCTTCTTCTTCTTTAGTGCTGCCTAACGGCGTGTGCGACTTCACGATGATATTGGTCCCGGTCTAGCACGGCGTGTAGAGTTTGTGCTGTTGTTAATTGTAGCCATGCTTTGATGTTACTGAGCCATGTCGTTTTTGGCCGTCCTGGTCGTTTTTTCCCTTCCATTTTCCTTCCAGGATTTGCTTTAATAGCTGGTATTTGTGGTCGTTTCGGGCAATGTGGCCTAGGTAGTAACACTTCCTGCTAATGATGGTCTTCAGCAGTTGCCTGTCAGTGCCCATATCTTGCAGAACTTGTGTGTTGGTGGTTTTGGCTGTCCATGGGATTTTCAGCATCCTTCGATACAGCCACATCTCGAAAGCTTCGAGCCTTTTTGTTGCTTTTGTTGTCAGTGTCCACGTCTCTACTCCGTACAACACCCTCAATCTCCATCTCTCGGGTCTGAATCTCTCCTCTCTCATCTCTCAGTCCCTCGAATCTATTCCCGTCGACAGCAGCGCACTTCTCATCGTCATCACCCCCCCTATCTCCCTTGATAATTTCTCTCCTGTCACGTCACGAGGCTTTTATGGAATTAAAGTGGGGTGGGGGTGGGAGGGGGGATTTGGGGACCCAAAAATAAAGTTGGGGGCGAGAAGGGAGGGGGAATATAAAAACTCAGGAGGGGGGTGATGAGGATTGGGAGGTTAGGGGGTAGCGTTGCAATCTCCTGCAATATCAAGGAGTGTTGCCAGCGTGTTTTTCATCCATCATCATCTATCTACTGCTGGATGAAGGCCACTCCGAGCCGTCGCCACCTCCCACGCACGCTCCTGCCACCGATGCGACACTCCCGTACAGCATCACGCACAGACTTTTGCCGATTTCATCGCTCCATCTCCTGCGCGGGCCGAAACTCTCTCAACACGTTCCAATCACGAGTTTGTGGCCGCCACGGTGGCTAGGAGATGTTAACTCCCTCGCCTGGTATGCGGGAGGACGTGGATTTGGATCCCGACCCCGACGCCTGTTGTATTTTTAACAGTTTGCGGTGTCTCTCCTCCCGTAGCCGCGTGGATTTTTCTCCGGGTCCTCCGGTTTTCCCCTCCCCACTTGGCATCAGCGTGCGTCTTCGAGTTTTGGCTGCTGTTTATTTCCACGTGGTAAGCCACGTGCAAGCGACCTGTGTGGCTAGGTAGCTTCTGAAACAAAGAGTTATAGAGCTCAGTGGAACTTACCTGGTAAAATGCAAAGTACGGTATATGTGACAGTGTCTTTGCATGTGTATATGGGGGGGGGGGGGGGGCGGGGGGAGCGCTGGTTTAGCGGTTAGCGCTCCGAACACCAACAACACGAGTTCGATTCCCACTCACGGCCACTAACGCCGGTGACGAATATCGGTGGGGGGGGGGGGGGCAATGGGGGGGCAGTGGGGGGGGGCCGGTGGGGGGGGGGGCTGGTGGGTGGGGGGGAACGGTGGTGTAGTGATTAGCGCTCCGAACACCGACAACACGAGTTCGATTCCTACTCACGGCCACTAACGCCGGTGACGAATATCGGTTGAGGGGGGGCGGTGGGGGGGGGCCGGTGGGGGGGGCGGTGGGTGGGGGCGGTGGGGGGGGGGCGGTGGGGGGGGGGCGGTGAGGGGGGGGCGCCGCGTCCCACACCCCCTTGACTCTGCTCCCCCTTTCCCGTGTGACGTTGCCACTACCGCCACCACCACCACTGGGCAGCTTCCTGCGCCTCTGGATCGCCGTGCTGGTCATCTACCCGACGAACCAGGCGGTGATCGCGCTCACCTTCTCCCGCTACGCGCTGCAGCCCGCCTTCCCCTCCTGCCTCTCGCCCGACCTTGCGCTGCGACTCCTCGCCGCGCTCTGCCTCCGTGAGACTCGCACGCACTCTCGGTGGATCATCGTTGTTGTTGTTGTTGTGATCATCGTTGTTGTTGTTGTTGTGATTGTCGTCGTTATAATCATCGTCGTTATTGTGATCATCGTCGCTGAGATCATCGTCCAAAATCCTCTGCCGCTGTGAGGATGACCGCCAGAGTCCACATGTTGATGGTTTATGGGGCCGTCCATAAATGACGTCACGCACCTGGGGGGGGGGGTTAGACATTTGTGACGATGTGTGACGGGGGGGGGGGGGGTTTGAGAAATGTGACGTCACATAAAAATGCGCAACTTTAAATAAATATAAACAACACGTTCTACTTAATTAAATCGACTTTTTCATAAATTCTAGATGTGAAGTTTTCGTGACTGCAAGGATCCATACTCTTTGGTTCTTTCGGTAAAGTCACGTAGGTAGAAAATAATAAGAAAATACAATAAGAAAGTGAAAACAACTAAATTAAATCACGACGTTTCGGGCGCAACACAAGCGCCCTTCATCAGGTGGGGACCACCACAGCGAGAACAGTTGCTGAGGTATGCCAAAGAGAGATGGCTCTGACAAGGGTTTATATAGCTGAGCAGGGTGGGGGTGGGGGGAACGAGGGCAGGGTGAGTGTGGGGGCAGGGAGTGGGTTGGAGAGGCTAATCCTCAGGGTGGACCAGAGGTCGCAAACGGGTTTTGATTCCTTACCCGTACCCGGCCGTACCCGTTCCCTACCCGTACCCGTACCCTACCCGAAATGAGTGACAAACGGTTACTCACCAGTGACTCACGGCCTACCCGTACCCGTACCCGGCCGCACCAGGGTCGCAAACGGGTACCCGTACCCGTACCTGGCCGGGTACGAGTAGCCGGGTATCGGGTAGGGTACGGGTATCGGGTACCCGGTTGCGACCTCTGGGGTGGACGTAATGCTCCTGGCCATACTGATCCTACTGCTCCTGTACATAGGATGTGGGGGGGGGAGAGTGGGTGGGGTGGACACATTTGCACGATTGAAACACTGCACGTCAAATTTCCTAGTGATGGTTAGTGTGCAAGGCTGGGAAATAAAAGACCGGAGATGTGGATATGAATATAAACTATCAGGTAGCTAAACTTTATATAGCTGAGGAGGGTGGAGAGGGGATGAGTGGAGCGCCACATTAAATTCGCACTACAATGACAATAGTTTAAAGAGAATTGAAGCATGTTTTATTTTCAAATTGGAAATATGGTTTTGGGGGGGGGGGGGCAGAGCTTTGTGACGTCATATTTGAGGGGGGGGGGTCTGACTTTTTGTGACGCCGTGTGACGAGGGGGGGTTGAGAAATGTGACGTCACATCAAAACACACAACTTTAAATAAATATAGAATTGTTATAACAACGCTAATTGTTATAACAACACTCCTACAACATCAGAGTGCAGCGCCACATTAAATTCGCACTACAATGACAATAGTTTAAAGCGATTTGAAGCATGTTTTATTTTCAAATTGGAAATATGTTTTGTGGGGGGGGGCAGAGCTTTGTGACGATGTCTGCGAGGTGGCATTATGGGCACTTTGTGTGTGTGATGATTGCGACCTCTTCATGGTTTTTGTTCTTTGAGTGAATTGTTAACCTTTCCTCGACAGCACTTTGCACTCCTAATCGTGTTTTTGTATCGATTCGATCACCGGAACGTTCTGATCCATGTGCCCCCTACTGGACATGTGTAAAAAAATTAACCCGTAAAAACAAAGTTTTTCACTATAAATCCTTTATATGCGTGGCATCGGTTTTATTTTATTATTCATTTCTGTTTTTCTCGAGTAAGAGTTTCATTTTTATCACATTGGTATTTTAAATTAAATATGAAAAAAAAATTCCTAAAAAGTGGAACATTTTGGAAAAAATTTTTCACGAAAATAAATTGTCTCGCACAACGAGTCTGTGTGCAAAATGTCAGCTCGATTGGATCACGGGAAGTGGGTTAAAAAACGACCGAAAGATTTGCACGGTCGTAAGCGCGCAAGCAAGTGAACTTAATATAAAGGATTTAGAAAGAGCTTTTCAGCTCATCGAATTCCTCCAGCGCGAGTGTAGATTGCGTTCTTGTGCTATTCTGATATTCGTGCGGCAAAAACCGGAAGCCAATGCAGCTCAGCGACGCAGCAGACGGGCAACGGTCGCGAGCCGCCGTCACTCCGATGAGCACGGTGGGCTAAGTACGGTGCCAAAGAAGTCCACGTACGGCACGTTCACGTGATCACCGCACGTGGTGGTGGTTACGGCGGCCCGAGCGTCAATTTATTTTTGCCTCGATTTATGAACTCCCCGGTGAGGTGCGAGGAGATATGCAGGTGAGAGAAGAGGTGGGGCGAGACGAGAGAGACACATGCAACAGCTGTGAGATGGCAGATGCATGCAATAGACTTCAACAAAGACAAAGACCCCCATATAGCCTGGAACAGACTGTTGGGGCAAGTGCTGTTAGCGAGCACCTATGAAGGCCAGCACGGCACACGAGGGGGTGGGTGGGCCAGCACCACGCCCGACCGCCTTGTCTCCCTAGTGGCGATGTTTACACACCGCACCAGGTACTCATTTGAGGCTGAGTCGACCTAGGGGAGGCCCGGGACCGGTTCAGATAATCGTCACTGGTGTTGGCCGTGAGCGGGAATCGAACCCGTGTCGCCGGCTTCATAGCGCAGCGCGCTAACCGCTACACTACCGCTCCCCATAGACTTCAACATACACACACACACCTGACCTGGTGACTACCCCCCCACCACCCCGACCTTGCCCAGTGCTGCTCACGTGGATCAACTGCTGGAGCGTGCGCTGGGCAACACGTGTCCAAGACGTGTTCACGGCAGGCAAGCTCCTCGCACTGGCGCTCATCGTCGTCATGGGCCTCGTGCAGATCTGCAAGGGTGAGTGAGCGGCACAGAGGGTGCCGCTGGTCGACTGGGAGATGTTACGTACCTCGCCTGGTACGCAGGAAGTCGTGGGTTCGATCCCGATCCTGACGCCTGCTGCTGTGTTTTTGGAGTTTGCGTGTCTCTCTCTCTCTCATCATCATTACGGTGAATAGGAGATGTTAACTCCCTCGCCCGATACACAGGAGGTCGTGGGTTCGATCCCGATCCTGACGCCTGCTGCTGTATATTTGGAGTTTGCGGTGTCTCTCTCTCTAATCATCATCACGGTGGTTAGGAGATGTTAACTACCTCGCCTGGTATATAGGAGGTCGTGGGTTCGATCCCGACCCTGCCGACGCCTGCTGCTATATATTTGGAGTTTGCGTGTCTCTCTCTCTCGCCCCGTGGTCACGTGGAATTTCCTCCGGGTCCTCTGGTGCTTCCCCTCCACATTTAGAATCAGCGTCACTCGTTTCGAGTATTTGGATGCTGCTATAGCCTTGTAGGTATATTGGATACAGTACATGTAAGCTGGGCTTACGAAAATATTTTTGTTATAAAACTACAGGGATATTTTTTAATTAAAAAAATTCTGCAAAAACACTGCACAAAAATTGTTTATAGACAGTTATTTTAGGGTCACCCCCTCTGATGGTGGCACCCAGTGCGCTCCGCACCTCCCACACACCCCGAGTGACGCCACTGCCACTTGCCACGCGATAACGATCTTTAATTACACAATTCTCTCTTTCGCGATACCGAAATACGTCGGCTTCCACGGACAATTGGCGTCAGGAGTGGCCGAGTTGTCTGTCGCTGTGGTTACGATGATGATGATGATGTCTCCGATTGATCTGTGTGCGAGTCTATGGGGCTCTGTGTCTGTACGTCTGCATCTGAATCTAAGGATCTCTGTGCGTGTCTGTGAGTCTCTGGGCCTCTGTGTGCACCTTTGCATGTCAGCAGAGGTGCACAAGCACAACAAAACAACTCAAGTGTATATTATACAGGCGACGTTTCAGACAATGACCCTGCAGTAAATCCTCACTGAATCTTATATATCATTACGTGAGCCTATGAGTCTCTGTGTGAATCTCTGGGCTCTGGGTCTCTGTCCGTTCATCCGTCAAAATATCTGTCTGGCTAACTCTCCGACCATCCATCTTCCCGTCCATCCATCCACCTGTCCACTCATCCATCCCTCCGCCTACCGCCCGCCCCCGCGTCCCAGGTGAGTACCACTGGCTGGTGCCCGCCGTGGCGTTCCGCCCGTGGCAGGAGGTGCACGTGGGGGCCGTGGCGCTCGCGTTCCTGCAGGGCTCCTTCGCCTACGGGGGGTGGAACTTCCTCAACTACGTCACCGAGGAGCTCGTCGACCCCTACCGGTGGGCGAGCGGCGGTCCCTCCGGTGGTCCCTCCGGCGGTCCCTCTGGCGGTCCCTCCGGCGGTTCCTCCGGCGGTCCTTCAGACGGTCCCTCTGGCGGTCCCTCCGACGGTCCCTCCGACGGTCCCTCTGACGGTCCCTTCGGTGGTCCCTCCGACGGTCCCTCCGGCGGTCCCTCCGGCGGTTCCTCCGGTGGTCCCTCCGGTGGTCCCTCCGACGGTCCCTCCGACGGTCCCTCCGGCGGTCCCTCCGACGGTCCCTCCGACGGTGTCTCCGGCGGTCCCTCCGACGGTCCCTCCGGCGGTCCCTCTGGCGGTCCCTCCGACGGTGTCTCCGGCGATCCCTCCGACGGTCCCTCCGGCGGTCCCTCCGGCGGTTCCTCCGGTGGTCCCTCCGGTGGTCCCTCCGACGGTCCCTCCGACGGTCCCTCCGGCGGTCCCTCCGACGGTCCCTCCGACGGTGTCTCCGGCGGTCCCTCCGACGGTCCCTCCGGCGGTCCCTCTGGCGGTCCCTCCGACGGTGTCTCCGGCGATCCCTCCGACGGTCCCTCCGGCGGTCCCTCCGGCGGTCCCTCCGGCGGTCCCTCCGGTGGTCCCACTTGGTGGTCCCTCCGGCGGTGCCTCCCTGCGGTTCCACTTGGTGGTCCCTCTCGTCGCGTCACGGCTCTCCCTCCCTCTCTCTCGCTCGCGTGCAGGAATCTCCCGCGAGCGATCTTCATCTCCATCCCGCTCGTCACCATCGTCTACGTGTCGGCCAACATCGCCTACGTCACCGCCATGTCTCCCCACGAGCTGCTCGCTTCCAACGCCGTGGCCGTGGTGAGTCGTCGTCGGCTACGTCGTCGTCAGAAGCAACGTCGTCATCATCGTCGTCAGCAGTAACGTCGTCATCATCGTCGTCGTCATCAGCAGTAACGTTGTGATCGTCGTCATCATCAGCAGTAACATCGTCATCATCGTCATCATCAGCAGTAACATCGTCATCATCGTCATCATCAGCAGTAACATCGTCATCATCGTCGTCAGCAGTAACGTCGTCATCATCGTCGACGTCGTCAGCAGTAACGTTGTGATCGTCGTCATCATCAGCAGTAACATCGTCATCATCGTCATCATCAGCAGTAACATCGTCATCATCGTCATCATCAGCAGTAACATCGTCATCATCGTCATCATCAGCAGTAACATCGTCATCATCGTCATCATCAGCAGTAACATCGTCATCATTGTCATCATCAGCAGTAACATCGTCATCATCGACGTCATCAGCAGTAACATCGCCATCAGCATCATCATCAGTAGCAACATCGTCATCATTGTCATCGTCAGCAGTAACGTCGTCATCATCGACGTCGTCAGCACATCATCATCGTCGTCGTCACCTGTAACGAGGTTAAATTAGCTGTGGGTACAACGTCATTCAACTTGAGTCTCAAGTTTAACTTCACATCGACGCATCCCCTCTCCACCTCCCCGTGCCCCCCCTCTCTTCCCGGTGCGTGCCCCCACCCCCCCAGACATTTGGAGAGAAGCTGCTCGGCCCCCTCTCCATGCTGATGCCGTTCTCCGTGGCGCTGTCAACGTTTGGCGGAGTCAACGGCTCCCTCTTCACCTCCTCCAGGTCGATACAGACAGGCCGAGCGTTGTTACACCACCACCACTAACATCACAGACAAGCCGAGCGTTGTTACACCACCACCAACAACAACAACACAGACAGGCCGAGCGTTGTTACACCACCACCACTAACATCACAGACAAGCCGAGCGTTGTTACACCAACACCAACAACAACAACACAGACAGGCCGAGCGTTGTTACACCAACACCAACAACAACAACACAGACAGGCCGAGCGTTGTTACACCAACAACAACAACACAGACAAGCCGAGCGTTGTTACACCACCACCAACAACAACAACACAGACAGGCCGAGCGTTGTTACACCAACAACAACAACACAGACAGGCCGAGCGTTGTTACACCAACAACAACAACAACACAGACAAGCCGAGCGTTGTTACACCAACAACAACAACACAGACAAGCCGAGCGTTGTTACACCAACAACAACAACACAGACAAGCCGAGCGTTGTTACACCATCCGCAAGTCGAACCTTCAGCCCGTCAATCCGTCCGTCCATCTGTCCACGTGTCCGCTCGTCCGTCTGTCCGTCCGTCTGTCTATATGTCTGTCCGTCTGTCTGTCTGTGTGTCCCCAGGCTGTTCTTTGCCGGTGCGCGTGAGGGCCACCTGCCGGGGCTGCTCGCCATGATCCACGTGGAACGGTGCACCCCCATCCCCGCGCTGCTCTTCACGGTAACCCCCCCACCCCACCCTCCCATCCAGCTGCGATCAAAACGTAAAGGCGCAGACCCTTACAATTGCCCGCGGCCTCCGCGGCAGAGGCCGTCCTGGTGGAGGATGTTTGGCCTACTCTTCCGCGCCGGCAAAGACGTCTCGGCGGGAGTGCCCGGACCTTCTCGCCCCGCTGGGCTCGCGACCTTCAGTTTCATTGATTAGGTACTAGCGTCACTACCCGGCTTCGCCCGGGACTTAATTCGCCACGCCCGGCCGGCCTTTGTCTCCCCAGTGGCGATGTTCACACACCACACCAGGTAATTGTTTGAGGCTGAGTCGACCTAGGGGAGGCCCAGGAGCGGTTCAAATAATCGTCACCGGTGGTGGCCGTGAGCGGGAATCGAACTCGGGTCGCCGGGTTCGTAGCGCAGTGCGCTACCCGCTACACTACGACGCGTTACGTTTCCACGTGCGCGGGTCACATGACAGATTTGAAGTCACAGCTCACTTGCCGTGCAAAAAATAAATGCATTATTGAGCTCCCCCCCCCCCCCCCCTATAAAGTCTATTTTTATAATTTGTGCATGGTTTACAGTCTGGAAAGTACCCACATGGCAAATTTCCAGTTTGTTGCATGTCAGGAAGTAGCTAAACATCTTGAACAGACACACATAATCACAGCTTTGCCTTATATATATATATATGTGCAGATAGCCCTGTGAGCCATGCGGCTCTTGACTTGGGTGCAACCGCAACAAACAACAACATGAACAAAGAACATCTTAAAGTGACTACGCGTAACAGAAACATTCAGGAAAAAACAGCAAAGTCTTCCAGAAACAGCACCGTATATAAATGATGTGTGCAACAATCCCAGTGGGATGCAAGTCAAACAATAACAACCATAAGACAATTTAGATTAAAGTTATGAGTCTAACTCTGTACTACAACACCGCGGGGGAGGCCAAGCCGCTGGCTGACTCCTGCACTTGCCCCACAAAGTCTGTTGAGGCTATACACGGGGAGGGGGGTGGATCTTTGTCTTTTGTGTGTGCGTGGGGAGCGGTGGTGTAGCGGTTAGCTGCGTTGCGAACCCGGCGACCCGGGTTCGATTCCCGGTCACGGCAAACACCGGTGACGATTATCTGAACCGGTCCAGGGCCTCCCCTAGGTCGACGCGGCTTCAAATAAGTACCCGGTGCGGTGTGTAAACATCGCCACTGGGGAGACAAAGGCGGTCGGGCATGGTGCTGGCCACCCACACCCTCGTGTACCGTGCCGGCCTTCATAGGTGCTCGCTAACAGCACTTGCCCCAACAGTCTGTTAAGGCTATACGGGGGATCTTTTTGTATGTGCGCGCGTGTGGTGCAGCGGTCAGCTCGCACGCTGCACTATGAACCCGGCGAGCCGAGTTCGATTCCCGCTCGCGGCCACCGCCACCAGGGGCGATTTATCTGCACCGGTCCAGGGCCTCCCCTGGGTCGACTCGGCCTCAAACGAGTAACCGGTGCGACGCGTAAATGTCGACGCTAGGGAGACAAAGGCGGCCGTGGTTACTGGCGCCACTCGGTTGAGGCTCCAGTCGAGAACGGCTCCTGCGTCTCTCTCTCTCGCAGTGCGTGACGACGCTGCTGATGCTGCTGACGAGCGACATGTACACCCTCATCAACTACGTCGGCTTCATCAACTACCTCTTCTACGGGGTGGCTGTGGCGGGGCTGCTCGTGCTGCGGTGGACGAAGCCGGACATCCCACGGCCGATCAAGGTAGCCGGGGGGCGGTTTAGGCGCGGTGACGACGCCGCAGATTGATATGACCTCAGCGATGCATTGGAAGGGGACAAAAATTGTAATGAAACGATTAGAAGGCATTTCCTTTGATGAAACCGCGATCGCACGTGCTCGTAGCCGCCGTTTCACGCCTCCAGTTTGTCGGCCATTTTACTCGAGTCGCCTCCCGCCTCTGCGCGATTGGCCGAGGGCTCGGTCACGTGCTCGGCCGCCATTTTGTCGTCAGAGTCCGCCTTCGCCGTCACGTGCGTTTCCTCGGGGTAAACGACGACGCACATCTTCTGGCACAAATAGGTGATGCATTCTGGGGGAGGAAGATAAAGAACAATTAGAAGATATCCTTTGATTAAACCCGCTGTACCGAGTGTCGCCAGTCTATATAAAAATTCAACTTTATTTTATTTGACCAGGTAAGGCCCCACTGAGCTATGCAGTTCTGGCTGTCACGAATGATGGCTCGACGAGCAGTGGCTTCTCATCATCAGCGCGTCGAAATTCACAGCAGCAGCCAAAATTATCTGTAGTGGGTTCGTAGTGCAGCGCGTTAACACACGCACATCTAAACTAAACTATAAACTTAACTATTTTTGATTTTACCCCACTGAGCTGTGTAGCTCTTTTTCAGAGGCGACCTGGCCACAAATGACACCTCAACTTAGTGGCTTATCATCACGTGGAAATTTATGGCAGCAGACAAATACTGTAAACGCGTGATGTCGTTTGTAAATGTGGAGTGGGGAAAAAAAAACGCGGAGGATCCGGAGAAAAATCCAAGCGAGCACGGAGAGAGAGAGAGAGACGCGAACTCCCGACTCGGCATCGGCAAATTTTCAAACAAGAGACATGTTTTTTGGTTTTGGTCTTTTTACCGAAATAATTTAAGAGCCGCCGCACCACACGCACAGCAGCAGCAGGTAGACATACAGACAGACAGCCAGACAGACAGAGAGCCAGATAGACAAAGACAGACAAACAGAGAGCCAGACAGACAGAGACAGACAGACAGAGAGACAGACAGACAGATAGAGAGACAGACAGAGCGCCAGACAGACAGAGAGCCAGACAGAGCGGTGGTGGACGGGTTCAAGGTCACGATGGTTGCGCTGGTCTCTTACTTTTTTCTCGTGGAATGTCTGCCCCACCTCTTCCCACCACCCCGCCCTGTACCGAACTCGCATTGAAATAGCAAAACAATGATGAACTAAATTAGGTTGCGATGGCCGTGGTGCAGCCGTCTCGCCCAGTGGCGGACTAAGCTAGTGCGAGGCCTGTAGCAAATGTTATAAAGGGGCCCAAAATAAAATAAAAATACGTAAATATTAAAACACACATTTTTTACTTGCATAATAAAGTAATTGTATTTTTTTCATTTGCTATACAGCCAGATAATACGACAAATCGCTAACCTTAAACACCCAGTCGTTCGTAAAAGCTGAAGGCGGTATAGTACTATAGTAATAGAGCAAGTGCAGAATCACTGAACCGGAATTGATAGCTTGAAAGTATCTAGCGCGGGTCCCTTGAAAGTGCGGGACCCGTAGCTACTTGTGTAGTTACTACACATGCAGCTACTGCACGTGTAGCGACTACACATGTAGCTACTACACATGTAGCTACTACACATGTAGCTACTACACGTGTAGCTACTACACGTGTAGCTACTACACATGTAGCGACAACACACGCAACTACTAGACGTGTAGCTACTACACATGCAGCTACTACACATGTAGCTACTACACATGTAGTTACTACACATGTAGCTACTACACATGTAGCTACTACACGTGTAACGACTACACATGTAGCTACTACACATGCAGCTACTACACGTGTAGCTACTACACGTGCAGCTACTACACATGCAGCTACTACACATGTAGCTACTACACATGTAGTTACTACACATGTAGCTACTACACGTGTAACGACTACACATGTAGCTACTACACATGCAGCTACTACACGTGTAGCTACTACACGTGCAGCTACTACACATGTAGCTACTACACATGTAGTTACTACACATGTAGCTACTACACATGTAGCTACTACACGTGTAACGACTACACATGTAGCTACTACACATGTAGCTACTACACATGCAGCTACTACACGTGTAGCTACTACACGTGCAGCTACTACACATGTAGCTACTACACATGTAGTTACTACACATGTAGCTACTACACATGTAGCTACTACACGTGTAACGACTACACATGTAGCTACTACACATGTAGCTACTACACATGCAGCTACTACACGTGTAGCTACTACACGTGCAGCTACTACACATGCAGCTACTACACATGCAGCTACTACACGTGTAGTTACTACACGTGCAGCTACTACACATGTAGCTACTACACATGTAGCTACTACACATGTAGCTACTACACATGCAGCTACTACACATGTAGCTACTACACATGTAGCTACTACACATGTAGTTACTACACGTGCAGCTACTACACATGCAGCTACTACACATGTAGCTACTACACATGCAGCTACTACACATGCAGCTACTACACATGTAGCTACTACACATGTAGCTACTACACATGTAGTTACTACACATGTAGCTACTACACATGTAGCTACTACACATGTAGTTGCTACTACACATGCAGCTACTTTTGCTACTAGGATTATAATCCGGCATTGGTGTCGCCCCCGCCGACTCCACCTTGTCGCGCCGCGCGCAGGTGAGCGTCGCGTTCCCCATCGTCTACCTCCTCTTCTGGGCCTTCCTGCTCATCTTCAGCCTCGTGTCGGAGCCCGTGGTGTGTGGCGTGGGCCTCGCCATCATGCTCACCGGCGTGCCCGTCTATTACATGGCCGTCTACTGGCACAACAAGCCCAAGTGCCTGGACAGCTTCGTCGGTACGCCGGCTGAGGGGTGACGCCGCTGACGCTGGCTCCTTCCCCACTCGCCTGCGGTTCTTGCACCTTCTGGCGCTTCTGAGTCGTCCTCTCTCTCTCCGAGTCGTCCTCTCTCTCTCCGAGTCGTCCTCTCTCTCTCTCTCCGAGTAATCCCCTCTCTCTCTGAGTCATCCTCTCTCTTAGAGTCATCCACTCTCTCTCTGAGTCATCCTGTCTCTCGTAGAGTCATCCCCTCTCTCTCTGAGTCATCCCCTCTCTTAGAGTCATCCCCTCTCTCCGAGTCATCCTCTCTCTTAGAGTCATCCACTCTCTCTCTGAGTCATCCTCTCTCTCTCTTAGAGTCATCCCCTCTCTCTCCGAGTCATTCCCTCTCTCTCAGAGTCATCCACTCTCTCTCTGAGTCATCCCCTCTCTTAGAGTCATCCCCTCTCTCTCTGAGTCATCCTCTCTTTCGTAGAGTCATCCCCCCTCTCTCTCCAAGTCATCCTCTCTCTTAGAGTCATCCTCTCTCTCTGAGTCATCCTCTCTCTCTTAGAGTCATCCTCTCTCTCTCTGAGTCATCCTCTCTCTCTTAGAGTCATCCACTTTCTCTGAGTCATCCTCTCTCTCTTAGAGTCATCCCCTCTCTCTCTCTGAGTCATCCCCTCTCTTAGAGTCATCCCCTCTCTCCGAGTCATCCTCTCTCTTAGAGTCATCCACTCTCTCTCTGAGTCATCCTCTCTCTCTCTCTTAGAGTCATCCCCTCTCTCTCCGAGTCATTCCCTCTCTCTCAGAGTCATCCACTCTCTCTCTCTGAGTCATCCCCTCTCTTAGAGTCATCCCCTCTCTCTCTGAGTCATCCTCTCTTTCGTAGAGTCATCCCCCCTCTCTCTCCAAGTCATCCTCTCTCTTAGAGTCATCCTCTCTCTCTGAGTCATCCTCTCTCTCTTAGAGTCATCCTCTCTCTCTCTGAGTCATCCTCTCTCTCTCTTAGAGTCATCCACTCTCTCTCCGAGTCATCCTCTCTCTCTTAGAGTCATCCACTCTCTCTCCGAGTCATCCTCTCTCTTAGAGTCATCCACTCTCTCTCTGAGTCATCCTCTCTCTTAGAGTCATCCACTCTCTCTCTGAGTCATCCTCTCTCTCTTAGAGTAATCCACTCTCTCTCTGAGTCATCCCCTCTCTAGTCGTCCTCTCTGAGTCGTCCCCCCGCTCTCCGATTCGTCCTCTCTGGCGAGATGTTAACTACCTCGCCTGCTATGCAGGAGGTCGTGAGTTCGATCCCGATCCTGGCAACGCCTCTATATTTGGAGTTTGCGTGTTTCTCTCACCGTGGATGTGTGGAATTTTCTCCAGGTCCTCTGGTTCTTACTGCTATACATTTACACGTGATAAGCCACTTACATTTTTATATAGACTGGCGACACTCGGTACAGCGGGTTTAATCAACGGATATCTTCTAATTGTTCTTTATCTTCCTCCCCCAGAATGCATCACCTATTTGTGCCAGAAGATGTGCGTCGTCGTTTACCCCGAGGAAACGCACGTGGCGGCGAAGGCGGACTCTGACGACAAAATGGCGGCCGAGCACGTGACCGAGCCCTCGGCCAATCGCGCAGAGGCGGGAGGCGACTCGAGTAAAATGGCCGACAAACTGGAGGCGTGAAACGGCGGCTACGGGCACATGTGATCGCGGGTTTAAGTGGTCCCCTTTGTAAAAAAAAAAACACCATATACACATTACACACGCACACACACGGAATGTTTAGCTAAGCTAGCAATTGACAAGTGAATGCGCGGGTGAAATAACGGCTCTCTTCGTAAGCAATTGGGAGTTTTTTTTCATTTATACAACTTTTCCACTGCCACATCCGAGCCGAGCCAACGTGGGTCCGTCTAGTTTTGCATTTTAGATTTGTTTAAATGCCACTTTTTAACGACTTAAAAGCATCGTCCTGACTTTTACCCACAATCCTGTGCTTTGATACAACAAATCTATGGCCACTCGTATTTTAAATGGACCTTTGGACCGGGTGCCTAAGACGAATTGAGTAAAATATTTTCCAATTAGTTTCTTGTCCAAATAATTGTAAAATATAAAAGGCCTTTTTAAACGTAGGAGCTTATACAACTTGTCACACAAATGTGTTTCTTTTTACGTTAACCTTTCGTAAGGGTGTGGCGTGTTTTTTTAGACCATTGTGGAACTCTTCGAAGTAAAAGCCGGGCGGCGGTGACTTACGCTGCTGCTGCCGCTGCTGCACGTGGCTGTTGCGAGGGTTGGTGTGTCACCGCACACACAAGATGTTGTGAAACTCGTAAGCCTGCCTCGCCAGGAGAAGACATGGCAGCAACAGCAACAAATCTGGGCATCTCATTAAAGCTCTGCTACAGAATCGGAATATTTATTTCTACTGGAAGATGAATCCAGTGGGCGATAAAGCTCTTTTTCCACAGATGTCCAGTGGGAGGGGCAGGTCAGAACGTGATAACAAACACAATACAAAAACACGATAGGAGTGCAAAGTATAGGAAAGGTAAACTAATCCCTTTAAAATAGAAAAAAATAAAACCAAACAATTGTTTTTATTTTACCAGGTGAGGCCCACTGAGCTATTAGCTTCTTATTCAGAAGCGACCTGCTCACAAATGATGGCTCAACGAAGTGGGCTGATCACGTGGGAATTTATATCAGCAAAAATAATCGAGATAATCCCCTTGATGCATCTGACTGCTCTCTCCTAACCGCCTTTACCCATGGTTCCCATACAGCGGGTTTCGGCAGTTTCCCACCATCTCTGCGTGACCCATCAACCCCTTGCCCCTCAAGCGGCTGTATTGCAGGCTGATGTGCACCACTCACACTGCACCTGTCCCGTCGTAGTCTCGCGTGGGTTGCGAGGTTTTTGCATGAGCCGAATGATGTGGTGAGTTAACGATCTCGCCTGGTGTACAGGAGGTCGTGGGCTCGATCACGACCATGACGCCTGCTGTGTATTTGGAGTTTGCGTGTCTCAACTCTCTTGCTGTGGTAATAGGTTTTTTACCCTTTTTACCCTTTCAATTGGTACAAAAACTGACACCTTTTTTGTACCAGTTGAAAGGGTAAAAACCTATTACTATATTTTGCCACTGGTAAAGGAGATGTCTCATAGTCTCTTGCTGTGGTCGCGTGGATTTTTCTACGGGTCCTCCGGTTTTTCCCCTCCACATTTAGAATCAACACCACGCGTTTAAAGTGTTTGATCGACGTGAATTTCCACTTGATAAGCCACTTCTTTGAGCTATCAATTGTGGCCAGGTCGCTTCTGAAAAAGATCTACGTAGCTCAGTGGACCCTTACCTGGTCAAATAATAAAAACAGTTTTAGTTTATAGAGCTGTTGCTTTCCTGCTGTGCTCAAAAGTAACGTGGCCTTGTCTCTCCTGCTGTTGTATCGTACACGTGGTTGTGTGTGAGTGCGTTGCTTGGCAACTACTGTACTCTATTCACAAGCCGGGCCACGTGGCAGGGAATGGCCAACATTATTTCGCTGCTGCTGTTGTTGTTGTTGGTGTGGCTTTCATGAAATGTTTAAACAACGACACGAACCACCGCCATCATAATCGCCATCATCGTTGTCGTTGTCGTCGCAACAGGATCACGGGTGCAAGCTGGGAAACTAGTACGTTTACAACCGACGACGACAATCGCGTAAAAAGGTGTCAAAATCACGTGAGACAAAATGTGCGTAACGACAACTGTTAATAAGTATAACCCGTAAAAACAAAGTTTTTCACTCTAAATCCTTTATATGCGTGGCGGCTAGAGTCCTCTCGTCCTCTGGTTTGAGATGGCTGCCACCTATGGGTCAGATGATTGTCTGCCAGTATTAAGCAATTGGTAATTAAATATTTAATTTGTTTTCCCTAAACAGTGTAAAATTTTGGAAAAAAAATTTCACGAACATTAATTGTCTCGCACAACGAGTCTGTGTGCAAAATGTCAGCTCGATTGGATCACGGGAAGTGGGTTAAAAAACGACCGAAAGATTTGCACGGTCGTAAGCAAGCAAGCGAACTTAATATAAATGATTTAAAAATAAACCTCCACCAGCAGCTCTTAAAGAACTGTACAGCATCGCGGCAGCTCGTCGTCTTGGATCGCCGTGACAGACTGATTCGAGCAAATGACGTAGCGATGACAAACGTGGTGGTGCATTTGCTTTCGGCCTCATTAAGGACTCATCAGCAAGGTACGGTCAGCAACGCTCACTGCTGCAAAACGGCTGCCCAGCGTGGCATCTGGGAAGCACGCCGAAGGGTGTCAGTGTAGCCTAGACGGCAATGCGGAATTCGATTAACCCCTTTCCCGTTCCGAGACGACTGCAGGTTGCGGTGGGTGTCCTGTTCACCGCCGAATCTTGTTCATTTTATTTATAGAGGCGTAGCAGCGCCGTCGTTTTTGAAGACGTCGTCACCGCAGAGAACCGCAGCGACACGACCGCCGCGCTCTACGATAGCCGGTGCCAAACCGTGCCACACGTCCCTACTGCATGGCCTTTTAACTTCCGGTTTGATGACGTACACGCGTGTGTATGTACGTGATCGGAACGGAATTGGGGGGTGGGACGAAAATGTTTTTACGACGTAGACGTCATCGGAATGCAAAAGGGATAAACATCTTGCTGGTATGCATTACCCACCTATCACAGCCTCGTGCCCTTCTTGATTGAACAGATTATTCGGTGGTGCTGCTGCTGCTGCGTTGACAGTGCACAAGCAACAACTCAACACGTGGCCTTAACTTAAAAAATGTATAAATATGCAGGGACGTTTAATGCAATGAAAGAGGGCCATTGCCCGAAACGTCGCCTATTATATATTTATTCTATATTTTCCCCCGATAAAGGCCACACACACAATGTGTTGAGGGTTATTTTTTTTTATTTGTGAAATGAGATCGGGATTAGAAAACAGTCGTAGCAATGTGCTCGTTATTTGTTTACAAGTTGGTATTGTGTGAACAAAGCAGAGGTTATATATATTGCCGTGGTGTCCGTGTGTTCTGACATTGCTGTTGTAAACTGTTATAGTCGAAATGCGTGGTACCAGCGACTGGACACAAAACAACAACCTGTTAAATTTGATTTTAAAAACGAATATGCTTTAACATTGATAGAGTTTTTTTTAGGTGAGATCGCGTAAATATAAATGTGTCGTTAAACCCGCCACCACCCGCCACAGCCAATTATTAAGGTTGTTTTGTAAACAAAACACGCCAATTTGACAAACCGTGCTTATTGGCCAATTTGACAAACCTTGTTAATTGGCTGTGTCGGGTGGTGGCGGTTTTAACGACACATTTATATTTACGCGATCTAACCCAACCCCCCCCCCCCCTCTCTATTATGGATATTGGTCGCGAAAGTCTATGTGTTAAACTGCTTTAACCCTTCCGACAATAATACAAGAGGCGTTAAAATGCTCAAACGCCACATTGCCAACCTATTTAGCAAGGCGTCAAGTCTGCATTCATCACAAATCATGCTTGTGGTAAGCAACATGCAAACAAGCATGCTTTGATAATAACGTGTAGCGCGATGTCTTTGAACCGGCTGCTTGCTGCGCCAGTCTTAGGACCAGAGGACCCCCCCCCCCCAAAAAAAAGGCGAAACAGAATCTGTATTTATCCTGGAGGAATCCGACAAGCTATAAAGCTCCTTAAATTTCGATTTAAAGCTTTCGTGACTGCAGGGATTCATCTTCCTGGTTCTTTCGGTAAAGTCACGTAGAAGGGAAGTAATACAATAATAAAAATAAAACATAATAAAATAATATAATAATATAAAATAATATAAAATATTTTTATTTTTATTATTGTATTACTTCCCTTCTACGTGACTTTACCCAAAGAACCAGGAAGATATAAAGCTCCTTGTTTTCACCGACCTCCAGTATTCATTCTGCCACAGTAAGAAAGAGCGCAAAAAAGGCAATGAAAACATCAACGCAATTAACAGCTCGGGTTCTTACGTTTGTTTTGTGTTCTATAATTTGTCGGAATTCCAGCTATGAGATTTGTGCCCTTGAGAAAACGCTACAGGGGGGTTGGACATCGACTGAACAAAGAGGGATTTTTTTTCGAGAATTCGGTCGACGAATGCATTGCGGTGGTGAATACGAGACGGCGTTGGGTCCTTCATAAACGATGCGTCAGGGGCCGTCCATAAATGACGTCACACACCTAGGGGGGGGGGGTTCAGACATTTGTGACGATGTGTGACGAGGGGGGGGGGGGGGGTTGAGAAATGTCACATCAAAATGCGCAACTTTAAATAAATATAGAATTGTTATAACAACACTAATTGTTACAACAACACTCCTACAACATCAGAGTGCAGCGCCACATTAAATACGCACTACAATGACAATAGTTTAAAGCGATTTGAAGCATGTTTTATTTTCAAAATGGAAATATGGTTTTGGGGGGGGGGGCAGAGCTTTGTGACGTCATACTCTTAGTTCTTTCGGTAAAGTCACGTGACTTTACAGAAAGAACTAAGAGTATGAATCCTTGCAGTCACGAAAGCTTCAAATCTAGAATTATGACGTTATATTTGAGAGGGGGGTCTGACTTTTGGTGACGCCGTGTGACGAGGGAGGGGGGGGTCAAAAATCGTCCAAAATCGCGTGACGTCATTTATGGACGGCCCTTCACAACGAAGGCAGCAGTCCTTCAAGAGGGACGCGCGGCCTTGAAGCCGCAGGCAGGAATCGAACTCGGGTGGGCGGGTTTCGTAGCGCGTTGCGTCAACCACTACGCCACCGTTCCCCACACCCACACGTTCATCCATATAAACACATTCTTTGGTGATGCTGATTGGACTGCCACTGCTGCTGCTGCTGATGATAATGCCTCCACTATTGCTGATGATGATGCTGCTGCTAGTGCTACTGCTGATGATGATTATGATGCCATTACTGCTTCTGCTGATGATAATAGTGCTGCTACTCTTAGGTTTTTTTTCGGTAAAGTCACGTAGGGAAAAAATAGTAATAAAATAATAATAAATGATTTAATGTAGTTATTATCATTTATTATAATTTTATTTTATTATTATTTTTTTACCTACGTGACTTTACCGAAAAAACCTAAGAGTATGAATCCTTGCAGTCACGAAAGCTTCAAATCTAGGATTAATAGTGCTGATGACGTTTTTTTTAATCACGGCTCTGCAATGCCGGTGCTGTACAACTGCTGGAAACGCAAGTGATAGTGATGAATTATGATGGATGTAATGGAAATTATGAAGACGATTGCTGATCAGAGCGACTGCGAATTGCTTCGCGATGCTCCTGCTGATGATCATCTGCGGAGCTATCGAGTGTGCGGGCGTATAACTGCATCCCCGGACGAGACCAGGCGCCAGGCTATGGTGTAATGCCACTGATGTTGCTGCTGTTGCTGATGATGACGACGACGCTGAGGATACCGTAGAAAGTTCATCAGCATCTCGAAAAGCAGAAGAGGTCAGCACAGACAGAGAGGGAGGCAACTTGACTTGAATGCGCTTTGCAATGTACCGCTGCATCATATGCAGACCTCTAATCAGCGAATTCTATCATCTGCAGGAGCAGTAGGGTTCCCCAAAAAACAAGTAATATAAAAAAACAACTTTTTGAAAAACACGCTTTTATGAAATGTACTAGTAATGGCAGAACTCCATGACTCCAGGAAGTGGCCCCGAAGCTTGCCATAGCGTAAGGGGCCGTGGCCAATTACAGCCAACGTCAGTTGAGCGTGGACAATTAGACCCAAGCCGAAACATAACATATACAAATAATGTTTAAAAATATATAATTTGTATTTGTATGATAGAATATCGAATTGTCATGAGGATGACATAAGTATACCAAGTTTGTAGTCGATAGCACATTGGGAAGTGGGTTAAAATTGAGTTACAAGATTTGGGAATACGACAACAACAGTGAGTTAATAAAACGCGTGTAACAAAAATCTATTTACCCGCGACAAAGATCTTCCAATCATCCGCTAATTTATCCCAGGGGGTCTTTGCGGAACGGTGTCCAATTATCCGCACGTTTTTTTTTTGTATTATTGCGGGTAAGATTAAGTTGACCGGCAAATCCCTCCTTTGCTATAGACCCATGCCAGGCTGCAGGTAGGCGTAATGGAATGTTTCTATTTGTTTGCAAAAAAAATATTGTATCGTGGCCTAAATATACTGGATATGCAAGTATGCATACACATATATACACTGTGCAAAAAAAGTGTTTTAAAATTGAAGTTCAATTATCGATATCGGTGGGACACGTGGTGTGGTAGGGTGGAGGGGGATGGGGTGAAGCGACTTGTAGGTTGTGAATAGGAAGAGGTCGTGATGGGTGGGACACGTGGTGTGCAGGATGGAGTGGGATGGGGTGAAGCGACTTGGCGTTTGTGAATAGGAAGAGGTAGTGATGGGTGGGACACGTGGTGTGCAGGACAGCAGTGGCACCCAGATGTGAGTGACCAAGGGGAAGAGAAGACCTAAGGCCAGGCGGGGGTGGTGGTGATGATGAGAGTGTCAAATAGGTCCGATAGGTCGGGTTTCGACTGTGCAAAAGCTGCAGGCTCTGGCAGAAGGAAGGAAGCGATGGCGCTGCGCCGTGGCCTCAACGGCACTGGCCGTGACGACCTCTCGACCTTTGTAAAGTGACAGTATTGTGCGATTAAAGTGTTTCATGTTGAACGTCACTTTGTGTCCTGGTCTTCATGCAAACTAACAACGACTGGGTGGAGTCGCGTTAGTTTTTTATTTCCATCCTGATGCCGCTGGTGTCACTAGCGAGCGGTCGTGCAACAGGCATGAGCATTCCTGGTAGGAACCTCCTGGTTACACCAGCCCACAGGGGATTATTGTGTCCGTCGTGCAGGGAGGGGCTGGGTGGGGAGGGAGGGGCTGGGTTGGGAGGGTGGGGCTGGGTGGGGAGGGTGAGGCTGGGTGGGGGGTGGGAGGAGTGGGGCTGGGTGGAGAGGGGAGGGTGGGGAGGGGCTGGGTGGGGAGGGTGGGGAGGGGCTGGGTGGGGAGGGTGGGGCTGGGTGGGGGGTGGGAGGGGTGGGGAGGGTGGGGCTGGGTGGGAGGGGTGGGGCTGCTCACTCCGTGGTGCCCTTATAAAACTCAACGTTTCACCTACTCACGCCGGCTTGTGCCCACCCTCACAGTCGGCCATATTTGCGGAATACACCACGCCGCCGTTGACCCTGGCCATTGACCGAGAAACCCAACGTTCCTACCAGCTCCCTCGGCAGGAATGTGTTATAATCAGCAGCACCACGTGAACCAGCGGTTTAATGTCCAACAATGGCTGTACTGGCATCGTCAGCAGCACAATCGTCAGCTGTTTCAACAGAATAATCTATCACCTGCATCGAAAGCCGCTCGGGCTCTGGGATCTTCCAAAAAAAATGTTGCTGGAGAAATCATTGGACGGTGCGGGCAATTGTACGGAGAGCTGCGATATTAATTGGGAATTGGCTAAGAGCGGCCGACCCCTGGTGTTCTGAGGTCAGAGTGCGGAGCGAGCGCAGCTGAGATTATCGGGGCTTGAAGATGGATTTCCAGCCGCACGCGATTCAGGGGGGTGCTCAAGTGTGCAGATGTTGGTGGTTATAGGCCCAGGTCCGCCGATGGCTTGCGTGGAGAACCGTCGACTCAAAACAGAGAACAGACTCACAAAGAGCCCGATACTCACACAGAGAGAACAGACTCAGAGAGACCCATAGACTCACACAGAGAACCACAGAGACCCATAGACTCACACAGAGAACCATAGACTCACAGAGAGACCCATACACTCACAGAGAGAAGAACAGACTCACAGAGAGACCCATAGACTCACAGAGAACCACAGACTCACAGAGAGACCCATACACTCACAGAGAGAACAGACTCAGAGAGACCCATAGACTCACACAGATAACCACAGACTCACACAGAGACCCATAGACTCACAACAGGGAAGAACATACTCACAAAGAGCCCGATACTCACACAGAGAACCACAGACTCACACAAAGACCCAGACTCACAGAGAGATGAACAGACTCACAAAGAGACCCATACACTCACAGAGAGATGAACAGACTCACACAGAGACCCATAGAACTCACAGATAGACCCATAGACTCACCGAGAGACCCATAGACTCACACAGAGAACCAGACACACACAGACGAGTCGTCTGGAACGCTCTTCCTTGCGATATCAGGAATCCACTGGAAGCAGTCCACTTTTACATCCAGATTGACGAACTAATTTCTTCGCGAACTGCTTTTTCTGTGCGCAGCTTGTCATCATTCCCCCCGCGCCTCCGATTGGCACGGTTGGCTACGTACGGCGCGAAAGAAGTTCAACGTACGCACGTACACACAAGCCGGAGTTTCTCACGTGCGGCGTGTTGGTGGTCACACCAGGCCGGTCACCGATGGCTTGTGCAGAGAACGACGGAGCATTTAAATCTGCGCCTGTCAGGTCCCACGTGCTTCTCTCTCCGTCTCACTTCAACAAACTCCAAGCCTTGCACATCTCTCTATCTCCTCTCTCTCCGTGCAGACCCTTCGAATAGAAACCTCTTCAAATATTCCGTCTCCACCGACTGCTCGGTAGACGTGCAACACACGTTGGGGGGGGGGGGGAGGTGTGGGTAACGCGTTGTTGCACGTGGTTGAAACCGTTGGACCGAACGTTGGCCTTACGTTGGCTCAACGTGTCAAGTTTACCGGGTGTACGCGTTCATTTTACTGGGCGCCGCGGTGGCTAGATGTTAACTCCCTCGCCTGGTGTGCAGGAGGTCGTGGGTTATATCCCCTAGGCTGATGCCTGCTGGAAGTTTGGAGTTTGTGGTGTCTCTCTCTCTCCATGGTGGCTTGGATTTCTCTCCGAGACCTCCAGTCTTTTCCCTCCGCATTTAGAATCAACATCACGCGATTGGGGTTATTCGACTGCTATAAATGTCCACGTGACGACAAGCCACTTCCCGCTGGGCTATCATTTGTGGCCAGGTCGCTTCTGACAAAAAGCTACAAAGCTCAGGTGGGGCCTTACCTGGTAAAAAAATATAAAACAAAAAAACTTCAAGCGGTTTGGGTTACATACGCAGGTTTAAGTCGGCGTATTGATCGCTGAGAAAAGTAAGCGTGCTTGCGCTAGGACACGTCACGGCGAGAGGGGACGATGGGCAGCGGACGAGATGTGGCAACGACGGTGAATTGTTGAGTGATGAACCCACTTTGTCGAGCTCACATTTGCTGGCCAGGTCGCTTCTGAAAGAGAGCCACATCATCGCTCAGTGGGCCCTTACCCGGCAAATAAGAATAGCAGCAGCAGTAGTAGCAGCAGTAGTTGTCGCGCATTGGAACTTCACGACTCGCTCGCTTTGAGACGCAAACGACAACGCGGCTTCACAGCTCTCGGAATATGTAACCAGTGTAATAAACAACAAGACAAGCGAGAACACGGCCCTTTGACAATACAGAATTAAATTGACACGGATCGCGAAACCCCCTCGCCCCCCCGAGCGAGGTACGACCCAGCGGCAGGAAATTAGCGGCGACGTTGTCCCTGTAGTTACGAGACTCCCTACTAATCGAGGATAAAAGCGTTATAGCAGTCTTCTTGGTTCTTTCGGTAAAGTCACGTAGAAGGGAAATGATAAAATAATAAAAATAAAACATATTTTATTATGTTTAATTTTGATCATTTTAAACAATACAAATAAAACATATTTTATTATGTTTTATTTTTATCATTTTAAATAATAAAAATAAAATATATTTTATTATGTTTTATTTGTATTATTTTAAATAATAAAAAGAAAACATATTTAATGTTTTATTTTTATTATTTTATTATTTCCCTTCTACGTGACTTTACCGAAAGAACCAAGAAGATGAATCCCTGCAGTCACGAAAGCTTTAAATCGAAAGTTAATTATTTTATTATGTTGTATTGTTATTATTTTATGATTTCCCTTCTACGTGACTTTACCGAAAGAACCAAGAAGATGAATCCCTGCAGTCACGAAAGCTTCAAATCGAAATTTAACATATTTTATTATGTTTTATTTTTATTTTATTATTTCCCTTCTACGTGACTTTACCGAAAGAACCAAGAAGATGAATCCCTGCAGTCACGAAAGCTTTAAATAGAAAGGTGAAGCAGTCGTTTCATTGTCCCGTTGCCAACGTAACTACGGTGGTCCAAGCAAGGCTGGCGCTCCTTGTCAATATACACGCAGTGCGGTTATGTCACGTGACATGTAAGGCACGTGTGTATGTTGAACTCTTTTCGCACCGTACGCGACCAACCGTGCTAATCGGAGGTGCGGGATAATGGGAGGACCGATTCTACCGTCACGAGAGCACCATATGCTGCCTAGAAATCTCCTCGAGTGTGTTGGCACCGATTCATTAATATACATTCATTTGGAGGGAGTTAGGTCACGTGAAGATCTGCCCATGTGTGTCTTAAAACAGCCCGCCACCCCAACATAGCCGAATAATCATTTTTAACAAATAAAATTAAGAAAGCCAGATTGACTTCCTGCATTTCTGAAGATGCTCGGTCGCGGGAATTAGCTCTTCGGCTTTCCCGCTGAGCGAGCGAGGGAGCGAACCGAAACGAAACCGGCCGCAAGTCGCCGGCGAGTCGTTGAACAAATCGTTCGCCGCTCCAACGTGTCCATCGAAATCTGTTCGGCCGTGCCACTGGGTGCTTGGGGCGGGGGTTTAATGGCACAGATTTGGTCAGGTCGGATCCAACTCCCGGCAATCTATTCGTGAATCGCGGGATTGGAGGGGGGCTGCGAAAACCCTGCTGTGTGTTGCGTTTGATTCCTGTCGGTAAGCGCGCTTTTTTCCCCCGTCTTGTCACAAGCCTTGTAATCGTTGGCTTTTGTGCGATAATAAGGCTGTGATATGGCCACAATCTAGTTTAAGCATAAATGTTATCAATGGTCGGTTAAAAAAGAAACAAACACAAAACGAAAGTTTAAACAAGGCTCTCATTATAAATGCAACTTTTGTTGTTGTCTGTTACCCAAATATGTTTCCCAAGTGCTACTTTTGATAACCGCTTGTTACATCTTTTTGGCATTGTATCGCAAACGAAATTCAGAATGTAACGATGCGACCACCCGACCTCCCCACCCGCGATCAAGGGGTAACGATCCAATAATACATGCAAATAAAAAAATCGATTATTTTGCTTTTTTTGCTCCACATTAAACCGTCTCCATTCAATCCAATCGCGATTGTTCAAATTCAACTTCGCCACACGACGTAACCGAGCGGTCAGCTCGAGTGGACGATGGAGCGGCGAACAAGGGGCGTGTGGCCACCGCGGAGGAGATGGAGTGATTAAATCGGCAATTTATGCAGGCGATGGGTGGATTGTAACTTCGCAAGATCGCGAGAGACGGCTGTGGCTTTTGGGCGCCTTTGACCACGCCTGTTGATTTTTGTAAAAAAGAATGCATTGACAAATTGACGCATCGTTACATGCCTACTGATTATATCCCAACTGTATGGCGAAGTTAGTCGGGTGGCACAAACTCCGGATGCGGATCTTCAGGACCGCATGCTGAACACCATGCTCAGGAACTGCTCGTAGGAAATCCGGATCCAGCCGTCTTGATCCGTGTCGTGCATCCGGAATGCCCCGGTCAGAGTCTGGAGAAGAGGAAAACGGGACATAATGTTGAGCATCAAGGTCATTCGCGTGACCATCAACACCACCACCACCACCATCGCCGACGTAACGACCATCATCATCGTCGTCGTCGTGACCACCACAATCGCAATCAACATCTCCATTATTACCACTGTTAAACCATTATCGCGAACACCACCCCTGCCACCTCTACGCAGAACCTCCAAAGTCGCTTCCCGTACACCCTCTTCCTTCCCGCACGCGTGTCCCACCCATCGCGCGCAACCACCTCCTCCTCTTCCCGATCACATCTATCAATAAATGATTTGGCGACGCTGCTGCTGCGGCGTCGGCAGCGGTGCACAATCACAAACAGCAGAACAACTCGGCACGCTCGTCAACTACACCGCGTGGCCAGGGGTGGGCAACCCGCGGCCCTGTAGCCGCGGGCGGTTTCTCTCCTGAAGGGCTGCTGCGATTGCGGCTCTTGAAATATTGAGGTTTTGTTTTTTACACAGAATCCCCCCCCGAGAAAATACCTCTTCTTGTGATTTTCGTTGCCCGACCCCAGCCGTAGGCCTTCAGAGGACAGATCTACGTAAATATTTCTATAAAACAGGCGACGCTTTGGGCAATCGCCCAATGGCAGTATCATTTGATGAACGAGCCGACAACCGGAACACCTTTCCTGCCGCGATCGACTCGGAAGCCCCCCCCCCCCCGCCCCACCTCCCACCAAGTTGCTCGCAAGCGGAATTCCCGGCATGGCGTCCACGCCCACGTGCCCACCCACGCCCGCGTGCCCACCCGCGCCCACGTGCCCACCCACGTGCCCGCCCGCGTACCCACTTTCCCACGCGCGCCCCGCATCCTCCTCACCTGCAGCGCGATGCAGCACTGGATGAAGTCGTCGAACGCCACCTGCTGCCGGCCCTGGCGGTCGAACCTCCAGACCAGCAGGTCCAGCAGCTGGTCCGAGAAGCGGTACCCTGCGGATGAGCGCAACGGACAAACGGTGAAGCTCCCTCCTCCCTCCCCCCCTCCCCCCATCGCCAAGCCCACAGCCCCGTATTGCCGTGGAACTGCTCCGGGAGCAACGCCGAAGGCCGTTGGGAGCGGCGCGATTCCCGCACGTCTTCCTTCGGTCACGGCACTAAGGCAGCCACGGGTACGACTGCGGAGAGCGGTTGGCGGGGAGGGAAGAACCGGGGGACGAAATCAACGCCCAAACCAATTCCTTATCGCAAATCCTCAAGGCCCGGCTTCACCCTGCCACGCCGTTTAAGTGGGCCTTGCCGGGCAGCTTCCAGACACGGGGCCAGTGCCTCTCTGTGGAGCCAAGCTCCACCGCTGGGGGTCTTCCCGACGACCGACAACTGCAGCTGTGGGCACGACGCAAACGATGTCGTGTGTCGCGACAAGTTCAGCGGAGAGCTACGAGGGAGCGCGTGGACCGCGCGGATTTTGTTGACTCCGGCGATTATGCAGCGGCTGAATGAATGAAAGTGACGCGATTATAATTTTGGGCTCAACCGCGACTAGGACCCCACCAACGTTGGGCCATGTTACACGGCGTAGCGCGCGCTCGGACGGGTGACCAGCGTCCACGCCAGCTGCTGTAGGCTGCTGGCGGTGCAGCAGAAATCAATCGTTACACTCTCCCTCTATGCTCCCCTTCCCCCTCTCCTCCGGTGCCCACGCGCTCCTAACGATGACGACAACGATCTCACCGAAGCTGGAGAGGGCCCCCTTGAGCTCCTGCTTGTCGATGAAGCCCGAGTTGTCGCGGTCGAAGGAGCGGAAGACGCCCTGCCAGTCCGTCACGTACTTCCAGAGTCCAGCAAACTCGGCGAAGCCGATGGTGCCCTTGCGTTCGCGGTCGAACATTCCTGCGCGTCGAGACGGCCAGAGCGGCGAACGTGGGGGCGGCGTGCACGGCAACGCCCGGCGTGGGTTTTTTCTCGCGTTGCGTGCGGAGAGAGGCACGAGAAAGGCGCGAAGCGGCACGCTCGATCCCCCCCCACCGAGGGCTCACAAAGCCAGTCGTGAGCGAAAATGTCGGGTCGTCGATGTTGAATTCTGTTGTGAAAAGTTTGGCTCACCGATGTTGAGCGGCCTTATTGGTCAGAATTGATTAACTAAACTCAAACTTCTTGGTTCCTTCGGTAAAGTCACGTAGAATGGAAGTAATAAAATAATAAAAATAAAAAATAATAACATAATTCTCACGACGTTTCGGCCACAACGCAAGCAGCCATCATCAGACCTGTTCTTCATCTGAATCCCAGCAGTCACGAAAGCTTTAAATCGAAATTTAAACTCAAACTGTTTTATTTTACCAGGTAAGGCCCCACTGAGCGATGTGTAGCTCGTTTTCAGAAGCGACCTGGCTACCACAAATAATAGCTCAACGAAGCGGCATGTCGCGTGGAAATGTTAAGTAGCTGAATACTCTAAAGGCGTGTTTCTAAATGTGGAGGGAAAAACCGGAGGACCCGGAGGAAAATCGACACGACCACGGAGAGAGAGACATGCAAACTCCAAATATACAGCAGGCGTCAGGGTTGGGATCGAACTGACGACCTCCTGTATACCAGGCGAGGTAGTTAACATCTCCTAGCCACCATGATGATGATGATGAGAGACACCGCAAACTCCAAATACGCAGCAGGCATCAGGGTTGGGATCGAACTGACGACCTCCTGTATACCAGGCGAGGTAGTTAACATCTCCGAGCCACCATGATGATGATGAGAGACACCGCAAACTCCAAATACACAGCAGGCGTCAGGGTTGAGATCGAACTGACGACCTCCTGTATACCAGGCGAGGTAGTTAACATCTCCTAGCCACCATGATGATGATGAGAGACACCGCAAACTCCAAATACACAGCAGGCGTCAGGGTTGGGATCAAACTGACGACCTCCTGTATACCAGGCGAGGTAGTTAACATCTCCTAGCCACCATGATGATGATGAGAGACACCGCAAACTCCAAATACACAGCAGGCGTCAGGGTTGGGATCAAACTGACGACCTCCAGTATACCAGGCGAGGTAGTTAACATCTCCTAGCCACCATGATGATGATGAGACACCGCAAACTCCAAATACACAGCAGGCATCAGAGTTGGGATCGAACTGACGACCTCCTGTATACCAGGCGAGGTAGTTAACAACGATTTAATGTTTGTCAACGTGAAAATCCTGTCAGGTGGTGGAGGGTTCATGACAAGAATTTTGGCGGACTAACTAACTCAACATGGATCGTTATGTGGACTAACTCAACATGGATCGTTATGGCGAAGTAATGTCACGAGTGGAGTTGATGTTAAGAAGTCTCTTAACTCTGAGCACGCAAGAAAGTCACGATGATGTTTTGGTAAAGCTTTAAATAATTCGTGAATTGTCAGGAAGACGCACAAGTCTATCGTTAACTTAATAACGCAATGTAACGAATGAAAAAAAAATAATTGACAGAACATCGTCCACGTTATCAACAAGACTAATATCGCTAATATAATTCACATTATGTTAATCAACGTACGCGAGTCGGCCATGGACCGGCTAAAAAACCGCACGTGGGTGATGATGTCATGCCAGCCATGTTGCCATGGGCGCTCGCTGCCGCTGATTGGTTGGCGCAGTGATGTCATCGACAAGTCCATACGGCGTACTGCCAATTCACTACGGGCAAAATAATTAGTTTCGTATATTTGTTTGTTTTTCTCCCTTGTGACGGGACTTTGTAGGATGAACGTTGAGATGTATAAGGGGCACGGGGTGACCACTAAGGTCTGAATTGGCCTGTAATAAGGCAGGCACCGATAAAGGGTTGACAGCGATCTCGTTCGGTCCGCCCATATTTGACTTCAACTTACGATCCATATTTCTCTCGTGCCATTTTGTCACCTTACACAGATCGTAGCCCTGAATGTTCGCACGTACGTTGGAATTCTTTCGCACGTCATCACGAGAACTGATTTTGACGCACCACCACCAGCGTTTCTCACCGGGGTTGCGAATCGCGGGGAAAATAATTGGGAAAAAAATTAGCTGCTTTTTTTAAAATTAGATAGTGCGCACCACCGGTGTACCGCCAATACGTTAAGTTCTATCAATGGCAGCACCCTAGCTGCACTGATCGGGCACTAGAGTTGTGTGGGGAGCGGAGATATTCTAGATCCAGTAACACCACCGTGTGTTTTTCTCTCCCCGCCGCGCTGGGCCCCCACAGGTGGAACGGGAAGGGGGGTCCCCCCCCCCCCCCACACGCGTGTCGTCGTCATACCCATCATGAGCTGCACCGTCTGCATGTTAAACGGGGTCCACGTTCCTGCGAACACAATCGAGAAACGCGGGCGTCACACGCAAGCACGAGGGCGCGCGAACAAATGACGCGTTGGTCAGCGCGGCAAAGGGATGTTGCGCGCGACCGTCTTGTCAGCAACGCGCGCGCATTGTGTCGTTTGCGCGTTGTGTCGTTTGCGCGTTGTGTCGTTTGCGCGTTGTGTCGTTTGCGAGCGGGTCAGCGGTGGCGTAGCGGTTCGCGCGTCCGCGATAAAGGCACAACAACGGCGAGACGGAGTTCGATTCCCGCTCACGGTCAACGGCGGTTATCTGCACCGGTTTTGGGCCTCCCCTAGGTCGACTCGGCCTCAAGCGAGCACCTGGTGCAGTGAGCAAACATCGCCACTGGGGAGACAAAGGCGGTCGGGCGAGGTGCTGGCCACCCACCCCCTCGTGTGCCGTGCCGGCTCGCTAACGGCACTTGCCCCTGCAGTCTGTTACAGGCTATGGGGGGGGGTCTTTGTGTGTGGGTGTGTGGTCTGTGTGTGTTTGTGGGGGTGTGTGGGAGTGTGTGGGTGTGTGTGTGGGTGGGTGTGTGGGTGGGTGTGTGTGGTGTGTGTGTGTGGGTGTGTTTGTGGGTGTGTGTGGGTGTGTGTGTGTGAGTGTGTGTGTGTGGGTGTGTGTGGGTGTGTGTGTGGGTGTGTGTGTGTGGGTGTGTGTGTGTGGGTGTGTGTGGGTGTTTGTGTGTGTGTGTGTGTTTGTGTGTGTGTGGGTGTGTGTGGGTGTGTGTGGGTGTTTGTGTGGGTGTGTGTGTGTGTGAGAGTGTGGGTGTGTGTGTGGGTGTGTGTGTGAGTGGGTGTGTATGTGGGTGTGTTTGTGTGTGGGTGTGTGTGTGAGTGTCGGTGTATGTATGTGTATGTGTGTATGTGTGTGGCCGAGTCACCATTGCTCAGAGCTTGCTGAAGTTCATTCGCAGAAATGGCTCCACTCCGGTCTTTATCGACTCTGGGATGAAAACGGAGGAAGAGAGAAAAAAAACAACAACAACACAACAACCATAAAAACAACAATAACACAACAAGCATTCCAGTGTCAACGATCTCCCCCCCCCCCCCCCCCCCCCCCGGGAAGATGGAACCTGTGGATCTGCAGGCCCCGTGTGTCGCTCACCCCCTCGCCACGACACCACGCTGCGAGAAGCACTATCTCCAGGCGCGGCAGCTGAAAAAACATCCTTGCACCGTCTCAAATCGCTCCCCTCCCCCGCCGCCTCTGTCCAACCATACCCTTTGGTTCTTTCGGTAAAGTCGCGTAGGTAGAAAAATAATAAATCACGACGTTTCGGGCGCAACACAAGCGTCCGTCATCAGGTGGGAAAGCACTTCCGTGCCCTCGTCGAGAAGGCCGCTCTCCTCCTATCTTACAGCAACATGCTAATTTCTCACAATAACATTATGCTAATTTCTCACAATAACATCATGCTAATTTCTCACTTTAACATAATGCTAATTTCTCACATTAACATCATGCTAATTTCTCACTTTAACATCATGCTAATCTCTCACATTAACATCATGCTAATCTCTCACATTACCAGCCACTTCCGTGCCCTCTAATTTCTCACATTAACATCATGCTAATCTCTCACATTAACATCAAGCTAATTTCTCACATTAACATCATGCTAATGTCTCACATTAACATCATGCTAATCTCTCACAGTAACATCACCAGCCCCGGCCACTTCTTTATGACCCTTGAGCTACACCCATTTCAAACCTTTTAAAAACAGTCTGCCTCAGAAGCAGACCATGCTTTCCCACCTGATGACGGACGCTTGTGTTGCGCCCGAAACGTCGTGATTTAAGTTATGTTCTACCTACGTGACTTTACCGAAAGAACCAAAGAGTATGGATACCTGCAGTAACGAAAGCTTTAAATCAAACTTCTGTCCAACCAAGTTGATGGCGGTGGAGCGAAGGCCGCGGGTAACTTGCCTGCACCCCACCCTGTTCAAGACGCCTGGCACAACGTGGAAGAGTAGGCCAAAACACCCCCTGCCGTCAGTAGTGGCTGAGTGAGAGAGCAATTTCAGGCCTGACCTCTACACCTGTAAACAACATGATCCCATGTACTTACCCTACTACTCAAACATAGAAGATGTTCATGTACATGATCCCATGTACTTACCCTACTATTCAAACATAGAGGATGTTCATGTACATGATCCCATGTACTTACCCTACTACTCAAACATAGAAGATATTCATGTACATGATCCCATGTACTTACCCTACTACTCAAACATAGAAGATATTCATGTACATGATCCCATGTACTTACCCTACTACTCAAACATAGAAGATATTCATGTACATGATCCCATGTACTTACCCTACTACTCAAACATAGAAGATATTCATGTACATGATCCCATGTACTTACCCTACTACTCAAACATAGAAGATGTTCATGTACATGATCCCATGTACTTACCCTACTATTCAAACATAGAGGATGTTCATGTACATGATCCCATGTACTTACCCTACTACTCAAACATAGAAGATGTTCATGTACATGATCCCATGTACTTACCCTACTACTCAAACATAGAGGATATTCATGTACATGATCCCATGTACTTACCCTACTACTCAAACATAGAAGATATTCATGTACATGATCCCATGTACTTACCCTACTACTTAAACATAGAAGATATTCATGTACATGATCCCATGTACTTACCCTACTACTCAAACATAGAAGATATTCATGTACATGATCCCATGTACTTACCCTACTACTCAAACATAGAAGATATTCATGTACATGATCCCATGTACTTACCCTACTACTCAAACATAGAAGATATTCATGTACATGATCCCATGTACTTACCCTACTACTCAAACATAGAAGATATTCATGTACATGATCCCATGTACTTACCCTACTACTCAAACATAGAAGATATTCATGTACATGATCCCATGTACTTACCCTACTACTCAAACATAGAGGATGTTCATGTACATGATCCCATGTACTTACCCTACTACTAAAACATAGAGGATATTCATGTACATGATCCCATGTACTTACCCTACTACTCAAACATAGAGGATGTTCATGTACATGATCCCATGTACTTACCCTACTACTAAAACATAGAGGATATTCATGTACATGATCCCATGTACTTACCCTACTACTCAAACATAGAGGATGTTCATGTACATGATCCCATGTACTTACCCTACTACTCAAACATAGAAGATATTCATGTACATGATCCCATGTACTTACCCTACTACTCAAACATAGAGGATGTTCATGTACATGATCCTACATACCGAATACTTAACCTGCTAATTCACGTACACACACACACGTACAGGACACATGCCTACAGAGCGTGTATGCACATACCTACAGGCACATACACACAGCATGTACCTACACATGCTGTACCTACCAACAGCACGTACCTACACTTGCTGTACCTACTAACACATACAGACAGCATGTACTTACACATACCTACAGGCACATACAGACAGCATGTACCTACACATGCTGTACCTACCAACAGCATGTACCTAGACATGCTGTACCTACACATGCTGTACCTACCAACAGCACGTACCTACTCATGCTGTACCTACTCATGCTGTACCTACCAACAGCACGTACCAACAGCATGTACCTACACATGCTGTAACTACACATGCTGTACCTGCCAACAGCATGTACATACACATGCTGTATCTACCAACACATACCTACAGGCACATACAGTCAGCATGTACCTACACATGCTGTACATACCATAATATACATGCCAACAGCATGTGCTGTTCCTGTATCTACACATACCTACAACACGTGCTTACACATACAGTACATACCAACATGTACAGTAACTTACACGCCTCGCCAACTCGAACCACTGCGGGTTACTCTCAAGTACTCTGCACGCGTCTCTCTACTGCGGATGATGATGGTTTTAAAAATGCCAATAACGATGATGCTGCTGATGATGCTGCTGCTGATGATGCTGCTGCTGATGATGATGCCGCTGATGGTGATGATAGCGCTGTTAATGCTGATGCCACTGCTGATGATGCCGCTGATGATGATGCTGATGATGCCACTGCTGATGATTGCACTGCTGATGATGATTGCACTGCTGATGATGATTGCACTGCTGATGATGATGCTGATGATGATGCTGATGATGCCGCTGATGGTGATGATAGCGCTGTTAATGCTGATGCCACTGCTGATGATGCCGCCGCTGCTGATGATGATGCTGATGATGCCACTGCTGATGATTGCACTGCTGATTACGATTGCACTGCTGATGATGATGATGCCGCTGATGATGATGGCACTGCTGATGATGATTGCACTGCTGCTGATGCCGCTGATGCTGATGCCACTGCTGATGATTGTACTGCTGATTATGATGGCACTGCTGCTGATGATGATGCCGCTTATGATGGCACTGCTGCTGATGATGCCGCTGATGATGATGGCACTGCTGATGATGATGTTGCCGCTGATGATGATGGCACTGCTGATGATGATGCCGCTGATGATGATTGCGCCGCTGCTGATGATTGCGCCGCTGATGATGTCACTGCTGATGATGCTGTTGCCACTGCTGATGATAGCGCTGCTGCTGCTAAAGCCGCTGCTCATGATGCCACTGCTGATGATGATGGCACTGCTGATGATGATGGCACTGTTGATGATGCCCTTCATGACAATGACAGAAGACGCTGCAGTGATGACGATGCGTATGACAACGACGATTGAATCATGACCGACACCAGATTCTAACATCATCATCATCAGCAGCTGCAGCAGCCGTGGTCTATCCGCTGCTGGATGAAAACGCTCTCCCTCTCACGAGCCCGCGATGTGAAACACAATCCATCAACCAGCCTCCACGCCCCGTGTATGTAGAACTTCTTTCGCACCGTACGTAGACAACCGCGCTAATCTATGGGTGTCTGTGGGTCTGGGTGTCTGTGGGTCTGAGTGTCTGTGGGTCTGGGTGTCTGTGGGTCTGGGTGTCTGTGGGTCTGGGTGTCTGTGGGTCTGGGTGTCTGTGGGTCTGGGTGTCTGTGGGTCTGGGTGTCTGTGGGTCTCTGTGTATGCGGAACTTTTTCTGCACCGTACGTAACCAACCGTGCAAATCGTGAGGTGCGTGCCGGGTACGTCTATTATACACCGGCTGCCATCACCATCACTACCATCACCACCATCCTCACCATCACCACCATCATCATCACCACCATCATCATCATCCTCACCATCCTCACCACTACCACCATCACCACCACCCTCATCATCCTCACCACCATCCTCACCACCACCACCATCCTCACCATCACAACCATCACCACCATCCTCACCATCCTCACCATCACCACCATCCTCATCCTCACCACCATCACCACCATCACCACCCTCACCACCACCACCATCCTCACCACCACCACCATCCTCACCACCACCACCATCCTCACCATCACAACCCTCACCACCATCCTCATCCTCACCAACATCACCATCACCATCCTCACCACCACCACCACCATCCTCACCACCACCACCATCCTCACCATCACCACCATCCTCACCATCACCACCATCCTCACCATCACCACCATCCTCACCACCACCACCATCCTCACCATCACCACTACCACCATCACCACCATCCTCACCATCATCACCACCACCACCATCACCACCATCCTCACCATCACCACCATCCTCACCATCACCACTACCACCATCACCACCATCCTCACCATCATCACCACCACCACCATCATCACCATCCTCACCACCACCACCATCATCACCATCCTCACCACCACCACCCCCCCATCAAACGAGAATCTCACAATTACAAAGACTATCTACGAATATGTATAATTTTACGACACACGTGCTGACGGAGGAGGTGAAAGCCAACCTCACCTCTGGAACATGGTCCACAGGAAATTCTGATCTTGAACACCGCCCGCATATGCTCCACCGGGCTGCGCGTACTGTTGATGGTAAGCCATCCTGGATATATAAATGTAAAAAAAAAAAACCCGAAATAAATCAACGGAATAACAATCTGTGAAAAAAAAATAACAACAACGCGTAAGACTTAAGAGTTTGTGTTTAAAAAAAAATCAGCGGCTCCGTTCGTTAAATTTTAGTTGTTGCAGCTCTCAGTCCAAAGGGGGAAGTGATTTCGGATGTGGCCACGTGACGCCGTTTCCGAGTTGGCGCTGACGTCACCGCCACGAGGCCTCGGGAGGAAACGGTTACATGACGTCACGACGGTGGTGGACTTAAAAAGTGCACCTAGCCTGGCACGAGCGCCGTGGTGACGACACCGTCACTTGAGCGGGGAGCGGTAGTGCTGCGGTCCGAGTTCGATTCCCGTTCACGGCCAACACCGGTGGCGATTATCTGAACCGGTCCTGGGCCTCCCCTAGGTCGTCTCAGCCTCAAATGAGTATCTGGTGCGGTATGTAAACTTCGTTACTGGGGAGACAAAGGCGGCCGGGCGTGGTGCTGGCCACCCACCCCCTCGTGCGCCGTGTCGGCCTTCATAGGTGCTCGCTAACAGCACTTGCCCCGGACAGTCTGTTAAGGCTATACGGGGGATCTTTGTCTTTGGGGTGAGTGAGTGGGGTGGTGAGAAGGGGTGGAGCGGGTGGGTTGGTGAGGAGGGGTGGGGTGGGTGGGTTGGTGAGGAGGGGTGGGTTAGTGAGGAGGGGTGGGTTGGTGAGTAGGGGTGGGGTGGGTGGGTTGGTGAGGAGGGGTGGGTTGGTGAGTAGGGGTGGGGTGGGTTGATTGGTCAGGAGGGGTGGGGTGGTGATGAGGGGTGGGGTGGTGAGGAGGGGTGGGGTGGGTGGGTTGGTGAGGAGGGGTGGGGCGGGTGGGGTGGTGAGGTGGGTGGGTTGGTGAGGAGGGGTGGGGTGGGTGGGTTGGTGAGGAGGGGTGGGGTGGGTGGGTTGGTGAGAAGGGGTGGGTGGGTTGGTGAGGAGGGGTGGGTTGGTGAGAAGGGGTGGGGTGGGTGGGTTGGTGAGGAGGGGTGGGGTGGGTGGGTTGGTGGGGAGGGGTGGGGTGGGTGGGTTGGTGAGAAGGGGTGGGGTGGGTGGGTTGGTGAGGAGGGGTGGGGTGGGTGGGTTGGTGAGGAGGGGTGGGGCGGGTGGGGTGGTGAGGTGGGTGGGTTGGTGAGGAGGGGTGGGTGGGTTGGTGAGGAGGGGTGGGGTGGGTGGGTTGGTGAGGAGGGGTGGGGCGGGTGGGGTGGTGAGGAGGGGTGGGGTGGGTGGGTTGGTGAGGAGGGGTGGGGCGGGTGGGGTGGTGAGGTGGGTGGGTTGGTGAGGAGGGGTGGGGTGGGTGGGTTGGTGAGGAGGGGTGGGGTGGGTGGGTTGGTGAGAAGGGGTGGGTGGGTTGGTGAGGAGGGGTGGGGTGGGTGGGTTGGTGAGGAGGGGTGGGGCGGGTGGGTTGGTGAGGAGGGGTGGGGTGGGTGGGGTGGTGAGGAGGGGTGGGGCGGGTGGGGTGGTGAGGTGGGTGGGTTGGTGAGGAGGGGTGGGGTGGGTGGGTTGGTGAGGAGGGGTGGGGTGGGTGGGTTGGTGAGAAGGGGTGGGTGGGTTGGTGAGGAGGGGTGGGGTGGGTGGGTTGGTGAGGAGGGGTGGGGCGGGTGGGTTGGTGAGGAGGGGTGGGTGGGGTGGGTTGGTGAGAAGGGGTGGGTGGGTTGGTGAGGAGGGGTGGGGTGGGTGGGTTGGTGAGGAGGGGTGGGGTTGGTGAGGAGGGGTGGGGTGGGTGGGTTGGTGAGTGGTGGGTGGGTTGGTGAGGAGGGGTGAGTCACCAAGTGTTGTTGTTGTTGTGACGTGCAGTGTGGTGAAGGTGGAGCAGGCAGTGTCTGTTAGAGTCCCCAACACGGAGGGAGTGAACAATGAGTGCGTTTTTGGGAACAGTCACTGACCATGGGTGGCAGCGATAGAGTTCAGACGTCGACGAAAATTAAACTGAATTGCCATGTGTGTAACATGACAAGTACACGTGTGTACGCTGGTGTGAACAGTTTAATGCTCGAATGCGTGAAAGATTAATTAAATCAAGTGCATGAGGCTACAATCGTAGACTTTTCGCAATCAACGGCGGTATTGTCAAAAATTTCACAGCTTTTTTTACACCACCCAATAAAAATGTTTTAGGTTGTCGCCGAATTTCGGACTGTAAATTGAATTCGTGACAGCGGCCAGATTATTATAGTTTTAAATTGTCAGTAGTTTAATAGAAATACAAATTAAGAGTTACATATATTTACTCAGTGTTGCAAAAAATAACCAATCAAAGATTTAATGTTCAAAGTTCCACCAATTGTAATAAACAAAAAAATATTTACGACAACCAAACAATTGATTTTAAACTTGCATCCCCAAGGGGCTTAACTTCAGCCGGGTCTCCGTCCGGTTTAGCGACTCAGTAAATATTGTCCACATGCAGCGCACCACATCCAGTATATCAACCTTCTCGCGAGGGCTGTGACTCATACGAAGTCACGTGTCACCTACAACACATTCGTGAATAATAACACTTCCATAATACAGTTTTTAAATCCTTTATATTAAGTTCGCTTGCTTGCTTGCGCGCTTACGACCGTGCAAATCTTTCGGTCGTTTTTTAACCCACTTCCCGTGATCCAATCGAGCTGACATTTTGCACACAGACTCGTTGTGCGAGACAATTGATGTTCGTGAAAAAATTTTTCTAACGTTTTACACTGTTTAGGGAAAACACATTAAACATTTAATTACCAATTGCTTAATGCTGGCAGACAATCATCTGACCCATAGGTGGCAGCCATCTCAAGCCAGAGGACGAGAGGACTCTAGCCGCCATGCATATAAAGGATTTAGAGTGAAAAACTTTGTTTTTACGGGTTATACTTATTTTGGGGTTAGATCGCATGTGGCGTTAAACCCGTCACAGAACATGCCAGTCGTGTTTACGTGACAAACCTTACCAATTGGCTGTCGGGTAGTGTTGGTATTCTTAGGTTTTTTTTTCGGTAAAGTCACGTAGGTAAAAAATTAAAATTAATAAAAGTAAAATAAAAATAAAATAAAAATCACGACGTTTCGGAGGCAACACAAGCTTCCGTCTTCAGGTGGAACCGTCACAGCACGATAGCTGTATCAAGTAAATGAGAGATTCCAAGAGATACTACCCCGTATATATACTGGTTGAGGGGGGGGGGCAGGACAGGCCCCCTTTTTATTATTATTATTATGGTAAGGTGCGGCTTGAGACTACGGCTAGTCTACCTAATAAAGGACTGAGCCTGTAGTGTTTGGTTTAACGACACATTTATATATTTACGCGATCTAACCCCACAAAATTATGGATGATATTGGTCGCGAAAGCCTACATGTTCAAAAGTAACACTCGTGTGTGTGGCTTTAAAAGAAAAAAAAACAGGCAACGTTTCGGGGCAGTGACAGACACTTCTGAGCACAAAATATTTTATTGATCAAAAGGTCCGAAACGTCATCGATTATAAACATTTTTACATTTTTGTTAAAAGGACACAGTTTTATTGACGAACGTGCTGAGTTGCTGCTGTTGTTGTTGTTGTTTACCCGTGCTTGTCCACCACTGCCAACGCAGCAGCAGCAGCAGTAGTCAAACAATCAAAACGCACATTCAGTGCGAGAAACTAACCCCCCTTCCGCCCCCGGGGATGCATTTAAACAATCCTAGGCACGATGCAATGTTGACAGCTCACGCGACACGTGTGGTATTTTTTTCTAAACAGTTTAGAATAAACTCTATGTCAGTCACAGTGACTAAGCACCTACAATGTCAACTCGTTTACACGATTTGTGTGTTTTTTTTGCCCCCTCTCTCAAGTTAGTGAAATCATCTTTTCCCAAAATATACCGGCGATATTTGTTTATTTTTTGTGTATATACATTTCCTACTGAACATTAAAAAGCTACGATTTAACATTCGCGTCAACGGACCGCTTTCCTCTTTGTGGAATTGGGGGGCGGGAAATTCCACCTCCCCCCCCCACAAATAAAAATATAATTTGGCAAGAGCCAAAACATTTTTTTTATTTTTTCTTTCAAAAAAAGATAGGGAATGTTTAAGACGAAAACGATGGAAAAAATTTGCGCAATTTATTCACTTGAAACAAACGAATGGTGGCAACACGCTGACAAGCCACTGAGTACACGAGCACTGTACAGCCTCTATAAATCCACTGCTGGATGAAGGCCTCCTTCCTACGCCGTGCGGCTTCTGGTAGAGGGGGTTATTGGACCATACTTCACCGCACCGGTCGGTGAAAGTACGCGGTTGGTAGATGCGGGAACATAGAGTGTGGTACAGTACAACAATGGATTTGGCTGCCCTGCTATCAGTGCACGGTGGTCGCCCATCCGTGCGCCATCCAGGCGCCAGCCTGCTTGGTTTCGGCGATCCGATTCGGTCAGAAGGCCATTGCGTGTGTGCGAGAACGATATACGCTCATGGCTAAGATGTGACAGCATTAGGCTGCACAGCAAGCTGGATGCAGACCTCTCTGTGAGGAGGCCGAGTGTGTTACCTTCAGTTTCCTCGCACGATTAATACGAATGCCATCAAGGTGGCTAAAAACACCCTGCAGCAGGACCCTCTTGAAAATGCGTCTCGAGACTCAATTCGAGGGTTTGCTGGGTAACACAGTGATCACTCTCGTCACTGTTGGCTCTCATTTGTGCCCTCGGGCAGTGCCACGTGTTGTCATCGTCGTTGTCGTCGTCGTTCGGCACGATGTCCGACGTTTCGCGCGCCCACAGCTTCTTTAGGCAAGCGAAACATCGATCAAGACGCAGAGCGGCACGACTTGAGGGGGGGGGAGGGGGGAATAACGTCGGACGGCAGCACGACCGCGGCGTCGAACGCGGTGGTGATAATCACGGGGAAAAAATTATTACCCAAAAAAAACGACGAACAGCGACTGCGATTGTCTGGCGAGTTGAGAGGCGAAAAGCGTTCGACACCGTCGCAAGTTTCGTGAAAAATTCTGCAGACAAAACTTTCCAAAAATATCTACCTTCCTAACGGGTTACCATTTCAAGCTTAAGGCACGAACACTGCACCGGCGAACGCAGTCACGCCGACCGAAATTGGGATTTAGCGTCACGTTGCATTCGCCCGACAATCCGTTCATAATGGTCATGTCCCGCGCGACGCCCTTCGAAAGCCCCACCGCGGGATGGAGGAGGGGACGCCGGTAACGTTACTGCGGCGGCGAGCGTCAACCGGCCCAAAAAACACGGTGCAAGTCCACGACGGACCGGCCATCGTTTGCCGGCGGCGGCGTGGTTCACACTTGCCGTATTTTCACAAAACCGCCTGCAATCGACTCGACTGAGAAACGCACAGCAATCACCGTGCCCACCACCCCCCCTACTGCCAGCCTATGCCAGTAGGGGGGCGGTGGACGCGATGATTGCTCTGCGTAACCCTCGTGCCCCCTGCGCTTCCTACTGGCAGTGTGCCGAGTCGCCTTGCGCTGCACAGGGAAAGCTGCCACCGGGAGGGAGGTGGGGGGAGGGGAGTATCCCTCTCGGATGCGGTGAGATGAGATGCGGTGAGATGAGATGCGGTGAGATGAGATGCGGTGAGATGAGATGCGGTGAGATGAGATGCGGTGAGATGAGAGTCGCTTAGCCGCGTCTCAACGCGCTCCCTCTCAAGTTGCCATGCCGTAAATGGCGCCCTGTCAGGAACAACAACAATTACAATCACGACCAAGCAGGCAATTCGCTTACTCAAGGTGGTGCACTGCTCACTCGCGAGGGCTCCGAATGGGGTTTCAATAAACACTCACCCCACGAACACAACGCCGATAGCAACATTCGAGATGAGACGGGCGGGGGACAAAACACCCCCACCCCAAAAAAATATTGAGAATTCACAGAAATGCTACGGAAGGCAAAACACATTACCGTATTCTCCAGTATTTTGAAGCAAAAGTTTGAGGTGCATCTATAATTCGGTAGCTATGTGTGTGCGCGTGTTAATGTGTTAGTGCGAGGAACCGTGGTGCTGGCCACCCACCCCCTCGTGTACTGTTCCAGCCTTCATAGGTGTTCGCTGACAGCACTTGCCCCGACAGCCTGTTAAAGGCTACACGGAGGGGCATCTTTTGTCTTCGCCCATTCATTGTTGGCACAGTGGGGAGCACGTGCGGTGCATCTGCCAGTCATCTCAAGTCAGTCATCCCATAACACCGGAGTCTGTCCCGTGAAACTCCTGCCAGTGGCGCGTAGCCTTCGACGCTCCACGCGACGGCCTCGAAGTGCACCTAGGCCTGGCACAAGTGGCGCGGTGACGTCACACCGCCACTTATCTGTAATGTCGTCGCCGTTGTTGCGTGTGACCGGATTTGGGTGGGGTGCGTCCTACTTTCTGGAGCGTCTCAAAATCTGGAGAATGCGGAGAGAGAGTGACTTTTTTTTTTGCTCGACCGTGAATTCACAGCAGCCGGAGCGCGCGCCCCGTTGGAGCTCTCGTGGTGATCACTTTTATCATTCCGCCCTCACCGCCGTCGCTTTTACAAAATTGCACTCGACGGAAAAGTTCCGCCCGAGAATGAAAGCGTGCGACAATAAATACAACAACAACAACAAAATCCAGTGTATAAGTTAAGTGGTGGCGGAGTTAACCCACCCTCCCCGCCCCTCCCTCCCTTACATCAGGGGGTAAATCTGTCGAAATAAAACTAGCGGACGGAATAACCACGGCGGGGTGTTTCGCAAACGACTGGACGAAACTCTCGCCGCCGCCCCGACGACGTTTCGCTGAAAACGACTTCAGACGTTAGAAGAAGAAACAAATAAAAATTAACTCGCAAAATCGAGCCGCCAGGTTACAGGTGCGACGGTCAGAGACCCGGCTTGCGGTGACGCGGCCTGGCGGCAAAGGTTTTCCGCGGTTTGAAGCGAGCGCCCGCCCTGGTTAATACCGCGGCGGTTGGCGCGTATCGACCGTACCCGCGCGCGCTCGCTGGTTCACGGAGCGGGGGCCACTGTTGCGCGCCACTGTCTCTACAGTCCAAATATGCCATTTTTTTGTTAGGTTTAACTACCCGTAAATGCACACTCAATTGGGATTACACACAGCCACCGTTGCTCCCTACTGGTGGACTTTAAGCCTCTTAGGTTTTTTCGGTAAAGTCACGTAGGTAAAAAATAATAATAAATAACAATAAATCAAATAACTCACTTATTTTATTTTTATCATTTTTTTACCTACGTGACTTTATCGAAAAAACCTAAGAGTATGAATCCTTGCAGTCACGAAAGCTTCAGATCTAGAATTAGACTTTAAGCCGTCTGTGAAGCGTAGCGATAGGCTACGCTTCCCATGCGTCAACCAAGGGCATCGATCGGACGTTTGCGTGCCCGGCTTCGGGGGAACAAAAAAAAAGCCCACCACGGCACAACGTCGGCACATCCCGTCTCGCCGAGGACTGCAGGGGAGCTCATCCAGTGGGCTGTACGTGTGCATATGGTTGTCAAGGTAGGTGGCGGGGTTGGTGACTCACGAAGGTATGAGCTTTCAGAACTTGCCGATTTGTCGCAAAATCGGGAGATGACGATGGTATGCGAGAACCACGTGTGTAGGACCACGAAGTGGCGTGGTTACACAAGGGCTGTACAGCAAGTAGGTTAAGGCCTCGGGCAGCACGGCGTAGCTTTAGTGATCTTTAGTAAGCACGAGTGTCCTCAGTCCTCCAGGTGCTTATGCGCTCGCGTTATTACCATCGTCATAGCTGATATTGGAATATAAAAAATCCCAAGCGGGAAATCTCCCCCCTCTAACCCCCCCCCCATCACCCAATAACGAGAGGACGGAGAATCAGCGAGGCCTTCGTGGGTAAACGCTTCACGTTGAGATGATTATCTTTGACGGCGCGGCGCAGAGAGCGAGAGACAATCGACCTTCGAGAACCATCTAAAAGGTTTAGCGAACTCTGTTCCAACTCTTTGGAGTTGCTAAATGCTACATTCGCCGTGTCAGATTTCAGGGATATTTGCTTATTGGTCACTCGGTGTTTCTGGATATCCATAATAAAAGTTGTTTTGGGTTAGATCGGGTAAATATAAATGCGTCGTTAAACCGATTAGTGAGAACTACGAAGAAGTCCCCCGTTTCGCCGATGAGGTTGGTTGTAATCACCAGCGAAATGTCAAACTCGAATAGTAAATGTTGTGGGTTTAGTCCCCAACAGACAGGTTAGTGCTGAAGCAGTAACTAATTGGCACCTTTTACTGGTAGGAACCTCCTGGTTCCACCAGCCCACAGGGGATTATTGTGTCCGTCCGTCGTGCATCCAAAAATGGGAGGGGTGGGGCTGGGTGGAGAGGGGAGGGTTGGGAGGGGCTGGGTAAGGAGGGTGGGGCTGGGTGAGGAGGGGAGGGTGGGGAGGGGCTGGGTGGGGAGGGGCTGGTCACCCCGTGGTGCCCTTATAAAACTCAACGTTTAACCAACTCACGCCGGATTGTGCTCGCCCTCACAATCAGGCATATTTGCGGAATACACCACGCCGCCGTTGACCCTGGCCATTGAACGAGCAACCCAACGTTCCTACCAGCTCCCTCCGCAGGAATGTGCTTTTTCACAGGTGGTGGCGGTCTAACCCAAAAAAAACTTTTCTATGGATATAATATTGGTCGCGAAAGCCGTACTACTACGTGTTAAAACTGTTTTATGGATATCTTGCCACGATGCGCGTTCGCAACTTCACAGTAGAAGCGAACTGACCCTCCATCGCAGCTCGGAGGGGTTGTACCGCGCGTTGTCCGACGTTTCGCTCCGCACGCTCCGCACGCTGGCAGCTCGATCGGGATACGAGGCGTTCACCCTCTCTTGAAGGAGCTTCGAGCGCGTGGAGCGGTTCACGTTGGGAGGGGGTGGCGGGCAGCAACGACGGGGCCCGGCGGCAGCTAGCGAGAGCGAGTTCGCCCGCTTGTCGCAGAGGTCGCAAAGGTCACAGAGGTCTCGCGGTTTCGAACCCAGCGGCCGCCGCCCTGGTTAATACCGGGTGGATTGTTTTTCTCCGGGAGGGCCCCACTGAGCTATGTGGCTCTTTTTCAGAAGCGACCTGGCCACAAAGGAAATTGGCCAAATACTCTTAAACGCGTGACGTTGATCCTAAATGTGGAGGGGAAAAAAACGGAGGACCAGGAGAGAAATCCACGCGACCACGGGGAGAGAGACACGCAAACTCCAAATATACCCAGGCGTCAGGGTCGGGATCAAACCCACGACGTCCTGTATACCAGGCGAGGTAGTTAACATCTCCTAGCCACCGTGGCGCCCCTTAACACGCGGTACAACCCAAAAACACACAACCGCGAAAACCAACGCCACGTCGTACACCTCCGCACCCAAGCGATCCGTTGCGCAACCTGGATGCGCACAACCCAAATCGTTTGTACATGGACGTCTCTTGCAACGAGTTGCAAGCAACCTGCGCAAACCGGCTTTGCCCTCAGTGGAGATGGGACCGACGGGTTTCGTTACGCGCTGCAAGCTGCGATCCTGAACGCTCCGTTTCAGTTCGCTCGCCGCGCGGCTGCTCACCCCGGGTGCGGAAAAAGCAGTCGCCGGCGATTTGATCGAGTCGCGAGATTACTTCGAGAGGAAGTAATCGCTCGAGGGTGCGCGCGCTGGGCTGTCGAAAATAAATGTGACGTCTAAGTTCGGGGTTTTCTGGTTCTACTATTTTGTACGGGAAAGGACCGCAACAGTTTCTTACGTGAGGACAAAACATCCCGCTAAATAGTTTGTCTGCGGTGGGAAAGGTTCCATCGTTGATAGCACGACAACACGAACAAGGATTACGAAAGTGTTCGATTGCAACCGCATTTGGAGACGATGAAAATTAAGAAATATCGCACATTTGCAGGCTCCGTCCGAGTTAACGATCATAAATAAAAAGCAAAATCAAACCGTTAGAAAATAACGATATTGCAATGTCGAGCTCACAAGGTACCACTTTGAATTACAGTATAAAACGCAACCGTTTGCAAAGCGGTCGTTCAAATTACAAAGCCAACAGGACTTCCATTTCAAAACCTCTTGGCTCCTTCAGGTTTGTGACTTTTGTGTTCCTCCAGTTAGGGTTTTCACAGCATGCTTAAGACTTTTTGGACGTTTTTTTTTATATTATATTACGGTTGCCGAACCGAGGCCCAAACGGCCCGAAAAACACCAGTCGGCCAGGAAACAAACAACATACATACATACATGCGACTTCAATACCGTGGCTGCTACTGCCAATTATCCCCTATTCGCCACCAGGTGGCGGAGATGTCACCACGATGCAAGCGCCTTGCGAGTGTGCACTTTGAGGCCAACGCGTGCGAGCGCGGAAGGCTTGCTCTCTGCTGGCAAGGGGCCACGGGACAAATCCGGGTGTTATCGGTCGCAGTCGTCATCGCCACATCCGTCATCACATCACGACGCAGCACCGCGTGTTCCTCGCCTCTCCGACGATGTCCAGCGAGTTCATCGAGCGGAACTTGATGAGAGGCGGGTCGTACTGCGGCGGCGTCGCCGTCAACGAAGTGTACGACTGCGGCGGGACGCGGCGCCACTCCTCCTCCTCCTCGCCCTCCTGCGGCCGACGCCTCCTCCGGAACGACGGGCAGTCCCCCGTTGACGGCCAACGTTCTGCCGGCAGCGGACGGCAGCAGCGAGAGGGCGAGCCCCTCGAGGGAGAGCGCCCTCCCGCGCAGCATCGCCGCCGCACGCTGCCGCTTGAGCTCGGCGAGCGTCTGCCGAGAGCGAGCCCGGCTCATGGCCGGCTCCGCCTCCACCCCGGTTGCATCGCCGACGCTGCCGCCGCCGCCAGCCGGGGGAGGAGGGGAGAGGCTAGCGGGCGGCGTCGGAGAGCCCGACGAAAGTTTCACTTCGTCGGGCGACGAGAGGTTGGTCAGGTGACCGTCGGAGGCGGACGATTCCTGTTCGTGCTGCTGTTGCTGGTGCTGATGGTGGTGGTGATGGTGGTGGTGGTGGTGCAGCGACGACGTGGAGTGATGGGCCAGCCCAGAGTTGCCGGCGCGCCTGCGCAGCGTGTCGACGTACGACGGCGTGCGGTGGAGCGCCGCGGGTTCGGCGGCGGCGGCGACCGCGACGGCGTCGTCCAGGAACGCCGGGACGCGGGCGGCGCCGGTTGCCACCGCGGCCGCCGCCGCCACCGCCGCCGTCACCGCCACCGTCACCGCCGCAGCCGACGACGTGGAGGCGGTGGCGTGCGGCTGCCCGGAGGCCCGCGGGGAGCACACGGAAGCTGCTTGGTGCGGCGGTTTGGGGGCTCTGCCGGATTTGTGCGGAGCGGCGTTGCGGCTAGGGGCCTCGGCGAGTCCCCCGTTCTGCGCGGCATACAAGTGAATCAGTCAACGTCGTCATCGAAGTAACTACTTAAACAAATTTTGTATTTTACCAGGTGAGGCCCACTGAGCTATGTGGCTCTTTTTTCAGAAGCGACTTGGCCACAAATGATGGCTCAACGAAGTGGCTCATCATCATCACGGGGAAATATACAGCAGCCAAATACTCTAAACGCGTGATGTTGATTCTAAATGTGGAGGGGAAAACCAGGGGACCCGGAGAAAAATCCACACGGTCACGCGGAGAGAGAGAGAGAGACACGCAAACTCCAAATATACAGCAGGCGTCAGGGTCGGGGTGGCACCCATGACCCTCCATCGGTCAACGTTGTCCTCGTCGTGACTTTGACCGCCGTGTTGACCGACAATATTGGTTAACGCCGGCACGGTTGTCACCGCTGCCGCTATTGCCACGATTGTCGTCATCATCGTCACCGTCATCGTCGTCATCCACATTGTCACCACCACCGTCATCATCAACATTATTATCATCATCTTTACCATAATGGTCATTACAAGTATAATCACCGGTCATCATTATAGTCAACGTTGTTGCCACCACCCGCCATCACCAACTCTATCAACATCGTTACCACCACCATCAACATCACCATGCTCATCACAACCTCTCATCAATAAAAGCCGTCATTCACCACGAAGTGATGGTGACGGCACCACGGCGCCTGTGCCAGGCCAGATGCACTCTGAGGCAACGTGAAGTGTCGAAGGCTCGCTGACAGGAGGTCACGGGACAGACCCAGGCGCCGGGAGTTGCATAACTGAGATGACTGGCAGATGCACCAGCTGTGCCTCCTACTGTGCCAACTCTCATCACCGCCACCAAAGACAAAGAGTCGCCACATAGCCTTAACAGTCTGTTGGGGCCAAGTGCTGTTAAGCGAGCGCCTATGAAGGCTGACACGGCACATGAGGGGTTGGGTTTTCAGCACCACCCCTCGTCTCCCCAGTGGCGACGTTGACACACCGCACCAGCTACTCATTTGAGGCCGAGTCGACCTAGGGGAGGCCCAGCACCGGTTCAGATAATCGTCACCGGCGTTGTGCCGTGAGCGGGGAATCGAACTCGGGTCGCCGGGTTCGTAGCGCAGCGCGACAAGCGCGACTGCTCCTCCCCAGCGTCGCCGCCACCACCGCCGCCACCCACCCACACCCTCACCTGCCGCGCTCTCTGTCCGGCCTGCGGCCCGGCGCCGTCTGCGTCGTCGTCGTCGTCGGCCGCCGCCGCCGCCCGCGCACCGACCCCGGCGCTGTCCAACTTCATCCACAGGGTGGCCTCCTCGCGGTGCTCGCGCCGGTAGAGGTCGCTGCGTTCGTTGACGCTCACGCGGCGGCTCACCTTGCTGCGTCGCACGCACAACAGGCGGAGATCACCCCGACGTAGATCGCCCCCCCCCCTTTCGCACGTAGGACCCACGTCATTCACAATGGAGGTTTTCACGGGTTAGAGCCATAGCTGTCAACCCCTTATCGGTGCCTACCTCATTACAGACCAATTCAGACCGTGTTGGTCACTCCGTGCCCCTCATACATCTCAACGTTCATCCGACAAAGTCACAAGGGAGAAACACAAATAGCGATGTTTGTTGCTGCCCGTATTGAAACAGCTGTATGCCGCACGGACCTGAAAACTCAATTTCCCCCGTACAAGAATATGGGGTAAGCCATGTGGGTTGACAGCTAAGCATCTCTGCGGGTCTGTGGGTCTCTATGGGGTCTCTGTGGGGTCTCTGTGGGGTCTCTGTGGGGTCTCTGTGGGGTCTCTGTGGGGTCTGTGGGGTCTCTGTGGGGTCTCTGTGGGGTCTCTGTGGGGTCTCTGTGGGGTCTCTGTGGGGTCTCTGTGGGGTCTCTGTGGGGTCTCTGTGGGGTCTCTGTGAGATCTCTGTGGGTCTCCATATCTGTCAACCCCTTATCAGTGCCTACCTTATGACAGACAAATTCATATCTTATTGGTCACCCCGTGCCCTTATAAATCCCAAAGTTCATCACAATGGAAAAACACAAACAAATAGACACATTTTTTCTGCACGTATTGAAACGGCCGTATGCCGTATGGACCTGAAAACTCAATTTCCCTGCACAAGAATACGGGTAAACCGTGCGGGCTGACAGGTATGTAGAACGCGTGAGTGTAAATGCATCGTTAACCCACTTCTAGCAAAAATCCCCGATTGAAGGTGGTTGTTGTCGTCACCGGCGAAGCGCCACAGTTACCCAGATTGTAAACGTTGCGGGTTTACTCTCCAACACGCCGGTGTGCTTAAGTAGTAACTAACAAATGGCACGTCTTGTTCATGTGACAAAACGTTACTAATGGACTGTGTCCGGTGGTGGTGGTGGGTTAATGACACATTTATATTTACGCGATCTAACCCATAAACAACAACCGTTCATTATGGGCAGAGATCACCCGTGACTCTTGACAGGCTGTTGGGGCAAGTGTCGTTAGCAAGCAGCACCTGTGAAGGCCATCACGGCACACGTTTCAGGTGGGTGGCCAGCACCACGCCCCCGGCCACATTGTCTCTCCAATGTCTGATGTTGATTCTTATTCCGTTTACACACGAGGCTGAGTCGACCTAGGAGAGGCCCAGGACCGGTTCAGATAATCGCCACTGTTCTTGGTTGTGGCTGGGAATCGAACTCGGGTCGCCGGGTTCGTAGCGCAGTGCAAACCGCCACACTACCGCTCCCCACTCACATATACAGGTAGTCCCCGAGTTACGATGGGGTCCGACGTACGATATTTAGATCTTACGATGGCGATAGCGACACGACAAAATTGCCATGAACCACCTAACATTGTTCAAGTGTGCAGACGACGGACAGAATCTTGGTGAGTCCAGTGCATTATGGTACGTTACGATACGTTGAATGCATGTATGATACGTAACTTTAGCGATTTCATTTTAAGGTTACCACGATACGATATGTTCAATGCATGTTAAAAGTTGTTTTTATAGCAGATAGGATTGTTTCCTGAAAAAAACTTTCTATTAAATTGCAGGTCATATAGGTAGGCTAAGAATGTACCTTGTTTTTATTACTTTACATTTTACTGTGCAATACAGTATTGTAATTAATAAATACATACAGTATATAGTTTATACAGTACGCTACTGTAATTTGCTCTGTTTTGCTAAATTATCACCATTCTGTAAGACTCCTGGGTAGGCTAGGCTATCTTCGACTTACGATATTTTCGACTTACGATGGGGTCGTCGTAACGCATCTCCATCCTAAGTAGAGTATTACCTGTACTGTATTTACACACTCAGACAAGACCAAAGACCAACGAGTCTAGCCCAAACAGGCTGTTAGGGAAAGTACTGTTAATGAGCACCTATGAAGGCCAGCACGGCACACGAGGGGATAGGTGGCCAGTATCACGCCCGGCCGCCTTTGTCTCCCCAAAGGCAATGTTTACACACCGGGCCAGGTATGCATTTGAGGCCGAGTCGACCAAGGGGAGGCTCAGGACCGGTTCAGAAAATCGTCAATGTTGTTGGCTGTGAGCGGGAATTGAACTTGGGTCGCCAGGTTCGTAGCGCAGCGTGCTAACCGTTGCACTACCGCTTCCCACCGACTCACTCACACGCAAGAATAACACACACACACATTCTGCAGAACAGGGTAGGGGGGGAGAACGTCCAACCTCCCACACATTAACCCAGGGGCCCTTCCCACGCGCCCTGAGCCACGAGTGTAAGCAATGTGCTGCTCTGCCGCCCGTAAAAAATAAATCTCATCGTCACGTACCCCCGGCTGCCAACGCTGGAAGTCTTCCTCTGCAGCGAGGACCTCGCGTGGCCCTGAGTCCTCATGATGGCGTCCCTCTTCATCTTCAGGTCCACTAGCCTCTGCCGCATGTCGTCGTCCTCGCACAGGTCTGTCGTGGGCAGCAGCAGCAGCGTCGCGCCATCGCGTTACGAGACGTGGGAGCGATCAAAGGTGCAGCCCTGCAGTTACTCGCTCACGGCCACTGCTGGCGGAAGGAATACTCCGAGATGATCCCCCCCCCCCCCCCCCATAGAGGGCATTTTGGACTAATTTTTCACACTGGGCAGACGTCTTGGAAGGGGTAGGAGTACCCAAACTCTACTCCACCACATGCGACCATCAACTAACTGTGGACGGAGGTGGTGGGAGTGGGGGGTGCGGATTTTAAGAAACTTCCCCCATCATTTCAACGTGCGTGCCGGGAGATCGAATCGGCAAAAGGTGCAGCCCTGCAATAGCTGGCTGACACCGCTGCTGGCGGAAGTGCGCGCCAGTGTGAGACGCGGCACGGGCACGCGGAGACGTGAGGCTTCACAGAGAGAAGGGCGGCGATATTGCTATGATGTGGAACCTCAGTGGGCTTTGCCGGGTAAAGATGGGGATGTGGTTTAGTTTTATTTGCATGTTTTTCGTTGATTGTTTGCCTTTCTTGTATCGTCTGTTGTTGTAACTTCTTACCCGTCCCTGTTGAACATCTGTGAAAGAGCGCTTTATAGCTCGTCGTATTCCTCCAGTATAAATAAACATTCCGATTCTGTTTCTGTAAACCTCAATCGCGTCATCTTGCCGTGTGCACTTTTTGTTATGGTTATTAAATTTGACGAAAGTGTGGACTGTGAAGGCGGCGAGGACGCGACGGCCTCTACTCTCGACGATTCACGTCGGCGGGACCTTGAACGTCCACCGGTGAAGCAGACGTGTTGACCAGGGCGACCTGCCCGGCTTCGAACCGCGCGCGCCTTGCAAACAAGCGGCGAACGCGGCTATACCGCTGTGGGAGGGCCGCGCGTCACCGCAACCGAAACCTGGCCCACTCAACTCACCAACCGGTGTCTCGTCTTGGTAGGTCTTGGCATCGAAGCTCGCTCCGTGAGACACCAGCACCTCGGCCATTTCCAGCTGCGGACGCGGGGAAAGGAGGGGATTGCGAAGGAACGAATGAGCGAACGAACGAGTCGATCGAATCGCCGAATGTTCCGTTTCTGAAGAAGCTCCCAGTTGCTCGGAATGAAACGTCGGACATCATCCCCTGGACAGCACGACTGTGAAAAAACCCACGAGGGTCATGTCGACCTCGCGCTTCAGTCAGCAGCTGTGCGCGAAGTGGTATTTGAACCGTTTGCGGACAATTTTTGAGGTCGGTACGGGGGATGCAACAGCAGCCGGGCGTGGTGCTGGCCACGCCACCGCCTCGTGCGTAGATTGGTCTTTACAGGTGCTTGCTAACAGCACTTGCCCCAGTATCCTGTTAAAGGTTATACGGGGGATGTTTGTCCTTCTCTTTCTATCTGCTGTGTATAGGGGGCAGAAGTGGAGTAGTTAGTGCTCACTGCACAAAGTTGGCGACCCGTGTTTGATTGGCAACTGACATCCGACATCGATGACGAATATCTGAACCAGTCCTGGGCCTCCCCTAGGTCGACTCGGCCTTAAATAATGTCGTGCGGTGTGTTAACACCAGCAGCAAGGAAACAAAGGCGGGTTTGTTTGACGTGGTGTTGGCCACCCACTCCCTCGTGTGCCGTGCCGGCCTTCATAGATGTTCGCTTTCTCCAACAATCTTTTAAGGCTGTACAGGGGTATCTGTTGCCTTTGTGGGCTCACCCTTAAACTATAAAAATAAACTTTGTATTTTCCCAGGTAAGGCCCATTGAGCTTCCTGGCTCTTTTTCACAAGCGACCTGGCCACAAATGATAGCCCAACGAAGTGGCTTATCACGTGGAAATGTATCGAGGCCAAATACTCTAAAAGCGTGACGTTGATTCTCCAGGCGGAGGCAAAAACCGGAGGACCCGGAGAAAAATCCACGCGACCACGGGGAGAGAGAGAGGGAGAGAGGGACGCAAACTCCAAATAGACAACAAGCGTCGTCAGGGTCGGGATCGAACCCACGACCTCCTGCACGACCAGGCGATGCTGGTTGACATCTCCTAGCCACCGTGACCCTACCTGACCCCAGCACGCGGCTGCGTGCAGTGGCTCCCAGCCGTCGCGGTCCTTGCACTCCACGCTCACCCCCAGCTCCAGCAGCAGCTCCGCGGCACGCAGGTAGCCGTGCGCCGCCGCTATGTGCAGCTGCAAAGACAAAGATCCCCCGCGTAGCCTTAACAGACTGTTGGGGCAAGTGCTGTTAAGCGAGCACCAATGAAGGCCGGAACGGCGCACTAGAGGGTGGGTGGCCAGCACCACGCCCGGCCGCCTTTGTCTCCCCAGTTGCGATGTTCACACACTGCGCCAGTTACTCATTTGAGGCTGAGTCGACCTAGGGGGAGGCCCAGGACCGGTTCAGATAATCGTCACTGGTGTTGGCCGTGAGTGGGAACTGAACTCGGGTTGGCGGGCTCATAGCGCAGCGCGCTAACCGCTACAATATTGCTGCAACCACACGCACACACACACAAAAACAAAGATCCCCCGTATAGCCTTAACAGACTGTATGGGCAAGTGCTGTTAGCGAGCACCTATGAAGGCCGGAACGGCACACGAGGGGGTGGGTGGCCAGAACCACGCCCGGCCGCCTTTGTCTCCCCAGTGGCGATGTTTACACACCGCACCAGGTACTCATTTTAGGCTGAGTCGACCTAGGGGAGGCCCAGGACCGGTTCAGATAATCGTCACTGATGTTGGCCGTGAGCAGGAATCGAACCCGGGTCGCCAGGTTCGTAGCGCAGCACGCTAACCACTACACTACCGCTCCCCATACACAGACACACACACACACAGCCACACACACACGCACACACACACACATGCCCGCATAGACAAGGTAAAGGTGCAACCCCGCAATATCTCTTTTCTTCAGATCCCCGCTGGTGAGAGGCGCCTCTCCCCCCCACAAGGGGGAGATCGACAGCCTACTCCGGAGGGGCTTAATTATTAGACCACCTTTACACTTCCACGCTGGTCCGGACACCTTTGGAAGCGGTGGGAGCACCAAAACTTTCCATTGTGCAAGCCGCCGATTAACCGTGTCGCGACCCATTCACACCCCTCGGTGGACAGAGGCGGCGGGGGGAGGGGGGGTTTAAGAAACTCGCCTCAATTGTTTCAAACCGCCGCGCCGGGAGATGGAATTGAAGCCAGGGACCTTACCATCGCAAGATAAGCGTGCTGACCGTTACACCACGGCAGCATCCCATAAAAGTATATAAATGTGTATGTATGTGTGTATGTATGCATGCGGACGGCGAGTCCTCGCCTAACGCAGAGGAGGTTGCGTTCCTGAAAATTCAAAGGCGGGGAGGGGGGGCGGTGCCATTCTATCCAGCCTGTCGTTTTATCGTTGTTATTTGACACTGCAGTACGCCGTTTTAAATGTGTTTGCGTAGTATTTCTAGAGATGTTGCTACGTGTTGACGCTATGCACACAATCATGCCGCTGGAACAAGAGCCAAGGAAGAAGGGGAGGGCACGATGTGTATCAAAGCATGTATCAGTACTACGGTATAGTACTACAGTACCGGTACTGAGTACTACAGCGCCAGCTCCCAGTATCACCGGACAACGCTGCCAATGCCCATGCCGCTGAGAAAAGTCGTCCGTCACGTGTTACCAGACTCGTGTTACAGCGGGCGCGGTGGCGCGTCAAGGAAAAAACGTTTCGGAAAGAAAAAAAACGCGTTAAAGCAAAAACGCGCGTTCAATGGGAATTAACTGCATACAAAATTTCAATAATAATGATATGAAGTGGGGGGAGGGGGGGGGGGCAGTATGATGTCATCACCAGCGTGGCCCCGTGCTCGTCGCGTCCGTCCAGGTTCTCTCCGCTGCGTGACACTTCCTGTATGTCGTGGATCATGCTCAGCTCGGTGGCGCAGCGCTTGCTGTTGATGGTTTCCTGGGTGATGCCTGCAACAGCAAACAACAGCAGCAGCAGCAACAGCAGAATCGGCAGTAGCAACGAGCAGAAATGTGGAGGTCACACATGAGACACACAAACACGAGTGTGTGAATGGGTGAGTACAAACATGCGGGTGAGTGAGTGAGTGGGTGAGTGGATAAGTGAGTGGATGAGTAATTGAGTCAGTGCTTGAGTAGGTACCACTAGCAACATCAATAACACCGCGACCAGCAATTCCATCACCACCAGCAAAATCACCGCCAACACCGTAAACGCCACCGCTTGCGGCGTTGGTGGCGGATAGAGAATGGCATCGGACACAGCCGTCGTACCTTTGGAGGCCATGGCAGTCTCTATGTAGTCGAGGGTGACCTCATCCTCGCAGATGTCGTAGGGCATGTTCCCGTCGGCGTTCACGGCCAGCAGATCCGCGCCACTGCCATGCAAAGACAAACATCCCCCCGTGTAGCCTGAACAGACTGTAGGGGCAAGTGCTGTTAGCGAGCACCTATGAAGGCCGGCACGGCACATGAGGGGGCGGGTCGCCAGCACCACGCCCGGCAACGTTATTACACATGGCACTTAGTACTCATTTGAGGCCGAGTTGACCTAGGGGAGCGCCCAGGACCGGTTCAGATAATTGTCACTGGTGTTGGCCGTGAGCGGAAATCGACCTCGGGTCCACCGGGAAAGTAGGCCGTGTGGAATGAAGTCACGGGTCGTGTGGAATGAAAACACGGGTCGTGTGGAATGAGGTCATGGGTCATGTGGAATGAGGTCATGGGTCATGTGGAATGAGGTCACGGGTCGTGTGGAATGAAGTCACGGGTCGTGTGGAATGAGGTCACGGGTCGTGTGGAATGAGGTCATGGGTCATGTGGAATGAGGTCACGGGTCGTGTGGAATGAAGTCACGGGTCGTGTGGAATGAGGTCACGGGTCGTGTGGAATGAGGTCATGGGTCATGTGGAATGAGGTCATGGGTCGTGTGGAATGAAAACACGGGCTGTGTGGAATGAAGTTGTGCGCCTTGTGACGTGAAGTCATGGGTCGTGTGGAATGAGGTCATGGGTCATGTAGAAGGAAGTCATGGGTCATGTGGAATGAAAACACGGGCTGTGTGGAATGAAAACACGGGCTGTGTGGAATGTAAGTTGTGGGCCGTGTGACGGGAAGTCATGGGTCGTGTGAAGTGAATTCATAGGTGTGGAATGAAGTCACAGGTCCTATATGGCCCGTGGCCCATTATCAATGCAGTTGTGGACCACATCCGGCCCTTGGGCCGTAGGCTCTCCACTGCCATCACTCAGCGCCCGCTCCGCCACTCACTGCTCGACGAGCTGCCGGGCGAGGTGCAGGTGGCCACAGGTGGCGGCCGCGTGCAGGGGCGTCCACAGCTCGCTGTCCACAGCGTTGACGCTGGCGCCGAACGCCAGCAACAGCTTGAGCACCTCCTCGAAGTCATCGATGCAGCACTAGGATGGGGGGGGGGATAGCGAAAGTCAATGAGCCATTCCTCCCTTAAAACAACTCCCCCATCCCGTCTCCCTTAGCTCATCCTGCAACTGCTACTCCCTGCTCCCGCCCCCCCAGCTACGACCAGGCTTACCGCAACCCCTATCACTACCCCTATCACTACCCCTATCACTACCCCTATAACTACTCCTATCACTACCCCCATCACTATCCCTATCACTACCCCTATCACTACCCCTACCACTACCCATACCACTACCCCTACCACTACCCCTATCACTAGCCCTATCACTAGCCCTATCACTAGCCCTATCACTAGCACTATCACTAGCCCTATCACTACCCCTATCACTACCCCTATCACTACCCCTATCACTACCCCTATCACTACCCCTATCACTACCCCTATCACTACCCCTATCACTACCCCTATCACTACCCCTATCACTACCCCTATCACTACCCCTATCACTACCCCTATCACTACCCCTATCACTACCCCTATCACTACCCCTATCACTACCCCTATCACTACGCCTATCACTACCCCTATTACTACCCCTATCACTACCCCAATCACTACCCCTATTACTACCCCTATCACTACCCCTATCACTACCCCTATCACTACCCCTATAACTACCCCTATCACTACCCCTATCACTACCCCTATTACTACCCCTATCACTACCCCAATCACTACCCCTATTACTACCCCTATCACTACCCCTATCACTACCCCTATCACTACCCCTATAACTACCCCTATCACTACCCCTATCACTACCCCTATCACTACCCCAATCACTACCCTTATTACTACCCCTATCACTACCCCTATTACTACCCCTATCACTACCCCTATCACTACCCCTATCACTACTCCTATAACTACCCCTATCACTACCCCTATCACTATCGCTATCACTATCCATATCACTACCCCTATCACTACCCATATCAATACCTCTATCACTACCCCAACCCCTATCACTACCCATATCACTACCCCTATCACTACCCCTATCACTACCCCAACCCCTATCACTACCCCTATCACTACCCCAATCACTACCCCAATCACTACTCATATCACTACCCCTATCACTACCCCAACCCCTATCACTACCCCTATCACTACCCCAATCACTACCACAATCACTACCCCAATGACTACCCATATCACTACCCCTATCACTACCCCAACCCCTATCAATACCCCAACCCCTATCACTACCCCTATCACTACCCCAATCACTACCCCTATCACTACCCCTATCACTACCCCTATCACTACCCCTATCACTACCCCTATCACTACCCCAATCACTACCCCTATCACTACCCCTATCACTACCCTTATCACTATCCCTATCACTATCCATATCACTACCCCTATCACTACCATTATCAATACCCCTATCACTACCCCAACCCCTATCACTACCCATATCACTACCCATGTCACTACCCCCATCACTAGCCCTATCACTACCCCTATCACTACCCCAACCCCTATCACTACCCCAATCACTACCACAATCACTACCCCAATGACTACCCATATCACTACCCCTATCACTACCCCAACCCCTATCACTACCCCTATCAATACCCCAACCCCTATCACTACCCCAATCACTACCCCAATCACTACCCCTATCACTACCCCAATCACTACCCCTATCACTACCCCAATAACTACCCCAATCACTACCCCTATCACTACCCCTACCCGTATCACTACCCCTATCACTACCCCTACCACTACCCTTATCCCTATCCCAACCCCTACCACTACTCCAACCCCTACTGCTACTCCCTGCCCCCCGGCTACGACCAGGCCTACCCAACCACTTCTTAACCACTCCCTCCTGTCCTCCTAACCGTGACCACAACAACGATACCACCACTTTGAATAACCCCACTCTTTATTTAACCACTATCAATCTCACACACAATATTACACTGGTCAACAAAAAAAAAGTTTTTTTCTGGCCTGGACTTTTGCAGCTGTTTTAGACTAATTTCAGGGTGCTGATTCCAAATCTGATCTCAGATCACATCAACATTTTTATGCTATCGGCGTACCCCATTTTCATTGAATTTACCCGAAATTAACCCTGTCACTTATGATTGCAAGTTGTTGCGAGTCAGTGACTGCTTTAGTGTTAAAATATGGTGCTGTATTTTTAGGATAGTGTGTTTATAATATAAATTTATGTAGATATCCACATTTATTTAATATTTTTATTCTGCAGTTTGTATTAAAAATGCAATATTTGATATCTCAAAAAACTGATGTGATAGACAAAAACTGATGCCACATTTGGAATCAGCACCCCAAAATTACCTTAAAACCGTTGGAATACCTTATGCCAGAAAAAGTGTGTTGACCAATGGGGTAAGTGCCTTGGGTTAAGGCGCTACATAAAAGCTACACATGACAAGATAAACGTTCGGCCTTTGCAACGACGGCTGTACTTGTTAACGCATTAGCTCCGTCCGTCTGTCTATAATCTTGGCTCACGGTAGCTCTCGTCAAGATGACGCAGTGTGGACGTCGTTTACAGTTAATCGCTGCGTTGCTGTTAGGGAATTAGGCAAGTGGAAAATAATAGTTAACAGACTTTCAACTCGTTTAACACGCCACCGCGCGGTATTCGCTCGCTCTACAACAGAGGGGACGACTCAGAGGAGCGATGATGAACCGTGGGTGAGCAGGAAAGGCAGAGGTCACTCGGTGTGCCGACACAAAATTTCCTCCCCCTCCCCCGCAAGCTCTGCGGTCCTCTATATATGAAGGTGTTTTTGGCCAATTCATGAATGTTTACACACGTGGGAGGAAACCGGAGCACCCGGAGAAAACCCAAGCGCACGTGCGAGGGGGCAACGCTCAATCCCATACAAATGGAACAGGTGAAGTCCACATTTTTGCGGTGCCGACTTCTCCTGGCAACCCAGGCTGCAGGCTCCCTCCTCGACGCCCACAGTGATCCGTCAACCCTCACCGCCTCCACAGCGCCGGATTACAGGCATGCATAGCCACCACCAAAACGTACGCTTGATATCAGCGATTGAAACCCAGAGTCGAACCCAGGGCGCCTTCAGCGGTGCCAGTTCGGCACTCTCATCTCCGAGCCCACCTGGTCACCTCTGGCACTACTCGTTTCATCGTTGAAAGAAGATAGAAGTGCAGCCGTGAAATATCCTACTCGCGCCACTGCTGACAGAAAGGGCACTCTGCTAGAGGGAGCAATGGAAAACTTCCCTCTTAAAAGTGCATTTGGTCTACTCTTTCACGCTGGGTAGGGGTACCCACACTTTACCCCACCACGCGCGTCTTGCCGTTAAGACTCCAAATGGAATGTACCCATTTATACCGCTAGATGGAGAAAGGCAAGGGGGTGGGGATTTCGTGAACTCTCCCAAACATTCCAGTCGCACTGCCGGGAGATCGGATCGAATCGGTGACCTCTGGATCGAAAGTCCAGCGTGCTGACCGTTACGCCAAGGATCTCGGTGTGACGAAGGGGCTCGTTCGACCCCCGACCGTGACTTCAACCGGCTGTTAAATGCAAACCCCAAGCTGAAATTTTTGGCAGTGCCGGCTCCGCTCCCCCTGCTTACGTAACGTCATCGCCTTCACGCATTTAAAATAGCTTGGCAACGCGACACCGGTGAGGAACGCGGCCCGCCAAGTTTCGGTCAAGAGGTGACCCTTACTCCGAGAGAGGTCAATCGATGTGTTTTTCTTAACGGTTGCCCAACTAAGCTCGAAATCGTTTCTGCCTAAACCTCCGTCACTCTCTCCGTCCATCCGTAAGGGGGGGATGGGTACTGCAACTCTTGTAATGATGATTCGATATGAACAAAACTTTGTTATTATTCGAGACTTATTCTGAGAGAAAACCAGAATTTTTTAAAAAAATGTTTGATAAAAAAAATTGCGTTTCTAACGAGACTTACACGTGTGTAAAAAAAACCCAGCAGCGTTTCCTGAAGAATTGCATTGTGGTCACCATGGCCGACTGGCAACAGCAGCAGTGATGCATCGATGACAAACTGGGGATCAGTTTTGTCCTCATTAGAACTCATCGGCACAACATCGTCAGCAATGCTCACTGCTGCAAAGTCTGCCTCTGGGAACTGTGTACGGTGTGTGGAGTGCCCACCTCCACTTTATGGGCCACACGAGTTTGGCTAATGCCAACAAAAATAGAATTTGTAAATGACAAGAAAACCCAATAATAATAATAGTGCAGGCTGGGCAACCATAACTATCCAACAAAACGCAAAAATACGTAAAAAGAGCAGCATTTAAAAATGTGAACGAGACAAAACCAGCGCTAAAAGGACACGCCACGGTGTCCCGGTCCTGCCTGCTTAGGTGCACCATCCTGGGCAGAGCTGCTATGCAAGCCCCATGGTTTCCTCGCGGCCTGTGGACAAACTGCTTCCAATACGTTTGGCCCGAGCGCTACCATTGTTATTATCGCTACTTAAACACTTCAAGCAGGTGTTGAAAGGCGTTACAACACAATTCAATGCTTCTGCATGGTTTTTCTTCATTGTTTACGCCCATATCAAATGGCAGTCGACAGCATTCTTCTATGCTTTGTTTACGAGTTATTTTGTGTGTGCGCGCGTGCATGGATGCGTGCCCTTGTGTGTGTGTGTGTGTAAGTCACGGTGGAAACTTTTGAATTCAAGGGAAATATGCTGAACAATGCTGTATTGCTGGTCAAAAATTTTTGCCGCGGTGTGTGTGTGTGTGTGTGTGTCGTGAAAACACCGATCGCGTTCAACAGAATACCAATATAAATTATGTATTCACCCATTAACGCCCCGCCGCCTATAGTCAAATCGCCTGGGGATATCGCCTGACGATCTCAAAAGCTAAGCGGTTGGTGAGGCTGGCTAGTGCTTGGATGGGCGAGCACCACCATACACAAACGGGTCGTCATAGCGCATGCGGGGCCACGTAGCGGACAGCAGC